CGCTAAAGAGCAGGTTTTCCTGGACAAGCGGGAACCTGCTTGGACCCACACATTCAAGGCACAGGACAAGTACAGCTCTGGATGAGCCCTGGGCTGTGCTTCAAGGGAGGCTCCCACCTCCAGGCCTTCCCCATCTCTGCCTCTCTGGGAGGCAGCTTACCCCCTCACTTTTCCCCTCTGCCAAGTGTTTTGAGTGGCCTTTTCTCCTCCTGCAGTCCCCTTTGGGCATTTGGCCTGGGGCATGGCTCCGGCACAACGCCAGGACACCTGGCCCATCACAACCAAACACTTCTGCAGCCTCTGCCTTGACATGGACAAATCTATATATTCATGTGAGGTTTCCCTGCCCATTTCAGAACAGAGCATCACCAGCCATGTGGTGTCAGGGCTGTCAGGCAAGACTACACATTGAAACAGACCTTTTTCTTTGGAGATCACTTGTAGCTGAGTAAGATTGTCTTTCACAAACATAGGCTTAACAGTGAGTCCGTAAGTGGCTGTGAAGGCCAAGGTTTCCAGGCAGGAGTTGATCATGGAGAGGATTTGCAAACATGCCTTCCTTTAGCTTGTTTCTCCTTTTAGCCCTGAGTTCATGCTTCTTCAAAGTCCATGACACCTTTGGTAAAGGCTGTTCTCCAACTGGAGTGCTTGCAGATCAGTACAAATGACAGGCACCTTTTCACGCACAAGCTTTCCTGCAGATATTCTGATGGATGCTGCACAGGGACGCGGACTTATAAAAAATATTGGGGGGGCCCGGGAAAGCTCATGAATAATAAATAAGCTCATGAATATGCAAATAAAGTGGCGCCGCCTCCTCGTGAGCGAATAGGGGAGAGCGTGCTGCGCCTATTTATCAGCTCCAAAGGAAATTGGGTGGAGCTTTTGCTCGGGAGGGAGGGCAGGAGGCATGCAGCCCGCCCCTCCCTGTGCATTTTGGGCTGGGGGAGGGGCGGCGATGGCGCTCTGCTGGAGGGGCGCCGGAGATTATTGGGGGGGCGGAGCCCCCCCAAACGAATTTTTGAGGGGGCTCGGGCCCCCTCAAGCCCCATGGAGTCGGCGCCTATGATGCTGCAGCATGTGTGCCCCCCCCCGAGCTCCCCATGCCCCCCCCACATTCTGCTTCAGAGAATGAATTACTGAACTGGGTAACCGTTGGGAGTGGATTTGTATTTGAAGCGATCCCAGCTGTGTAATGAATTTGCCTCCCTCTGTTCTTCAGGTGATGCCACGGAAGAGGAGAAAGTTCTTAGCAGAACCATGATGAAATATTGGGCTAACTTTGCTCGCAGCGGGTGAGTCATGGGCCACCGTGATAGTTATGGGGGTGTGGTTGGGCTGGCTGGAAGGCATGTAGGATGCCTTGGCAGACATGACAGAACATTGTCTGTTGTTGGTTCTGTTCCTAGAAACCCTAATGGAGAAGGTTTGGTAGAGTGGCCGGCCTATAACACCCAGGAGCAGTATCTAGAGATAAATCTGAAGCAGAAAGTCTCAATGAAGCTGAAAGAGAAAAAAGTGGAATTTTGGCTAAAGACTGTCCCTGAGAAGGTGGATGAGGTGAGAAGAAAACACACGGAATTGTAATTCACAAGCAGCTATGGACAATAAACAGAGCACCAAAATCACAAATGATAGTTACTTGTTAAAATATATTTTTCCACAAAACAAATACACCATATTTCTTTATTCTGAGCTGCAAAATGATGGAGAGTAGGTAATATAGAAAAAATTGTTAAATAAACATCTCTATCTTGTAAATTATGTTTATTCCTTTCCTGCAGGAGGTATGCACATTGTTACTAAGCCTAGATAAAAGTTACCTTTTGTTTTATGCAATGTTTACTTTCAGATCTTTGCATTGTCAAAAGTATACAGTAACAATAGTTCTGATTTACAAAACTTGAAAAATAATGATAAAAATGAATATAGTGTTACATTTAGACTTTCAGAATAAAGGGATGCCATTTTTTTGTCAGAAAAGTATCTGTTCCTTGGTCTTCCTTCAAAAGTTTCACCCTTCACAAAAGGCTCAAATAGGCTGATGGGGCAGCCTCTCGTTTTTTAAAGGGGCAAATGCAAGAGGTCCCCCCCCCCCCGTTTTGGATCAGGACTGTGTGCGTGACCCATACCTCCATGTGTCCCTGTTATGCACCAACACACATGCAAACATGTACCAACAGAAACGTGATATTTCAAAATATTGGGCCTACAGTGACGGTGTACCACAGAAAGTTAGTAAAACATCCTGTTGCCCCAATTTGAATAAAAACGAAAAGACTGCTTATTATCACATAGTGCCAAAATAGTTGCACCTGTGCTGGGTGAAACTGCAAAAAACAGCTACAGATAATTAATTGGCTAGTCCGTTGAAAAGTGGAGCATGGACGCCATAAACACACCACCCTGTCCAGACTAACAGCTTACACCAACTCATTTCTATGGGCAGACTAAGTTGGGGGGTGAAGATCCCCCCACTGGCATAGCGTGGGTTGCCAGCGCCCGGGGCAAGGCAAATATCCCTGCACCACCAGTTGATAGGTTGGAACAAAGGGGAAATGGCACAGCAACCTACCCAAGTGGCAGTCACGGTGCCCCGTGAGTGTCAAGCATGGCGGAGAGCAGGACAGGGGATTGGTCAGGAGCAGGTATCTTTTCAAAGCCTGTGCAGAGCATGCCCTGGCACCCAGCCATCGCCTAAATCCGCTCCTCCGTTCGCCCATGCAAACATTGGGAGATTTTCTGTGCGAGGGGAAAGGTGCACTATTTTTTTATTACTACTATTCTTTTTTCTTTTTGAAATTTTGTGTCCCTAAGAATTTTGCACCCAGGGCAACTGCTGCTGTGGCCCCACCCATGCTATGCCACTAGGTCTTCTGTTCCCATTTAAGGAGCAGGGAGGGGCGCTAAGGATGCAGAAGATGGACAGACAGGACAGACAACAGGAATGCACATGACCCATGTTTGGGGTGTGCAGCGGCAGAAAGGACTGCGAGACCTGGGAAATGAAGCAGGTAGAAAGCAACGGAAGGCTGCATGTGCTCAGAGGAAGCACTTTCCTCAATTAAAGACTTGTGACTGTGTGTTGGAGTTATTGGAGGTGCTAGGCATAAACCTTTTCGAACCAGCCGCAGCCTGCAAATGTGGATTGTCCCCAAAAGCCGTGGTGATGGGTGGCCAAATGTAGGCACCCCTTTGCAGGTTGCCCTGAGCCCTGCATGGTGTGGTGCTCAGCCCCTGTGCTCTCCTCAAATCCTCCCAAAGAAGCAAAAAAACCACACAGATAATTAACCAGAAGGGAAACCAGGTGTCTAAGAGGGAATTTAGAGCTTCGCACCGGAATGAAGAAAGGCAACCAATACAAGGAGAAGGGAAGTGTGGTGGAGAGAAGCCAGGGAGGGAAACAAGATGACCCCAAAGAAGTCTGTTCTGGAGCATCCCATAGCAGTGGCTGGAAGACTTAAAGGGACGGTGACTTAAATAATTTGCTTCCTGAAGTGGGAGGGTTGCTGAAGAAAGGTGAGCCAGGTCAACACTTGGGCTGGAGGAGGGGAGCAAAAATTGGCATTCTAAGTGACCAGAGAGGCTGGATCTAGCATAGAAATGGGTTGAGGTTAGGGAATAGAAGTGAGGGCTGGGTGCAAAAACGGAAGAGGGAGGCTGAGGTCAGGCTGCACTGGACCCTGGTGCAAAACTAGTAGGGGGCCAAGAGAGCTCCAGGTGCAAATACAAGTGGAGAATCCAGAGCTGAAGAATTGCAAACAACTGTAGATTCCTGATAAGGACAGAGGTCGCTGATAAGGCACTGGGGCTAATGAATGGCCAAGGAGGGGCATGTACTTTTGTTGGTTGAGTGCAGAGCAGAGAAGAAAAGGCATTCGCAACCCTCCTTCCTTCCTTGTAGTCCTTCCTCCTATGGACTACAAACCAGCACAGCAGCCTGACTGCTAGCCTCAGTTGGGCACAGGGCCACCTGTAAGGGAAATAGCAATAGAATAGCAATAGAACAGCTGTACATTGCAGGTCCAGATGAAATTAACAAATTTGTTGGGTGGCATTGTTCCACTACAATGAAAGCAATTACTACTACTTCTATTACAATTATGAAGACACAACAGCATCTATAGTCACAGATCCATTTCAGACCCTGGGGACTTCCTATTCCTATGATTGCAGCTGCCTGGAAGAATAGTGCTAAAAACCTGCATATATCTATACAGTGGTAGCTCGGGTTAAGAATTTACTTCATTCTGGAGGTCCGTTCTTAACCTGAAACTGTTCTTAACCCAAGGCACCACTTTAGCTAATGGGGTCTTCCACTGCTGCCACTGCGCAATTTCTGTTCTCGTCCTGAAGAAAAGTTCTTAACCCGAGGTACTATTTCTGGGTTAATGGAGTCTGTATCCTGAAGCGTCTATAACCTGAAGCGTCTGTAACCCGAGGTACCACAGTATAAAGCTGGGAATCCTTGCTAGCTAAAGGCATGAACAGACGCTGGGTGGCATGAGAAGAATCCAGATAAAACTCAACCAGCTGGACAATGTGACCTAAATAATTTCTGTTTTAAAACCAAGCCTAAAGCTCAGCTGAAATGGATCTAGAAAGTCAGTGCAGTCCCGGAGAGCCGGGAGCTTGTTGGGAGCCTTGCCTGTGAAGGGAGTGTTTGCAGCGAACCAGCCCAGGGTTGCTCCTGGGTCCAGGCCATTTCTGCAGAGAGGTGAGTTTCAACACGGCCTCTTTGAGAGTTGCCAGGACCTACTCCCTCTTGCAGTGAGGAATTCTGTTTCCCTGTGTCAGATGTTGGAAGCGCTCTGTTTAGGCTGCATTGATAAGACCCAGTTGGACAGCTTCCGAACAGGCGGGTTTTTTGTTTGTTTAATTTATTTTGCCCTAGGGCGTAATGGAAAGGCAGTTCAATTTTCAGCCCTTATTTGGGCCCTTTCCCCCTTCATGTTTGGTGCTCCTTTCACCACACACCCTTAGCTGGCACTTCCTCCTCCCCCTTGGAGACCTTTGTGCTTTTGAAAGCAAAGCAACAAACTCTCTCAGGCAGGGAAGAACATGTCAGCTTCTGGCAAGAGTTGGCTGTTTGGAGTTCTGCTCTGTGGCCTGTCCATCGCTGGAACTGCAGCAGGGGGTAAATACAGCTTCTTTTGCTTGTTGTGGGGAAGTTTAAGAAGACTCCTTTCAGGCAAAGGCTACACTGATGGGACCCATAGGCAGCAAACCTTGGCGTAGGTCCCCAAGAATAAACCTCATTGAACACATAGTTCATGCTTCAATAGGGATTATGCTTCAATAGCCAACTAACTCTTTTTATTAGATTTGGAGGACAAAAGCAGGCAGGACAACTTTAGGTTAAGATGGATTAACAGTCTTGATTATTGTAAGGGAAATGGGATACCACCAAATGCATGCTATAGCTTTACACAATGCTTTGACAGAGGGAAAATGATATTGAAGTGGGTGAGTCAAGAGCTGTTGAAATTAAATATTTCATAGGAAACCTGCACTACTACAAATGAGACATGTGCATTATTAGCCAGGGTAATTGTATAGTTTGCCCCTTAATCTATCCATTATAAATGCGTGTGTCAAAAAAAAAAAAAAACCCGAGTTGAATAACAAAAGAAGAAGAAAACATTTGGGGCAGAATTCCCAATATAGACTCTGCTGTTTTGTTTGAAGTTGTTTATTTATGTATTATTATTAAGAGTTAGAATTTATTTTAGAATTATGTATGTATTTGTTTATTTTAATATATCTCAATTCTGCCTTCATCCAAAACGTGAACGCCAGGGTGTACAAAAAACCCCCTCCACAAACAAATATCAAAACAATTACAGGAAATAAAAACAGCATTGTGGAAGCTGAGAAAATAATAGGCCAAACACTATTCAGCAAACTAAGACAATACAGTGAATTTAAGAAGCCTGGACAAATCAAAATATTTTGGCCTGGAATTGAAAAGCAGACTCGAGTACAATTGAACAAAGCAGGTTTCCAACGGGGGGTGGGCCATGAGGGGCCATTTAGTCCACAGGGGACAGGGGCTGATCTGTGACTCCTGAGGTCCCATTCACACGTCTGCTTGTCCTGTGCCTAGACAGCATACATAGGTCCAAGCAGTTTCCCCCTTGCCCTCCTTCTTTCCCAAGGAAACCCTGCTCTTTAGTGCTAAATTGGTACAAACGTCAATCTGGAGAAAACCCGAATTGCCGTTCACTAAAGAGCAGTTTTCTCCAGGGTGAGGGGAAGTGTGGCTAAGCCCTGAGTGGTCCTGCATTTTAATTCAGCCTCTGCTCCTTGGGCAGTTGCAAAAGTGTTCCTGGGGAAGTTGATGGTAACGATAAAGTACTAATAAAACACCTTCATTGAAAAAAAAGTTGAAGTGCGTGTTAAGGATGAGTAGCAAACAAGTAATGGTGGCGGCAGCAGAATCTGAAAGCAAAAGAGCCACTAATTTAATAATCTCTTATTAGGAACACTTCAAACGATACGAACTATGTAAAACTTGTTATGCTGTGATCAGATCCACCTTCTCAGGGTTGGGGTTTGTCCAAAGAGCAACCAGCCAGCCAGGACAAGGTGCAAGGCCGGAAAAGCTCACAATAGGCCTCGCCTTGTTCTTTGCACCCACCTCCTGTGACTCCAAGGCATACGACTGCCTCTGAACATGGAGGCTCTGTAGAATTATGCAGCTCAACTCCTCACAACAGGGCAAGTGGGGCTGGGGAGAGACATTAACCTCTGTGGGTACATTGCATCAGGACATCCTCACATCCATCGTTTCCGTTCAAATGTGCTAATACAGGGTGCTTTGGTGGGTTAGCACATGGGAATACCGCAAAGCTGCTTATTACTCAATATCCTCCAAACAGGGGTGTCAACAGGATTTGACAGGACTGCTACATTGTTTGGGGATTGAGGCCCCTGCATCGCATCCTTCTCGCTTCTGCAATCTGTCGGCAAGAACTGTTGTACATATATTAATTTAGTCTAACTTACATCGCAAGGCTGTTGCGAATGTAAAAAGAGGGAGGGAAAGAAAACGTACACAACCCTGGCCTCCTGGGAAGAAAAGCAAGATGCAAACACAGGATCAATGTAATTAGCTCCCACAGGAGGCAGCTGAAAGTCACCAACTTGGATGGCTTTAAAGGAGGAATAACACAAGAGGCGGGGCTTTTTCACAGGCAGCCCTCGTGTTGTGGAATGCTCTCCCAATTTGTAGTAGCATTCCCTCTGTCCATCAAGACACCCCTTTTTAGGTGCAACTATTCCCCTGATCTCCTGACTTCCCATTCATTCTTAACCATTACGTTTTGCTGTTTCATGGGTTTGTTTATTAAGGATGTTTGTTTTCATTGCATTTGTGTTTGGCCATATTCTTAAAACTTGTTTTCTATTTGCAACCCCCTTATAAGTCTTTATGGCAAGTAAAATTAATGATGGATGATGCTGTGAGAAGCGCCTCCTTGTTTGCAAGGCCGTCTGCTCCTGGTCTTCATGTTCATCTTTTGTAGGCCAAAGAAATGACCGTCCCAAAGTGGTTACCAAGTATGGGCCCTTGCAGGGCATGCTGGCCAGCGTGAAGGGCATCGACCAGCCTGTGAATGTCTTCCTTGGGATCCCTTTTGCCAAACCGCCGGTCGGAGCCCTGAGATTCTCCCCACCGCAACCAGCAGAAGCGTGGAGCCATGTGAGGGAGTCAACGTCTATCCCTCCCGTGTAAGAATGAGCCAAATGTGACTTTGCTGGACATCCTCCTTGGGCTAGATTAATACGAAGGTCCCTTTCCTGTCTTGCTTTTAGTTGGTAGCAAAATGGTTTTCAGACCCAACTCAAATCCTCTGCTGTAAGCAAAAGAGTGCCATTTGGTACAGAAAGAACAGCTATGTTAATCTGTGTCCATTGGTAAAAACAATTCTCTCAGGTCAGAAAGGGGCAAAACCTGAAACATTGTCTGGATAACTCTAGCTTGCTTTAAGATAGGAAAGCTATTTGGGAGCACAGTTCTTTGGGAAGAAAGAGGGTTATAGCTCTTTAAGTAAACAAATGGGAAGATGCTCCCTGGCCCTCAAACCCGTCATGAGTCTATTGGAGGCAACAACAGCCTCCTCATGGCTCCATTCCAAGGGCTGGGGCAGTATCTGTCTTCCAAGCCAAAGGGACTTTGCACCTGTTTAATCCAGCATTCAGAGGGCACCCAATTTCCCCAAGGAACCGCCAGCCTCTGGAGCTGAGGGATAAGGAGGTTTTACTCCGTGTTGTTCACCTGCCCTCCCTTCAGGTGGTGGGGGTGATTGTGGGAGCAGCGCAAATTGGGCAGTCCACACAGTTTGCTTCTAGGCATCAGCAGTGCTGCTTAGGGGGTGTTTCCCCTATCACCACCACCCATGGAACTGAGAGCAGGGGCTGGGCTGCTAAGCAAACATGTCCACCTTTAAGGCAGCAGGCGACAGAGGAGCTTCTATGCAAAAGAACTGCAGTTCCAGCTTTTCCAGTCTGACCACATTGAATGCCCCAGGGCCTCTTTTCTGGTTAATGAGGAGCAGAGCACGCAAGGCTCTTGTCAAGCAATGAGTCAGTGGGAAACGCACACAGGAGCAGTGGCTACTGGAGACAAGCAGACCCATGAACTTCTGTCCTGCATGCAAATGTATTCTGGTCTACAACAATTTGGTTTCTCCCGAGTAATCCTGTGAATTGTAGCTTGAAGTCTCAGCTGGAGCCCCTGCCAGGCACACACTGGCTACATCTCTCTGGGTTCCTGAGAAGGCAGGTGGTGGTGAAAGCTGTTTAAATCTCTCACACACACACCCCAACCATGAGCGTGACAGATAAGAGCTGCGCTCTCCTTACCGTCCTTTCACATCCTTTTCTTTCTTCTCATCTGTTTCAAAGGTGTCTGCAAGGCTTGGAATGGCTGGCTGGCTTTAGCAAGATGCTGAATATGACGCTTCCCGACATAGCAGTGGCCGAAGATTGTCTTTACCTGAATGTTTATACCCCAGACACCAAGGCCAAATTGCCTGTAAGCAAACAAAGCCTTCCTTACGAGTATTGCCTCATGCTGCCTGCAAATGTGCAACCAGAAGCAGCGCAGGATGGGAGGCAGTTGCTCTTGAGGCCAGCAGGGCAGAGGACAGAAACAGCAACCCACAGTATTATGGGGCTGTTGCTCTCCCCCTTTAACTGCCCATGCTCCACTCGCACATGCACACAGGCTTCTTGCACCTTTCTTTCCACAGCTGGCAGACATGGAGTGAAGAAAACAATCAGCAGCAACTCTTTACCTTCAGTCTGTAGTTGACTCTTCTCTGAGACATTCCCCCTCCTTTTCCTCAGCTTTTGACTGGCGTCTCTTCACAGTCCAAGCCCTTCAGCTGCCCATCCACTCCCTGCATCTCCTCAGCCACTCTGGATGCTCTGCATCTGGGCTTCTGGGTTCACCCCAACCCCTTGTAGAGTCTGATTCCCCATCCAATCTGAAACCATACTGGAAGCTGCTTAGTAGCTTTGCAAATGTGGTAGCGGTTTTATTGCTGCAATGGCATGGATTCTGCCTTTCAGCTGCTCCTGGTGCAAAGCACCCAACTTCTCTTGAACGCTCTTTTAGTGCTGGCCCTGTTGCTCCATTAACACCAAGTTGATCTGTGCCAGGGATGTTGCTGTTATAACGAGTTCCTTTTATTTTGTGTATTTTCCCAGGTCATGGTCTGGATCCACGGAGGGGCTCTGATATTAGGTGGAGCTTTTATGAATGATGGATCAGCCTTGGCTGCTTATGAAAAGGTGGTAGTCGTTGTGATTCAGTACAGGCTGGGTCTCCCAGGATTCTTCAGGTGAGATAGTTTCTAACACTTGAAAAAACAGCACTAACTTAAAGGTTCACAGGGCACATGCAACCTCTTTGGTGAAGATTAGATCTGCCTTTGCTTCTCTTGCTAGGAGTAATAAATAAAAAACTTTGCAAGGAGAGGAAGGGAGGTGTAACGAAAAGGGAAGAGGAGGGGAATCCAACTTGCTTCATCGCTGCATCTTCCTGATTTGCACCACGCAAAATAAGACACAACCAAAAGACCTGCTTCCCTTTGAAATTAGTATTTCTCCAAATTTTGTGATACAGTTATCCAACCAGAAAATGCATGTGGAAACCCATATTAGGGGAAATGTGGAAGAAAAGGCATATATTAGTGAAAACAGCCTGCAAAGTTGAGAAGCTGGAAGTCCCAAGCAATAGGGTCCTGAAAGAAGGGCTGAATGAAAGGAAAAATGGAGCGACAGAGGAGACACATGAATGGCTGAAATGAGAAGGATCCTGGAGGAAATTCTCACTTTGCGCTACCTGGCTGCTGTTGCCCATTCCAGAGTGGTGGTTCTGAGGCAGAAGACTGCTCGCTTCTCAGGTCAAACCTTCAGCTTATCTCCTTGCAGAGCAGAGATAGATCATTTGGGGGGTGGGGGGTGCATGTTAACCATCTAGTAGTTTCTCCATCGCTTGACTATTGCCTTTCTTTTAGCACTGGTAGCAGTGATGCCCGTGGAAACTGGGGATTGCTGGATCAAGTAGCTGCTCTCCAGTGGGTTCAGGAGAACATTGCACATTTTGGAGGAGATCCCAATTCTGTGACCATATTTGGAGAGTCTGCAGGAGCATTTAGTGTTGGTGCTCAGGTAGGGATCCACTAAATATGGAGATCGCAAAGGCTCTGAGGACTCTGCCAGAGATCTCTAAACTGGGGCTGGGAAGTGGGCAGAAGAAAGATCTGAATCCAGTTGCAAATCACTTTTATGCTGTAGATCTCCAAGGATTTCTGGTTTAACAAGACCAACAACAAAGTGCTTCTTCCATATTAAAGGACACTACTGGCAAAACTAAGATAGTTTGGGGGAGAGAAGGGTATTTGTGTGGAAGGGCTGGAAGGGCCGTTCAGCTCTAGTACTCAGACACAACAGCTGCCTTTGCAAGAAATGTTACGTCTTCCACAAAATAGTCTGAAGCAAAGCAGGTTGGCTCCGAAACTCTGGACCTGCTCAGCTCAGGAGCTTCACTGGGCATTTGAGATCTGCCAAAGCTGCCTTCAGAGCCACCTGTGCCATGGAGACAGTGCTGGTGGGGGAGCCCACATCCACCTTTGGGAGAATAGACTCTATTTAGGGCTTGCAAGGCTTTGTTTTCCATTTGTCAGCCAATGGAGACAGTACTGTCTCCATTGACTTGCATGGAGAGAGGAGGGTGGTTACACCTGAAGCTTTGGAAAACCAAAACAAGGTTGTAGCTTGCATCCAAAGCAGTGAGTAAAGGTAAAATGCACACCCATTACACCCAGCACAGCCAGCTGTCCACTGAGATAATGCAAGGATTGTTCACACCTGAGCTTAATGTGCGTTTGAAGCTGTTTGCATTCCCATTTAAGTTCAGTCGTAACTTGGTTTTTGAACAGCTTAGTTCTCGAACGTTTGGGCTCCCGAACACTACAAACCCAGAAGTGACTGTTCTGGTTTGTGAACTATTTTTGGAAGCCAAATGTCCAGCGCAGCTTCCGATTGGCTGCAGGACCTTCCACGCTTTGGTTTTTGTACATTTTGGAAGTCGAACGGACTTCTGGAATGGATTCCGTTCGACTTCCAAAGTACGACTGTAATGCCCTACACAAGACATCCCCCTCAGACAGCAGCTCTCCTGCTGATATTTAGATTGAATTGACCCTGTGAATTTAGATTGCCCTGATCCAGGGATAATCCAGTAGGTTTTGAGAAATGTGACTCCACTCCACTTGAGATCGTGAATGCATTGCCTTGGATTTTGCTCCCAAATTTTAAAAAAAATGTATTTATGTATTTAATTATTACTTTTGAACTGCACAGAAAACTTTAGTTTGGGGACAGTATGTAAATATTGAAAATAAATACAGTAAATGCCATATTAAAAGACACCTTTGATTTTGAATGCCTTGTTTTGTGTCTCTCACCTGCCCTCCCTCTTCCTCTGCTCCAGCTTCTGTCCCCCTTGTCCAAGGGCTTGTTCCACAGGGCCATCTCTGAGAGCGGAGTCACTCAGCTTCCAGGCCTCATCACTAGCTGCCCAGAAGTCCTTGCTCAGGTGAGTCTGTTGTTGTTGTGCAGGGAGACAATACCCTTAAGAGCAATAGTCTGGTTCCCAAACTGCTTTGGACTGTTCCAGGGAATGAAAGTTTGAGGATTGCAGCTTAAGCATCTCTCAGATATTAATCAAAACAGACTAATATAAGGGGTGAATCAAAGCCTTCAAAAAGATGGAAGAGAGACAGCCTCTGAGCATGAGCAGAGCTCTGTAGCCAAGGGGGCCCCATCTAGTCCAGCATCCTGTTTTCACAGTGGCCAATCAGATGCCTAAGGAAAGCCTGCAATAATTTGCTGGGAGGGAACATGGAACTGTGATTTACAGTACAGTGGTACCTCTGGATGCCCCAGGCTAAGCAACTGGCTAAGCAACTGGCAGCTGGCCTACATAAGTGACTTGTCAAGCAAGAGAAATGGACAGTAGAGGAAATGGCCAGAGATGCACAGGGTTGTGGGATTTGATCAGAAATTATTGTCAATGAATTAAACCCAGTCAACACAATGCATTCATCATGGACACAATGGCTTGATGCATATTTTATAATTCCTCATAGTAATCCCACCTGACCCCACACTCTGTATATTTGCACCCCTACACTCCTCATCACTCAGCACAATATCTAACATTAGGGCTAAAATTAATAACACAAAAATTGCAATTTTGGGAAACCTCCAACTCATGGTCCTATCAGTAAGAACAGGAATCAGATATGGGGCATTATGAGGGCAGCCTTCCCCCGGTTATGTAACTCCCCCCATGAAATCCGGCAGCCCTCCTCCACACATGACTTTATATGCTTTCAGGAAACATGTTTACACCTTTTCTTTTAAAAAAAATCATGCAAGCTTCTGACCAAAAAGGTTTACACTGCTGGTTTTAACTGCTGCTTACAGTAAGTTTTAGTGTTGTTTTGAATTGGTGGTCTGGGGGCCTCCTTGGGATGAAAGCAGGGGAGAAATGAAACGCATTAAAAAATGCTGTTATGCAGTTTCATTATTGAGCCACCCTGGCCCTTTGGAGAGGAAGGGTGGGTTATAAACAGGAAATTATAGACAAGAAATAATAAGAATACTGTAAGTGAGGGTGGGGATTTAAAAGCAAAGATGTCATCGTGCCATGCTTTGTTTCAACAGCACGTTGCCCGGTTTTGGGGTGTGTGTGTGTGACTGGCCCTGTGGCCTATCATGGATGCTTAAAAGATGTTGAAATTCCTTGTCCATGAAGACAGGGGTCCTTGTTTCAGGATGACAACCACCCCGAGATGAGTGACAGCCTTAAGCTCTGCTTCAAACAAGCCCATGGAAATGTCAGGCTGTTGTGATTATTAGTAGTGGTTAAGAGCAGTGGATTTGTAATCTGGTGAACTGGGTTCGCTTCCCCGCTCCTCCACATGCAGCTGCTGGGTGACCTTGGGCCAGTCACACTTCTCTGAAGTCTCTCAGCCCCACTCACCTCACAGAGTGTTTGTTGTGGGGGAGGAAGGGAAAGGAGAATGTTAGCCACTTTGAGACTCCTTAGGGTAGTGATAAAGCAGGATATCAAATCCAAACTCCTCCTCTTCTAATCTGTATTATTATGTTATTCCCCCCTCCTCCATCAAAAGTTCTCACATAAAATTGCAAAAGCCTCTGGCTGTGAGGCCAGCAGTTCCGCGCTGGTGCATTGCTTGAGGAGCAAAACAGAAGAAGAACTCAGAACCCTGAATACCAACTTGACCCTGGTGAGTCTGAAAACTTCAACGACATCCACATAATGTGATGCTCTTCCGCTCTGTTTTTGCTCTCCTTTGTTTATTTGGGTCGGGAGGTACGTGGGCCACAAACTGTTGGAATCTTCCTAGATGAAAAAGATTTAAACATGAGGGAGTTTGCATTGTTATCCAAGGGGGCAACTATGCACACATGCCTAAAGGTTTGTTTGGACTAAGCCCATGCCTCTCCAGGGTCTTTCTGTTTGGCGATTCGTCATTTTGCCTCATACAAACACACATGCATTTTTCTCATTCCAAATCCTTCTTGGTCGGGTTTCAAGTATATTAACACTTTGGGGAAAGGCTACAGTTTAGTGGGAGAGAATCTGGCTTGCATGTGGAAGGTTCCAGATTTAATCCCAGCATCTCCAGGTTGGAGTGGGAAAGGCCCATGCCCAAAACCTTGGAGCGTGGCTACCAGTCAGTGGAGATAATATTGAGCTAAATGTGGTCTGGCTGGTAATAAGGCAGCTTCCTATGTCCCTGCTTTTGGAATTGTCCAGTTTTGCTTCATTCTTGTTATACATAACTTTTGCAGTTGTTTCTAGGGATCCAATACACATTAAAGAGAACTTTTCTTTAAAAACAAACAGGGATTTGGGATTATCCCCGCAGTAGTTGATGGAGAGTTCCTTCGAAAGGCACCCAAGGAACTACTGGCCTCAAAGGAACTCAACACTGTCCCATATCTACTAGGTGTGAATAATCACGAATACGGATGGGTTGTTCCTGCGGTAAGTTGCTCGCAATTTATTTTTCTACCCTGATGTGTGGCTGCAATAGAGTCTGGTGCTTTTGAATAATATTTTGAAAGCAAAATATGTTTGCTGCAACTCCCTGCCCCTCCTCCCCTTCTTCCTCATCCTCTTTATGGATTTACCATGTCTTTTGTGGCTTTACAAACTCAGGTAAAAGGAGTGAAGGCCAGGTTCCATATTCCTTGGATGATATTGAATGTGAAGTCTCTATTTAATTCCACAGGCAATGAACATCTCCGGCATAACTGAAGGCATGGATAAGGAGACCATCATTGCATTGTTTCAGCAGATAACCGCCTCCATGGTAAGGGAGAAGTCAATGAGCCCTACTTACTGAGCTTTCTACAAGCTCCAGTGTGTATGGGAAAGGGGAGATAACATAAAGAGGGGCAGAAGAAACACCTGCAAAACAGGGCCGGCCCCTTCCAAAGGCCTTTCCCTTCCAGCCCTTTGTGGTTTCATTTCTGCAGCCTTTAAAGCAGGGATTAAACATGTATCTAGGATCAAATGATCCACAACATCAGGTGCCAGTTACAGAAACAAGAACAAAAACTCTGGGTGTGGTGGCTGGGGGGGGGGGAGCCTCCATACCTTTGCAGAGTGTGAGACCCACCCACAAGCAGCTGGTGGCAGTGGAGGAAAACTAGCGGCCCCTTTGCTTTCGTTTGCAAACAGGCATCTCTGCTGCCGCTTTGCATGTCTTAGAGCAGGGATGTCCAACAGGTTGTTGTTGTTTAGTCATTTACTCGTGTCCGACTCTTCGTGACCCCATGGACCAGAGCATGCCAGGCACTCCTGTCTTCCACTGCCTCCCGCAGTTTGGTCAGACTCATGTTTGTAGCTTCGAGAACACCGTCCAACCATCTCGTCCTCTGTCGTCCCCTTCTCTTAGTGCCCTCCATCTTTCCCCACATCAGGGTCTTTTCCAGGGAGTCTTCTCTTCTCATGAGGTGGCCAAAGTATTGGAGCCTCAGCTTCACGATCTGTCCTTCCAGTGAGCACTCAGGGCTGATTTCCTGAAGAATGGATACGTTTGATCTTCTTGCAGTCCATGGGACTCTCAAGAGTCTCCTCCAGCACCATAATTCAAAAGCATCAATTCTTCGGCGATCAGCCTTCTTTATGGTCCAGCTCTCACTTCCATACATCACTACTGGGAAAACCATGGCTTTAACTATACGGACCTTTGTTGGCAAGGTGATGTCTCTGCTTTTTAAGATACTGTCTGCCATCGCCTTTCTCCCAAGGAGCAGGCGTCTTTTAATTTCATGACTGCTGTCACCATCTGCAGTAATCATGGAGCCCAAGAAAGTAAACTCTCTCACTACCTCCATTTCTTCCCCTTCTATTTGCCAGGAGGTGATGGGACCAGTGGCCATGAGCTTTGTTTTTTTGATGTTGAGCTTCAGATCATATTTTGCGCTCTCCTCTTTCACCCTCATTAAAAGGTTCTTTAATTCCTCCTCACTTTCTGCCATCAAGGTTGTGTCATCTGCATATCTGAGGTTGTTATTTCTTCCGGTGATCTTAATTCCAGCTTGGGATTCAGCCTTTCGCATGATGAATTCTGCATATAAGTTAAATAAGAAGGGAGACAATATACAGCCTTGTCGTACTCCTTTCCCAATTTTGAACCAATCAGTTGTTCCATATCCAGTTCTAACTGTAGCTTCTTGTCCCACATAGAGATTTCTCAGGAGACAGATGAGGTGATCAGGCACTCCCATTTCTTTAAGAACTTGCCATAGTTTGCTGTGGTCGACACAGTCAAAGGCTTTTGCATAGTCAATTAAGCAGAAGTAGATGTCTTTCTGGAACTCTCTAGCTTTCTCCATAATCCAGCGCATGTTTGCAATTTGGTCTCTGGTTCCTCTGCCCCTTCGAAATCCAGCTTGGCCTTCTGGGAGTTCTCGGTCCACATACTGCTTAAGCCTGCTTTGAAGAATTTTAAGCATAACCTTGCTAGCGTGTGAAATGAGTGCAATTGTGCGGTAGTTGGAGCATTCTTTGGCACTGCCCTTCTTTGGGATTGGGATGTAGACTGATCTTCTCCAATCCTCTGGCCACTGCTGAGTTTTCCAAACTTGCTGGCATATTGAGTGTAGCACCTTCACAGCATCATCATTTAAAATTTTAAATAGTTCAGCTGGAATATCATCACTTCCACTGGCCTTGTTATTAGCAGTGCTTTCTAAGGCCCATTTGACTTCACTCTCCAGGATGTCTGGCTCAAGGTCAGCAACCACACTACCTGGGGTATACGAGCCATCCATTTTTTTCTGGTATAGTTCCTCTGTGTATTCTTGCCACCTCTTCTTGATGTCTTCTGCTTCTGTTAGGTCCTTTCCACTTTTGTCTTTTATTATGGTAATCTTTGTACGGTAGAGGTCTTTGGCCCCTCCCCTGCCTTTATGGAAACCAGGGAGGTGGGATTAAGTCTTCATCACTGGTTCCCCACCCCTTCCCTCCCTGTCAGGGGTGCATCATTTACACCCCTCCACAAATCCATCCATTCACACCTACACACACCCTTGACACAGACATTTAAAGCTGCCTTTCTTTTGCCTCTCCCCTTTTCTCCTCCCACATCCCTGAAATTGTTCCCATTCACATGAGTGGGATGCTTTCACTAACCCTGTTGTCCAAAGGTGCAATTGAGGAGAGGGTTGTTTTCTTCCCAGCTCCTCCCCAGCCCATTCCAATTCTTCTCTCCTTGCATGATAAATTAGCCTTGGGGAGGGGGGAAAACCTATTTCCTCCTAAGCCTAATTGCCATGTTTGGGGGCAGGAAGCAGATGTGTGGGTGCCAGATCCCAAAGCTTTGCGGGCTGTGAGTGGCCCACAAGCCAGAGGTTTCCTCTCCTTGTTGTGTGTTATCGCTGCTGTTTCCTGGAAGAGCCCAGCTGCTGCACCCATTTCCCTGGCGGCATTTGCTGGGCAATGGATGTCGCAGGAGGGGAAGTGGTTCCCATGGCCTTCTCTAATGTGCCTGCTCCCTCCTTTCCTTGCAGAATTTATCACCTGAGCCTCTGCAGATGGCACTGGATGAATACTTGGGAGACACCAAGGACCGTGTCAAGTTACGAGATCGCTTTCTGGACATGATGGGAGATATGGTCTTTGTTGCTCCTGCTGTTGAGATAGCTAGATATCACAGAGGTGAATTCACTTTTGAAATAACGGAATGACCACAGCAAAGCGTTATTTATCTATTTTATTTATTAGATTTATATACCAACCTTCATCATAAGATCTCATTAGAAGCTCTTGCATTGGGGAAATTTCTAGAGGCTCCATGATTGTCAAGAGGTGCTGGGTTCTAGTCTTGGAACCCAACCCGGATGAGAAAAAAATACTTGCGTGGCAAGTTACCTCCCCCCAGTGAAATGAAGACACGGACACAATGATATAAGGTTAATGGGCGTAAATGGCCACAACTTTATTGATTACGAAAATTGAAGGTATTGGCCTTAGGCATTGGCTCCTATCGACTACCCGGCATGGTGACCGGGAAGGGTTGAACACAAACCGCAGGAGTCCTGTTGAAGTACGCCAACTAGGATCCCACGGGTGTCACCGCTCGGGGGCGTGCCGGGGGCCCTACCTCGCAAGGCTTCGGACAAGGCCACGCCCCCCGGAGTCCTCTACCGGACTACCCCTTACACATTGGGGGAAGGTGATGGCGCTTCCTTCCCCCCCTCCATTTGTCTAACCATTGCCCCAAGCCAATGCCTAACCGCCAATACCGAGAAAGTTGTGACGATTGCTACGAGGTAGGCGAAAAAACCAAAAGGCAAGAAATTGTGCCAACTTGGAAAAATTCCTACCAGGCCCCTTGCGGCGACCAACCGAAGTCCATAGCAACGCCAAGCCTACCTGATCTAAGGGTGGGAGGGATGGGAAAACCGCTCTGCAGCTGGCGAAGGGGGAAAAGAGGGCGGTCCCCGGGCGTGCCTGACCCTAAATAGCCCAGGCCACGCCTCCCCCGCCCGCCGATTGGTGGGCTGGGTGGCAGACCCGCCCGGGGATTCCCCCCAAGTCTCGCGGGGGCAAGGGAAGCCCCCGCGGACGTGGGGGGAGGTTCCTGCCCGCAACACCCTCTCCGCTGCAGGGGCGGAAAGGGCTTTGCGTGGCAAGTTACCTCCCCCCAGTGAAATGAAGACACGGACACAATGATATAAGGTTAATGGGCGTAAATGGCCACAACTTTATTGATTACGAAAATTGAAGGTATTGGCCTTAGGCATTGGCTCCTATCGACTACCCGGCATGGTGACTGGGAAGGGTTGAACACAAACCGCGGGAGTCCTGTTGAAGTACGCCAACTAGGATCCCACGGGTGTCACCGCTCGGGGGCGTGCCGGGGGCCCTACCTCGCAAGGCTTCGGACAAGGCCACGCCCCCCGGAGTCCTCTACCCGACTACCCCTTACACATTGGGGGAAGGTGATGGCGCTTCCTTCCCCCCCTCCATTTGTCTAACCATTGCCCCAAGCCAATGCCTAACCGCCACACGAGCAAAGCTCGCCGCCAATACCTTCAAACTCGCAACCAATCCCTAATCCCTGCACTGATGTCCCCCAACCACATATCGTTTCCTGCATCTGACAGGTGCACGCCATCCCATCTGTAGAGGGCCTCATTGTTGAACTGGATGCCAGGGTGACCTATGACACACCCACCCAGATCCGCCACTCTACGCTCCACAGCCCGCTCCAAGACCTTTCTAGCCTTATTGATTCCCGCGGGGCTCACACAATCTCTCCAAATCCTCCTCTCAAGCAGCGAGGACCATAAAATGGTAATATTTGGGTAAACCGCCTTTAAATGCGCCAAATCATCGAAAATGTGCCATCTCAAATCAATAGCCTTGCGGTATGCCAAGTCATTTTCCCCTAATTGAATTAACAAAGCGTCGGGAGGCCCCTCGGCGGCAGCCCTCGTAAACACCGCCGGTTCAAATTCGCTCCAGCGCATCCCTCTACGCGCAATCCAAGTCAGCTCAACGTTTGAAGGCAGGCTCAAATTTTGCCCCAGACCGGAACTCACAGCACGGTTCTTGGCCCAGTAGACTATACTGTGGCCCACCAACCAAATGCGCACTTTCTTGTTTTCTGCAGGGAAAATAAACGGAAAAGGAAAGGTCAGGACTACCACGGCAAGTCATAGGTTCTTTCTCACATAAGTTTTGTATGCATTCGATTTCCACCTCCCCAAGTCCTTGATCCTCTCCGTGGAGAGCCCTAAATGCACTGCGGTGGTGGCGGCCCCGATACGGAAGGAGTGGGCTGAAAATTCCTCAGCTGGGAAACCGCAAGCTGCAAGTGCAGCCCGCAGCACGCGTGTGAACTGGTGTCTAGACAAGCATGACCCATCTGCATGTACAAGAAATGGGCCAGGGCCACTGGGTCTCAAGTACAGAAAGCGCCGTGTGTCTCTTACGGGACAGGGGCCACTACCTTGCACGGCAGCTAGTCGTAGAAGAGCGCCCTTACCGAGCTGATCTGTCTTAGAACTCCGCACCTGAACAATCAGCTCGGACTCGGACAGGGACAGATCACTTAATAGTAAGCCTCTCTGAGAATGAGCCAGCCCGCGCTCACAGACCAGCTCCCCAATGCGTAGGGCACCAAAGAATGCAATGGAATAGGCGGCCGAGAACAAGCGCGCCTCATATTTAGACCAGCATATAGAGCGTAGCTTCTTGTGAATCTGTGTCAACGTGTCAAAAGTTAAGGGCCTCCTCCTGTCTAAACTGGGAGGGTGCTGCCGACGCCATCCCTCAAGAGTCTTACGGACAATAAAAGCTGAACATGGGTCAGCAGCAAAAAGGGCCTTACAAAAGTATGAGATTCCCGCGGACTGAATATTAAGAGTTTTAGGGGCCCTTCCCAACTCCCTTAGATGAGCCAAATAGCGGAGAACCTCCCTCGTTGAGGGAATGGAATAAGGCCCTGTGCAGGGCCTGCTGCTGCAAAATTTTAAGAAGTCGGCCCAGGCCTTCTTGTATGATCTCATTGTGGAAGGGGCCACGGCACCGATTAAACCTTTCATCACTTCTTGCTCCCAATGCTCCAGAGATGCTCCGGGAAAGGCATCGATGATTGCTCGGCATCCGGCGCTAACAAGCGGAAGCGCTCCATCTGAAAGCGAGACAAAGCATCCGCAATGTCATTGTTAATGCCGGGTACGAATTTGGCGGAAAAGTATATGTTGTGCTCTAAACAGAAAAGGACAAAAGACCGTAGGAGGTTCCCCACCCTGGATGAACGCGCTGACTGCTTGGAAAGAACCGCTACTACTGCTTGATTATCTGTATTGATGCAAACCCTGTGATTGCGGAACTGATCCACCCAAAGATGTACTGCTACCACGATAGGGAAGAATTCCAAGAATGTGAGATCCCGGGTGATGGGCTGGCCCTGCCATTCTGGGGGCCACCTTTTGGCGCACCACTGACCCCGGAAATACACCCCAAAGCCCAGCGAACCAGCGGCGTCTGACTGTACTTGAAAGTCGGCCGATAGGGACATGGAATCTTGCCATAGCGATATGCCGTTGTACCTGTCGAGGAATTGCAACCACATGTCCATATCCGCCTTCACTTCTTTGGAAAGCCGGACTCTATGTTGAGGAGCCCTGAGTCCTGCGGCCAATCTAGCCAGACGGCTGCAGAAGGGGCGCCCTGGCGCCACCACCCTACAAGCGAAGTTTAGGTGACCCAGCAAGGACTGAATTTGTCTCAGAGTGATTTTCTTTAGGGGCAGAAGCTGCTGAATCAGCGCTTTAAGAGCGGACAGCTTCCCCACGGGTAGCCGCGAAGTCTGAGCTACTGTATCCAATTCGATGCCTAAATAAACCAAAGAAGTAGTTGGACCTTCCGTTTTTTCTGCTGCCAGGGGAACCCCAAGTTCCTCTGACAGGGCAGTGAAGGCACCCAGGAGGGCGGAGCAGCCCAGCGTGCTGTCGGACACCAGGATAAAGTCATCGAGGTAATGGGACACGCCCACCGACCTTGACCTAAAGCGAAGGGCCCATTCAAGGAAAGTACTAAATGACTCGAATGCCGCGCAGGCTACCGAGCAGCCCATAGGCATCGCTTTGTCGATGAAATATTCCCCTTGAAATTTAAAACCCAACCAGCGGAAGTCAGCTGGATGGACCGGAAGGAGTCGAAAAGCAGACTCGATGTCACATTTTGCTAGCAGGGCACCCCTCCCGAATTGCCGAATCATCTTAACTGCTTGGTCAAAAGACGCATACTTGACTGTGCATAATTCCTGGGGAATAGCATCGTTGACAGAGCCCCCTTTCGGGTAGGATAGGTTATGGATCATCCGAAATTCTCCCGGGGTCTTTTTCGGAACGATGCCCAGCGGGGACAAGTGAAGCCCTTCAAATGGAGGCGCGGAGAAGGGGCCAGCCACCCTACCCGCTTTAATTTCTTTTTCTATCTTTTTCCTGGCTATATCAGGCCTCTCCCTAACTGACTTCTGATTTTCCGGCTCCCTGGGGGTAAGGGGAATTGACACGGGGATTCTGAAGCCCTTAGAGAAACCCTCCCAGAGGTATTCTGCAGCTTTTCGGTCTGGATATAAATCTAGTAGGATTTTCAGGGGCTGTAGGCGGATAGGGGTGTAGGCCATCGGAAGCATGTGGTTACTGGCGGCTACTGGGTCCTTGATGAGCGGGACCGGGGGCACCTCTAGCGTTGTTGTGGAAGTACCCCCTGCCCCCTCGAAAGGGCTGCTGTTTGTTCTTAAAGCACGCGGTGGCGGGGTGGTTACCCCAACACCGCTCGCACTCGTGAGAATACTTACAATAGGGGTGTGAACAGACACCCCGATTGAACTCCCAACACTGGCGGCGCCTTTTTGCTTCAGTCTTACCATTCTTGGACGTGTCCTGACTTTTCTTTTCTATGTAGGGATTGACGTCCAAGCCCCAGTAATTAGGATCGGTCAGGTCCCACCGGGTGGACGGCAGGAGAGATGCATTCCTGCGAAAATTCTCATCATACGTTAAGGCTGCGTTCTCTCCGGCGAGAGAGTACGCTGTTCTCACGTGCGTCAGATAGGCCACTAAGTCCATCGATCTCCGTGGATAAGCGGCACAAACAACTCCCATGAAGACTTGATACCCATCTAACCAATTTTCAAAAGTGCACTCCGCCCTGGGCGTTCTGTATCTTTTTTTACCGTGTGAGCGCCTCTTTTCGCCCTTACCCATTAGTTTGGCCGGGGGGAGAAGGGTAAAGATGTCGACATAGTCCCCATTGAGGATCTTATTCCTCTTCTTTTGGGACAAATGGTTCCCCACTATGAAATCAGTTGGCTGGTTGGTGGATACTTTAACATCTTCGACCAACGCACCATCTTTCCAGTCTAGAACTCCCTTGAAAGTCTTTCGGTGGGAGTTGGCCCTCCTCTCATGCGCCCACAAGGGAATCCCGTGATTGCTCTCACCCAAGCACCAGTACCCCTCCAACTGGTCTTCGGAATCAGACCCTGAAGAGGACGTACCTGAATCATCCTCTGTTTCCGATTGCTTGCTCCGCTTCTTCTTGGCCGACGTATGCTTCTTCTTAGCTTTCCTCTTACCCCCTTGTGCCTCAGCTGTGGGCGAGCCACTGCTGGCCACCGGCTGAGCGCTTGGAGGGTCTGGCTGCTCGCCCTCCGAACCGGAACACGCGCTGTCCTCTGTTGAGCTGTGCTGCGACTGCTGATCCTGAAAAACACTAGGAATGTCTGCGGCCTGTGAGCGAGTGTTACTTCCGGAGGCCTTGGAAGGCGCCTTCCCCTTACTGGGACCCTTTGCTGGTGCCTTCCCCTTTCCTAAGCCAAGGCTTACCTTCTTAGAGATCACCGTCTGGGCACGCGTATTGGGGCGGGTTGTTACCGAAGGCCCGGGAAGCACGTTACCCACAGCGTTCGCCTCTGACCCTTGCTGTCCCTGGTTATTAGGGGGAGTATCAGGTATCATGTCCTGAGATGGCTCGGGAGCGGGGAGCGCCGGCGCTCCCCCTGACTTGCATTTTTTGTAAAAGGTTTCGAAAGCCATAAAGAATTGGGCAAAGTCCTGAGGGTCAAATGGCATGGCCGGTAACCGCGCGCTTCCAGCGGTATTGGATGCGGGCTGGGTGCCGGAGGTGGATGGCTGTTGGTCGCTGCCCGAAGCCATTCCTGAAACAAGGCAGGCCCCAGAGACTGGAATAGAGTTCAGTATGGGCTACCCTGACTGCTCAAGGCCTCTATTTATTTATTTATTTATTTATGTATTTCTTTATTTAATTTATTTATTTGTTTATTTAATTATTTATTTATTATTATACTATTATTATATATCTACTTGTATTTTATTTATTTATTTATATATTTAGACTATCCCTTCCAAATTTGGCTTGTGCAGTTTTTCTAACTCAATGCTACAATCTCACTTTGATTTGCTTTACCTACTATTTCAACAAAATTATATTATAGCAATGCAATTCTCTCTATGTACTCAAGTATTGCCTAAATGCTCCTCAACTAGTAAGAAAATTTGCAGCAAATGAATATAAGTTGGTTTTTTTTTAAGGACTAAAATATATAGCTAAATTTTCTAATTATATAGAATAAATCTCTTACGATGCCTAAACAACCTATTGCGTGAATAGCCTGGCTGCTAAAGTGATAGAATGCTGTAGAAATAAGGGATCCGAATTACAGGCTGCAATAAAAACTCCTGCCGCTAGGTGGCAGTGTTCCCTAGGGAGTAGCACCAAGAAACCCTCAGCTGCAAACAAAAAGCAGTTCAAGCACAAGAATATAAAGCAACGAACATAGGCCCACAAAAGCAGTCAAATTAGCCAAAATCAATGCGATGCAATTAAATTCTACCAAATAATAAGGCCAAAGATCGTCACCAGTAAGCTGTTTGCCTTATAATAAAACGGAAGCCTGTATATTATACTAGGTACTGGAGTGTGCCACACTTAAAATGGCCGCTCTGGCCTACCCACGTGACACTACAAAGATGGCGCCAGTCACAAGCTTATTCCCTTCTCCTAACCAAAATGGCGACCGCCACGAGAGCTGCTGGGGACCACACAACAACAAATAAAACAGCAGCCTTATGTTCCTATTGTCATCAATATTGTATTAATACCAGCTGGATTAAGGCTCTAGAAAGTAAACCAACCCCTGGCCCGCCGGGAGCCAGCTGCCGATGCGGGTGCGCCTCACGTATAATGGCCGCCGCAGAGACCACGTGGTCTGGGCAAGATGGCGCCCGACGCCCTTTTTGCTGCCCCGGTAACCGCACGCGCTTATACTGCACCTCGCGAAGCCGTTCACAATTAGCAAAGCAAGGAAGGAACAAACTGCCCTAGAGCATTAAAATGCAGCGAATGCAGTAAGCAGAGAATGGGGAAAGGTAAAACGCTGTCTATTCCCACGCGCAGCACCCACGGCGATGCAAAGCAAGGCGGCACGCGAGCCCTCCCCCCGCCAAACAGCTGATCTGCGCAAGGTCCCCTAACGCTCCCAGCGTAGTCCCCCCCGGTCACCTTCCGTGAGCGCTGAGGCGGCTCACGCTCCTCAAATGCCCGAGAAATCGGATGCGGCTGGTAAAGTCCCGCTCTGGAAGTCTTCGTGATCACGGAAGAGTGTGTGGGGGGGGTAGCCACGCCGGCCCCTAAGTTGCTCACGTCCGCTGCCCCGATACCCTCTCAGCGAACTGGCAAGGCAAAATCCGAACCCGAATTGCGGGAAAAACCAACAAGCCCGCACAACAAAGAAAAAGAAGAAAAAAGAAGCCCAAGCAATGCACAGCTGAGCAAAACGCAGCGGAAAAAGAAAACCGCTCTGCAGCTGGCGAAGGGGGAAAAGAGGGCGGTCCCTGGGCGTGCCTGACCCTAAATAGCCCGGGCCACGCCTCCCCCGCCCGCTGATTGGTGGGCTGGGTGGCAGACCCGCCCGGGGATTCCCCCCAAGTCTCGCAGGGGCAAGGGAAGCCCCCGCGGACGTGGGGGGAGGTTCCTGCCCGCAACACCCTCTCCGCTGCAGGGGCGGAAAGGGCTTTGCGGGGAGGGGGAGGGAAGATGCTTCTGGTCCAGGGGAGTGGGTTCAGGCTGCCTCACCCTTTTGCTCTCCCCACAACCTGTCCTCTGATCCTATGCCAGGTGGAGTATGCAGATTATTTATTATGGATCAATTTCTAACCCCACTTTTCCGCCCAGTGGAACCACAGCAAAGTACGAAGTGAAATACAAACTAACATTCAAAACCATTAGACCCACACAGATAAAATGTCTTCCATGAAACCAGTGTTTTTCTTCTAAAAATATGTTTAGGGGGTACTCTCATTCTGACTCAAGAAAAGCACCATTTTATAGTTCAAATCAGGGAAAATAAATACAGTAAATGGGCTAAAGTACAAAGATTCACAAAATGTTTTGGGGGTATGCATCCCCCTGTGTCCACCCAGAAAAAAAGCACTGCATGAAACTAATGCCACCATATTTACAGTTGATATTGTAAGTAAACTTTGGAGACCAAAACCCTGTCTGATTCTCCCTCCCCCCCCCCAATTTATTTACTGCATTTATATTCTACTCTCTTTTTTCTGCAAGGAGCTCAAGGTAGCACCCTCATTTAACCCCCATACAACAACCTTTTTGCTGTAGTTTAGGCTGAGAGGCAGTGACTAGCCAAGGTTATGCAGTTAGCTGCATGGCCAAGTGGGGATTTGAACCTGGGTCTCGCAGGTTCTAGGTCCAACATTCCACCCTCTGTGCCACACTAGCTTTGCTTGCTGATAGAAGGTCATCAGAGAATGGGCTGTGTGGGCTTCCTTTGGCCAAGATATCGAAAGTCCAGGAGCGGTCACTTTCTTGAAATTTCTGCCAAATATACTTCTTCAGGTATTTGTGGCACAGACAGAGGCTCTCTTTCTCTCCTCCTCTGTCCCGGATCTCAACACTCAAGCAGACTTGTATGAGAGCAATCTTTTGGATATCCTGGTCCCAAGTCATGTACTGTCATAGTGAACATTTTGACTTGTGCCCAGAGACGACTTCTAGACAGTGTGTCTTGCTCCCAGTAGCTGGCAGTGACTAGCTGCCCAGGCATTCTGAGCCAGTTGCTATAGGAGTCCAAATTATAGCTGCCACTAAGACATGTGTCCCTGTGATGCGGTATGTGGTGAACACATGATATTAACAAATGCATTGTGCATGCTAATGACTGTGATCATATTTGCTCTGTGGATCACAACCATCGTAATGTATGGTGTCCCAGTAATCCCTGCAAACACTGATCTCTCTCTCTCCCCCCTCCCCCACCCACTTTTTGTTTCAGATTCTGGAGCTCCTGTCTACCTTTATGAATTCCAGCACCGGCCCAGTGCATTAAAAAACGCAAAGCCAGATTTTGTGAAGGCAGATCATGGTGATGAACTTGCCTTTGTATTTGGGGTGCCATTCTTAGGCAGTGAGTCAGCCACTTTGATGGGTAAGAATCTTATTGATGTTTTCTTCTGCTTTGCTTCTATAAGGCAGGGAAAGGTGCAGTTGCACAGGAGAAAGTCAATAAGGTCAGAAGCATTTCTTAAGGCTGGGCAAGACTGGCTTCCTTTGTAATGGAGATTATTGCCTCAATAGCTGGATCTTCCTTAAGTCTTCTGAAGGCGTAGGTGGCATGGCATAGGGGGGGCTGCAATCGCCCTGGGTTCATTTTCCAGGGTGGGGCAAGCACTGCTCCTGCCCCTCCCTGAGCCAGGCTGGCACCGCTTTGTGAGACTAGGATCTGATATATCCCAGCCTTGCAAAGCCACTTGGGGAGGGCGGCGTGAGAAGGGAGCATGGCTGGTGTGCCTTTCTTATGCTGCCCTCCCCGGATTCGAGCCTTGCAAAGCCATTCTGGGAGTGCAGCGTGAGGACACAACAGGCTTGCCACTAGGGACTGGTGTTGCTCCAGCAGTGACGAGGGCTGGCTGGCTGAGCTAAGTGGGCTCCATTTGTTCTCTGTGTCTTGCCCCGATGTGAGCGCATGCGAACTGGGCACCATGGAGACACATGGCCTTTCCCACTTCTAGCTCAGGATAAGTGAGCAGGAAGGGGCAGAGTGTTGCAGCTCTGGAATGTGCCTTTTGGGGGTTTGCCTCACTCTGGAAGTCTGATGTGGGTTTTGCTTCTGGGGTGTTTAAACTGCTGCCTCCAGCTATGCTTAACCTGTATACATCTGTAAAGAAACTCTAATATTATGAAACGGCCTCAGCGACCTCCTTCCAAAGGCAACCAAACTTGGGTGAGTGGAGCTGACCTGGAACTTCTCCCCACTTGGAGAAGCGGGCTGAATAACAACATTATCAAGGATTAATTTAATCATTAACCAGCTTTAGCAGTTCACAGGCTGCTGTTTAAATATGCCCATGGAATTTGATTTCAATATTTATCAGACTGCCCAGCCCCCCCCAAATGGGAACTGTAGTTTAAGGGTGCTGGGAACTGCAACTCTGTGGCGTGCAAACTACAGTTCCCAGTGTTTGATAGTTGATATCTTTACTAAGCCACTCTGGGAATTTATCTGAAGGGTACTAGGAGTTTACGTCTGATAGGAAACAAAAACCATAAACAGATGAGGAAGCAAAACAAATTTTAAGCAAATGATAACATTGAAATACCTCTTTAAAGCTCTACTGATAGTCAATACCATAAATTCTACATGAAATACTACATGCTACATGACTAATACGTTCTTCCCCCTGTACTTCTCACATAAAGCGACAGAGGCCGAGAAAGAGCTCAGCAGAAAAATGATGAAATACTGGAGCAACTTTGCCCGAAATGGGTGAGATTCTTGGCTATTTCAAAACACTATGCCTCAGTGGTTGCAATATTTGCATTGTTATTAATAATTGCTATTATTTGATATCTATCATAAAGCATCTGTAGGTGTCTTACAAATACAAGGACACCAACACAAGTTTAACAATAAACCACAATGACAGCAAAATTGTAATACAGAAGCAGCAATAATCTTGATAATCCTATTGTCGGAAATGCCTGGAAGAAGACCTACATTCTGACCTGATGCTGAAAGGATGTAAATAAATGACAGCACCAGGAAGGCCTTGCTGGGGAGGCTGCAGCCAAAATGGCCCTCTCCCTTGTCACCACCTTCTCCATGGGTAGGCCGGGGCTGGATCCAGCCCAATCGCCTTCTAAATCCGGCCCGCGGACGGTCCGGGAATCAGCGTGTTTTTACATGAGTAGAATGTGTGCTTTTATTTAAAATGCATCTCTGGGTTATTTGTGGGGCATAGGAATCCGTTCTTTTTTTCCTTCAAAATCAAGTCCGGCCCCCCACAAGGTCTGAGGGACAATGGACCGGCCCCCTGCTGAAAAAGTTTGCTGACCCCTATTCTAAACTTATCTTGGAGGGGAGACCCAGCGAAGGGCCTCAAACAATGAGCACAAGGTTTAAGAGGAGAGGCTTTAGGGCAGGGGTCGGCAGTGCTTACCTTGCCTGGGCTGGTTCACTGCTGCAGAGCCCCCTCTGTGGGCCAGATTGCAGGCGCATGATTTCCGGCGCCATAAAAGCGAGTCCCCATGCCGGTTTAGCGCAGCGCACGGGGGCTCGCTGAGCGGGTGGCTCGGTTCGGGGGCGGCTCGTGGGCTGGTAAAATGACCCCCGTGGGCCGTTTGTGGCCCATGGGCCTTGGGTTGCTGACCCCTGCTTTAGGGCCTTGAGCCACATAAGGCTTTCCAGGTTAAAACTAAGACTTGGAATTGGTCCCGGAAACAGATAGGCAGCCAGTGTGGCTATGCCAGAACCAATGATGGGCTCAGACCACTTCATTTCCCTCATCAGTCCTGCTGCCACATCCTACACCAGCTGCAGTTTTTGAGCTGTCTTGAACGGCAGCCTCATGTATAGTGCATTGTTGTAATTGAAAACAGAGGTTGCTAGAGGATAGATTACCAAGGAACCACCCACTAACAGCGTCTCGTTGGTTCGGATTGAGCCTCATCCAGTCCGTCACCATGACCAGGCACCAGTTCAGCACACCAACCATCTCAGTGGCAGAAAGAGAGATGCATGCCATCAGCATACGGATGGTGATATGCTTCGAGATGCTGTATGGCCCCACTCAGTGGCTTTACGTACATGCCAAAAAGTACAAAACCAATATGCTGAATATGAACTGAATTCTTGGCTCTGTCTTTTTCAGGAACCCAAATGGCAAAGGTTTGGTGGAATGGCCTCAGTATGGTCTGAATGAAGAATATCTGGAATTAAACCTGGAGCAAAGGAAAGCAGAGAAGCTGAGGAAGAACAAGGTGGACTTCTGGTTAAAGACACTGCCCGAAAAAATGAAGAAAATGGCTGAAGGAAAGGAAAAACACGGGGAGCTGTAACCAGTGGCCAAATTGCCCCAGCTTATTTTTGTTTGTTTTGAGAACAAACACTTTCCAACAAGAATTATTTCAGTCTGAAAAATGCATTTGTTCAACGCATGTTCTAACGCCGAAAATCTTAGCTATTATGAAATATTATTTATACAGCAGAAATGCCAGGTGATTCACATCAACTGTTAGGAAATCCTGCCAATGATTTGAAGAGTAATGAGTTTATGGCCCCAGTGCAGTTTAAGAATCCTGGGCATGGCTGCAACGCCTTGTTGATTAGTCAATTAGGTCACTAATTTTAAAATTCTTCTCACGCAAATACTTGGCAAACTAGCACAGGCAGTTGGCATTATTTTAGGAGAGGCATTTCACCTTTTCTAAGATTGTGCCCACTTTGACAAGTTGACTTCCTCGCTGTTGGGTTTTAGATGAAAAATATAAGTGGGGCAGGAAGTCACAGAAGGGAGATGTTCATGCCTAGCCCATGAGGGTGGGACAAGTGTCCTTCACGATTTACTCCTCCTTGGGAGGACCTGCCACCACCTCCCCCCTTTTCAAACACCAAGCGAAGAAATCCAAAGCTTGGCAGGTTGGATAGGAATCTAAATGGGGTGGGGGCTCTTTGCAAACTCTGACCTGTGGACAGGCAGCTCAAGTTCAATCTGTAATCTGCAGTTCTTAACCTTGGAGCCTGTATAAAGGCGGCAGCATATAAAGCAAGCAGAGAGCACAGTTACACAGTACAAAAAAAAAATACAAACCAGTGCTTTTCCTAGCGAAGTCTTATAATAGGCTGACAGCCTCCATTGATCAGGGAGGATCTTGAGGGCCTGATCCTGACCAGCTTCAGTTAAAAGCACATGGAAAGTGAAACAGAAAGTCTGATTCGAACTTTAACTTATAAATATGGGCAAGGTTGGATAGGCAAAGGGATCAGCCTCTGATCAGAGAGAATTCCAAGGGTGGTTTGCTCAATCAGCAATGCATGCCAGTAGAGAACTGGGCTTTGCACCTGGTCAGGGAATATCTGCAAGTCTCTCTCTCTCCCTCTGGCTAGACGGTTCCATGTGTTTTGGCAATTCAGAGGCTCTATATGTTGGCTGGCTTTAGAGATTATGGGGCAAAGAAAGCTGCATTATGCTGTTGGCCAGACCATTGGCCCATCTAATTCAGTGATGTCAACAGCAGCTTTCCAGGGAGTCTGGCTTGAGTCTTCTTTTCCAGCCCTACCTGAAGATACCACTGGGGAGGGGAAGCAAAGAACCTTCCACATTTTCCTGGATGGAAGAAAAGGATCCATGGGTTCCATGGGATTTATAGGGGGGAGAGATAGAGAGCGGCGTGGGTGACTTAGAGATCTCCTTGGTGTTCCTTGCTGTTCCTCTCCTTGCTGTTCCTCATGTGGAGGAGAGTTGCTGCCTTTATTGTTCTTGCAAATTAACTAAGCTCCAACACTGCAAAGTGAGTTCTAAATTCAGTTTATATTGCTACAATAGTTGGGATCTTCCCCTCTCTCAGCTGAGTGGTGGCAAAAGCCTATGGAGTTCCAGGCACTTGCCCAGGGTCTGTGGTCCTTTGGAGAATTGAGACACAGTGGAGACTGCTGTCGCTTTAAGAAATATGGTTTATTCAACTATTTACACCTTCAGTCTGCATGGACGGAGTCCAGATTTTACAGCATGGTCATTTCAAGAGGGGCTTGTACCTCATAGCAGTGCAGCCCTGGAGTCCAAGGCATCGCTCCCAGCCAGCCTGCAGCCAGCCTGCCCAAGATGGATCCCACTCTTCTTCCTTCTTCCCAGCAACCCTTGCTCAAGAAAGACCCTCTTTTCCCGGTCACCTTATATTCAGTTACCCTTGCAACCTTCCAAACCCCCAGTCTCTGATCTGACATACGTAGCCTAGCTGCCAGTTGCTTAGCCAGGCATGCATCCTGGGCCATAAAGATAGTGTGGCAAGTTTCTTTGATGTAGCTTTTCTGATAAGTTAATCTTAGGATGTTACTCTTAGGGCCCCCGAAACAGGTCTTACCTGAAGGTGATAATGATCGCTGTCCTCCTGGCCATCCTTCCTATCATGTATATTGCCTGTTTATGACCTCAGGGGTTGCCAAATGCATTCCTTTGTAGTTCTGTTTTGTTTACCCCAGAAAAGGTTACTCTCCATTCTTCTGCCCCAATGTTACATTTCAAGCATACTTATAGCTTTAGTAAAATGGGAAAAAACTGAAATATCACAGTAAAAGTAATTTTCCAATATATTTTAAAACTACACAGGCTTAGTTAGAACAGCCACACATTAACAGAGGCTTAAAATAAGATCTGCTATGATCACTAAATAGAAGAAGCATAGAATTATTTGTACTGACTGCTTAAAAGTGCATAAGAAATCATAGGTGAAGAATGACTTTTCTAACACCCTGCTGTCATATGAACGAAAGCAGTAAGAATGTTTAGAGGCAGAAATGCAGTACAGGAAGACAAGTTTAACAAGAGTAAATTAGATGCAGGCGATAGATATCTCCAGTATTAGGGTAGACTTTGGGGATTTCTGCTGTCCCACAGCACATTCTTGAGTGTTTCCCCCGTGCTTCCTTGTTTTTTAAAACATCTTTTGACTTGGTGTGCATAGATGCCCTTGACTGGGCCATGCGCCCACAAGACGCACTGGGTGGGGCAGGAGCCCATGTCATCCTGGGAGAAGATACTCTCTGGGCCACATGTGGTTGGTCCCACCCCACCCCCCACAACCTCCATTTACTCATTCCCTCCACTCTAAGTGTTTTTGACTATTGATGCAAGTAACAGTACCTTGCGGAAGAAGGAAGCAAAGGCAGGATCCAAAAGCATCTAGCAGAGGAGGATGCTGTTTTGGAAGCAGGGGTGTATGATTTGCGGTTGCCCAAAGCGAACTTTGAGGTGGGCACCCTCAATTCCTTTTTTAAAATGAATTTATGACGTCAAGCTAAATGAGCTGAGAAAAGGGAACCAGCAACAATCTTCACCGTGGAATGAAAAGCCAACTAATGAGGCTGCAGAACTACGGAAATCCAGGGAGAGCAACAGTCCCTGTGAAGTGCCATTCATAAAGGAAGGCTAAGGGCAACCCGCCGCCCAGCCAATCACAAGCATGCACTCTGCAGCTGTTCTTCTGAGCCTGAACTGCTAGTAAGTAGGTCCGTTTGCTAGCTGCGTGTTTGCAGGAGATGAGAGAGCACCTTGGAGGATGGTGTGAGTCCCTGGATTTAACTGAATAATACCTTTTATTTTTGCGCATTCTGGCAGAAGGGGGCAATTGGAGGGAGAGAAATGGCTCCTTCCCATGCCTGTGCGTTTGTTGGTGCTTTTGAAATAGACACCTTGGAACACCCGGAATCACCTGTAACGTAGCAACCCTGTGCAAAAATACACGAACCGAAGGCAGGCGAGGAGGCTGCTGCTTCATTGAAGCGGAAACGGGCTCCGTGAGTGGGCGCGCAGGGGGCGTGGAAGGTTGCCAGGGCTCTGGGCGGACTTAAGATGCGGGCGGTGGTGGAGTCGTCTTGTACACAACCAAGGCGGGGAATTGCTGGCTTGCGTACCTTTGGCTTTGTGTTCTGGTTTCAGTGGTAACGTTAACCAGGGGAACTGCAGGACGGACATTGGGTCTGACCTACGAGAAGCGGCAGTTCCGTAAGGCTCAGGTGGGTCCTTTCGAGTCCGGGGGGCGGGCGGCATTTCTTCTGTGAGGATAGATAGAGGGATTGCAGCTTTATCCCTACAAACTCAAAAGGCTGTGAGGCTGAGATGGGATTTTATCTCTCTACCTATTTCGCTCTGAACTTTGTCCGCGCTTCTAGGTTAGGGTTGGAAACTTCCTTCTCCTGGAACTGTGAGCTCATCCACATTGGAGTGTAATGTAGATTTGAGGTTTAAATATTTCTGTGTCCAATTAATATAGAAACAGAGACCATAAGGATCATCTAAGTGCAACCCCCCCCCTCGCAATGCAGGAATCTTTCACCCAACATTGGGCTCAAACTCACAACCCTGAGATTAAGAGTCTCATGCTCTACCAAGATATCTCTCAGTTTATTATTATCATTTCTTCGCAACCTCCACATCCAAGTGGCAGCCCTTATTTTACACCCACTAAATATGGATTTTCCCAATTCACAGATATTCTGAGAAGGAAGAAAATCCAATATAAATCCACATATTACCCAATATTGGATCCACTAAAGAGTGTGGCTGGCTGGCTGTGGGTTGTTGGGTTTTTGTTACATGTGTGGTGACATTTTGCTTGGTGACATCTATCACTGCCACCCCCACCCATTTCTTGGTTGTTGATGGAAACATATTTGTTGTGTTTTTCTTCTTAAAGCAGCTCTTCCAAACCCCCAGTCTCTGATCACACCTCAGGGCAATGCGGGAGGACAGTTCTCTTGCATTGCCAATGGCTCTCAATGGAGTTGTTTCTTAATAGCCCTAGCTTGGCCAGGTCATTTTGCATAGGCTAGCGCAGGAATCCCTCTGCAGCTTGTAGTTCTCCCACATAATCAAAACCCTACCATTTATTAATTTCTGGGGTTTAGAGCCCCATCAAATCTATAACTATATTAATTTGTTCCAGTGAGCATATGGCTAGAACCATAGCAAAAGAAACAAACAAAAACCCCTGACAAATAGTGAAAATTGTAAATATTCGCTTTGAAAGAGTAAAACCATAATACAAAAGAAGCTGTAAATTATTACATAAATAAGTGAAACAATTACAATGGCCGTACTGTGATCACTAAATTTGCCCAATTAAATTTAAAGCATAATCACATAGTCACAAAATCAAAACAGTGTACTTGATACAAAAAAGGAAGAAGTGCACATATTCCCTACCATAGTATTTTATGGAGTTTACCACACAGTTACTCAACAATGCAAAATGTTAGATTTTGGGTAAACTGTCCATGTCAAAGGATGGGTTCTCTTTTGTAGGAGTGCAAATATCCAGGGTGTGGGGTCAGGTGGGATTACTATGAGGAATTATAAAATATGCATCAAGCCATTGTGTCCATGATGAATGTATTGTGTTGACTGGGTTTAATTCATTGACAATAATTTCTGTCCAAATCCCACAACCCTCTGCATCTCTGTCCATTTCCTCTACTGCCCATTTCTCTTGCTTGACAAGTGACATACGTAGCCCAGCTGCCAGTTGCTTAGCCAGGCAGGCATCCTGGGCCATAAAGAGAGTGTGGCAAGTTTCTTTGATGTAGCTTTTCTGATAAGTTAATCTTAGGATGTTACTCTTAGGGCCCCCGAAACAGGTCTTACCTGAAGGTGATAATGATCGCTGTCCTCCTGGCCATCCTTCTTAGGGCCCCCGAAACAGGTCTTACCTGAAGGTGATAATGATCGCTGTCCTCCTGGCCATCCTTCTTATCATGTATATTGCCTGTTTATGACCTCAGGGGTTGCCAAATGCATTCCTTTGTAGTTCTGTTTTGTTTACCCCAGAAAAGGCTACTCTCCATTCTTCTGCCCCAATGTTACATTTCAAGCATAAAACAGAGTTAGATACAAATTGCACCAAATCAAAACGGACATCTGGAAATGACTAGAGGCTTTATTTCAGAAGGCGACTACTATGATAATGAAAAATTAATAGCATTTCAAGTTTAGCAGTGGAGATTTGATCCCTTTTTCAGTTTTATTCAAGTGGTTTTTGCCACTGCTTTGCCAAATAACTTGTTTTGCTGGCACATATGGTTCACTTATAGCTTTAGTAAAATGGGAAAAAACTGAAATATCACAGTAAAAGTAATTTTCCAATATATTTTAAAACTACACAGGCTTAGTTAGAGCAGCCACACATTAACAGAGGCTTAAAATAAGATCTGCTATGATCACTACATAAATAGAAGAAGCATAGAATTATTTGTACTGACTGCTTAAAAGTGCATAAGAAATCATAGGTGAAGAATGACTTTTCTAACACCCTGCTGTCATATGAACGAAAGCAGTAAGAATGTTTAGAGGCAGAAATGCAGTACAGGAAGACAAGTTTAACAAGAGTTAATTAGATGCAGGCGATAGATATCTCCGGTATTAGGGTAGACTTTGGGGATTTCTGCTGTCCCACAGCACATTCTTGAGTGTTTCCCCCGTGCTTCCTTGTTTTTTAAAACATCTTTTGACTTGGTGTGCATAGATGCCCTTGACTGGGCCATGCGCCCACAAGACGCACTGGGTGGGGCAGGAGCCCATGTCACTCTGGGAGAAGATACTCTCTGGGCCACATGTGGTTGGTCCCACCCCAACCCCCACAACCTCCATTTACTCATTCCCTCCACTCGATAAGTGTTTTTGACAATTGATGCAAGTAACAGTACCTTGCGGAAGAAGGAAGCAGAGGCAGGATCCAAAAGCATCTAGCAGAGGAGGATGCTGTTTTGGAAGCAGGGGTGTATGATTTGCGGTTGCCCAAAGTGAACTTTGAGGTGGGCACCCTCAATTCCTTTTTTTTATAAAATGAATTTATGACATCAAGCTAAATGAGCTGAGAAAAGGGAATCAGCAACAATCTTCACCGTGGAATGAAAAGCCAACTAATGAGGCTGCAGAACTACGGAAATCCAGGGAGGGCAACAGTCCCTGTGAAGTGCCATTCATAAAGGAAGGCTAAGGGCAACCCGCCGCCCAGCCAATCACAAGCATGCACTCTGCCGCTGTTCTTCTGAGCCTTAACTGCTAGTAAGTAGGTCCGTTTGCTAGCTGCGTGTTTGCAGGAGATGAGAGAGCACCTTGGAGGATGGTGTGAGTCCCTGGATTTAACTGAATAATACCTTTTATTTTTGCGCATTCTGGCAGAAGGGGGCAATTGGAGGGAGAGAAATGGCTCCTTCCCATGCCTGTGTGTTTGTTGGTGCTTTTGAAATAGACACCTTGGAACACCCGGAATCACCTGTAACGTAGCAACCCTGTGCAAAAATACACGAACCGAAGGCAGGCGAGGAGGCTGCTGCTTCATTGAAGCGGAAACGGGCTCCGTGAGTGGGCGCGCAGGGGGCGTGGAAGGTTGCCAGGGCTCTGGGCGGACTTAAGATGCGGGCGGTGGTGGAGTCGTCTTGTACACAACCAAGGCGGGGAATTGCTGGCTTGCGTACCTTTGGCTTTGTGTTCTGCTTTCAGTGGTAACGTTAACCAGGGGAAATGCAGGACGGACATTGGGTCTGACCTACGAGAAGCGGCAGTTCCGTAAGGCTCAGGTGGGTCCGTTCGAGTCCGGGGGGCGGGCGGCGTTTCTTCTGTGAGGATAGATAGAGGGATTGTAGCTTTATCCCTACAAACTCAAAAGGCTGTGAGGCTGAGATGGGATTTTATCTCTTTACCTATTTCGCTCTGAACTTTGTCCGCGCTTCTAGGTTAGGGTTGGAAACTTCCTTCTCCTGGAACTGTGAGCTCATCCACATTGGAGTGTAATGTAGATTTGAGGTTTAAATATTTCTGTGTCCAATTAATATAGAAACAGAGACCATAAGGATCATCTAAGTGCAACCCCCTGCTCCCTAAGAGTCATCCTAAGTCCAAGAGGAGCGGCTGGGGTGGGTTTGCTTCCACTACTGCCTGCGGACGAGCAAATCTGATGCTTTTGCATATCGCTGTGTTTGTTTGGTGTGGAGAGGGCTTGTGTGGGCCTTGTGACTGACAGCACCTCTCCCCTCGTGGGCACCACATGGCAGCGTGTGCAAGCCACATGGGTTGTTAACAGCAAGCCTGTGTATTTGTGTAATGATCACTGTTACTACCATTATAAAATTATAAAGGAAACACTGCTTTGCTGCTTACAACAGTGAGTGCTCAACAAACAGATTATCAGCAACCACAGAGACTAGGGCAGCGAAGAGGGGAGCTAGGAACCTCACAGGGGAGCAAGATCTCTTGGGAGTATTTGTGTTGTGAGCCCTTCCGTCTTATAGTCAGGCTGCATGTGCAGCTACATAAAATCATATATCGCAAAAAAAGACGCCACTGTCTCTAGTGACCTTTATTCTAAGGAAAACAAACCTGAGAAATGTGCTGGCACCCCTGAAATATCTCATAGCTTCACAATTGGGTGCATGTAACGTTTCAACTCTGGCAATAAAATACATCAATGCTAAATATATGTGCTTGGAACAAAGTTCTGCTTATTGCTGCAGAATGTGTTTAGGACTGTTGCCTTGCTGTCCCATAATTCAGCTTTGCATTCAGTTCAGTGTGAAGGAGCCACATTACTCTGGCCAAGCTAAGTGTGCTGTTGCCATTCTATCCGAAAGAGGAGTTCTGCGCAGACTCTTGATCTAAATTCAGTGGTCTAACAAAGTTTAGAGCCTTAGCAACAGAGCACTTTAGAAATGCTTTGCATGCATATCATCATGTTGCAATTCTTACAAACAACTGTGTAAGGTCAGTAAATACTTTCCCCTATTGCAGATTGGTTCAGGGGTGGCATTGCATAAAAGCCAGAAGTCAACTGAGGGCAACTCAATCTGTGTTCCAAGAGTTCTGCTGGTGAATGAGCACAGTCCTGCATCGTGCAAATTCCAGGGGTTAAAACCAGACAGTGTTCCAGAGTCCGGCCTCCCTTGACAGCCTCCCCCCCACCCCCCGCTTAATTTTTTTATTCAAAATTAAAACAAAACATATTATCCAGAAACATATCATCCTTATCCCCCCCCATTTTCCCTCCCTCCCCCCACCCTCCCACACAAAACCCACCCACCCTCACCCCCTCTGGCTTCCCTCAGTTCCAGTCTTTGATTTCTCTGAGAATGCTGTTTTCTGCATGTTACAAAGTTGTATAGATCCTCAAACTATTTAGCTGATTATTATCAATAAAAAGTTTGTGAATGTTTATTCAAAGCCAGCCAAGGAGTCCAGTTCGCTTTGTTGCGTCTTCAAATACTTTGTAAAGGGTTCTCATTCATCTTTAAAGTCACAGTTATCCTTGTCCCGTAGCTTATATGTCAGTTTTGCCAGTTCTGCATAGTCCATCAGTTTTTCTTGCCACAATTCTTTACTTGGGGTTTCTTCAGTCTTCCATCCTTGTTCTATTAGAACTCTCATGGCCATTGTCGCATACATGAAGATGTTTTTCAGTTTTTTTGGCAGATCTATCCCTACAATCCCTAACAAAAATGCTTCAGGTTTTTTTAACAAATGTTAAATGGAACATTTTCTTCTATTCGTTGTATATCATTTCCCAAAATTACATTACAATCCCACCACATATGATAAAATGTCCCCTCCTTTTCCTTACACTTCCAACATATGTTTGAGCTAGTTTTGTACATTTTCCCTAACTGCACTGGTGTCGTGTACCATCTGTACATCATCTTCATGTTTTTGGCAAGTATTTCCAAGACCAGGAATAGACCAAAATAATCTGTCAGGGTCTTTTTTGCTTTTTCAACAAATTTTTGATCATCTAATAAATCATCATTTAATCTCCATCGAAAAGAGATTTGGCTTTCTTTTTGTAGTTCCATAGTCAGGGAATTATGGTCTGAAAAGGTTCTGGGATTGATTTCAATTTTTTTGACTCTTGTTTCCAATTCTTTGGAAATCCATACAGAATCTATTCTCAAGCTGCTATCATGTACATGGCCGTAAAAAGTATACTCTCTATCAAACATATGTCTCATTCTCCAGATATCTATCAGCTTTAGATTTTGAGTCATGTCAAAAAAATGTTTTTGGCAGTTTACCTTCTTTGGTCTCTTTTTTCCTGGCTGATCTGTCTTTGTCTAAAGTTGGGACTCCATTTAAGTCTCCCATTAAAACAATCTTTTGATCTGCAAATTCAAGAAGTTCTGATTATAGTTTTTTTGGGGGAAAAAAATGCTTTTTAGGTGCATAAATACCAACCAGTATCACCTTTTCTCCCTGGATTTTAATTTGTATTATTAAATTTCTGCCTTTTTCGTCCTTCTGAATCAATTGGGGTTCAAGTGCACCCCCTGCTTAATTATTAATGGCATTGCCAAAGGAGATGGAGTTGCTGCTGCTGGACCATCTCCAAGCCCCGTTCAAGGTTAATTGCAGGCCTTTCCTCTGCAACTGAACTCTCCTGGCATCAGATGTTACACAATCCTTACTGCTTATCTTTGCCAATGCCAACCTTTGCACTGAAAGGAGCTACTTGTGTTTCAGGCATCTGAGTGGGCTGAAGATTTCGATGGCTGGCCCAATGGCTTGGTTGCTCCCTCTGATCCTGGCCTCCTGGGCCACCGTTTTGACAGCTGAAGGTAGGATTTTAGATTTTTTATATATAAAAATTTATTCAAATTTGCAAACAACCATCAAGCAAACAAATAAAACGATTATCCACGCTTAGCTTTTGCCTGGATCTTTAACGCTCTGTGTCTGAGCGTTTGTTTGTTTTCTTTCCCCCGAGATTTCTCCACGAGAACCTGCTCTTTACAGCTGAATCGGAGCAAATTCGTGGTTTCCACAAATTGATGTTTGCTCCAATTCAGCTTTAAAGAGCAGGTTTTTGTGGAGAAAGTGGCAGGATGGGGGGAAAGGGCACTTGTACACGAAGCTTTAAATCATAGAATCTTAGAGTTGGAAGGGACCCCAAGGGTCATCTAGGTCATTTAAAACCTCCAAGGAAGGAGAGTCCACCACCTCTCGTGGGAGTCTGTTCCACTGCTGAACAGCTCTTACTGTCACAAAGCTTTTCCAAATGCTTATTCAGAATCTCCTTTCTTGCAACTCGAAGCCATTGGTTTGAGTCCTACCCTCCAGAGCAGGTATGATTCGTGCCTAGAAAGAGTGGAGGAAAGGTGCATGTGGAGAAGTCCTGCCAGCAGCTCATCAAGGCAGCTGGAGGTGAGGGTCAGGCAGTTTCCTAACTCCATCATCCCAGGCACCTTCTTCAGAAGTGGAAATGCTGCGGTGGGGGAAGGGTTTGAAGGTCCCTGGGCTGTGTGTAACTCTGCCCTTCACTGGGGCCTTGACTTGGGGGCAAGTGATGGCTCTGGTGGCTATTTCCCTCTAATGCCCATCCTTCTAGACCTCTGGCTTGTTGAGCCAAACAATATTTCATCACCCAACAGGTCTCTGTGATCCCACAGCTTTCCCGTTCAGCTGGAGCCTTAGGCATCATGGCTCCACCTGACAACTTGGAAAGCTTTGGAAGTGGGCATTTTGGGTTCCTGCCTCAGCTGCAAGGTTGCCCCACTTCCAGTTATGGCCTGTGAGGCACATTAAGCCCCCAAACCCAGGATTAGAGATGGTAGCAGAGGAGGACACTGAGGTGCAGAAGGGGAGCTTCACGCGGGCCAAGCTCACATGAGGGAACTCAAACTGGGGACTCAGCTACACAGTTGCAAAAAACAATAGCAAAACAACGTTTTAACTGTGCTGTAAAGTGAAATATACAAATGTGACACTAGATGGCGAGAGTGAGCTATGCAAAATTCTATGTATTTTTCAAAACTTTTTCTTTTTTAAAAAAGCATTTTCATGGTGTTTTTTAATATGTGTGTAGATTCCACCTGGGATATAACTCTGCTACCAAGACAAAACTTGCTAAACTGAAACATTGTTTTGCATGCTGAAGCCCTAATAGGTTGCATTTACAATCACGTTCATGCTGCCAAATCACACAGTCTTTCCCACTGCTGTTGACGCCCAGGATTAAAATATGATCAAAAGGGACACAGAGGGAGGGAGAGGAAGTTACTAAGCAAATTGTGCAGAATAAAAGGGGAGGTAAAAGAGAAGGGGGGGTGTACAATCCTCCTGCTGAGAAGGTGGAAGGGGATCTGTGGGACTCTTGTTAAGAAAACACCCATGGAGAATACAAAACCAGTGCTCTGGTTGTGCAGGAAGATTCCAGTGGAGGAAATAGTTCCCCGGAGGGAATCCCAGATAATTACACCATCTGCACTCAGTTCTCAGCCAGGAGGAATGAGAGGGAGAGAGAGAGATTGGGAAGTCCTGTGTGCATAGGCGCCGACTCCATGGGGCCTGAGGGGGCCCGAGCCCCCTCAAAAATTTTATTGGGGGGCGGAGCCCCCCCAATAATTTAAGAAAATTATTGGGCGCGCGCAGCGGAAACGTCCTCTGCCGGTGACGTCACCCGGGCCTTGCGGAAAAGGCGCTGCGGGAGTCGCCGCGGCCGCGGCGGGGCCGCTGCAGAAGGGTGAGTGGCGAGGGCGGGACGGGGCCGCGCGCTCCTTTCCTCGGCTGCCCTCGTCGCGCGCCTTGGCTCCCGCGGCCGGCGAGGGGAGCCCGGGCCGCGTGCGGCTGCTGCCGCCGCCGCCTCTCCTGGGGGCGCCGCCTCCCCGGGCGGGAACGCTGCGGGTGCGCGAGGGAGGAGGGCGGCCCCCGGGGGCTGGGAGAGCCGGGCTGCCGTGGCCGAGAGGGCTGCTCTGCCGGGCGCCGCTGACATTGGAACTTAGAAAACTTCCCGGGGCAGGACCCCGGTATGGGCCCCCCCAATATTTTTTATAAGTCGGCGCCCCTGCCTGTGTGGGTACACATACTAAGCTTTCAGCAGCCAACAGTGTGATGAGGTGGAGGAAACGCAAACAGTGGTGTCCCCATTGACCAAGGCAGAGATATTAGTAAGAGAAGATTTATTTCAAAGACAGTGATTCTTGGATCAAGTTGAGTGTGGACAGGGGTGGGGTGGGGACTAGGGTGGCACACATGCCATACTTTTAAAGCACATTTAAATCATGTTATTTCTCCCAAAGAAATCCCAAGAGTTGTTCTGCTGCTGGGAATTGTAGCTCCGTGAGGGGTCTCCCAACAACTCTCAGTACCCTTAATAAAATATAGTTTCCAGGATTTTTTGGGGGGCGGTGTAAATGTCTGGTGTGTATACAACCTAGGTGGCCATTGAGTCTTCCTCTAATTTATGATTTGATTAAGTAGTAAAAAGGTACATTAAGTCAGTCAAGGATATCCCCAAAGGAGAAGTTCTGCCCGGCTTGCGGAAAGGGGAGTTTGTGCTGCCTTTGCCCGCATATGGCCAGAGCAGTATTGCTTCAGGACTCCCAGGCTTTTCCAGATGTGAAATCTAACCCTGCTTCTGACACCGGAGAGCTGAATAGTTAGCATTTGGAAGCTTGAAATTCTGCAGCTTCTGTGCAGGAATAGCAATGGTTCTCTGACTCAGACACTTCTGTTCTATGCACACACAGGCCAAAATCCTTCTCCTCCACAAGTGCTTACCAAGAATGGGAAGCTCCAGGGCCAGCAGGTCCAAGTCAGTGGTGCGGAGAGAAAGGTGGATGTTTTCCTTGGAATCCCCTATGCAAAGCCACCTCTTGGGCCATTACGGTTTTCCCAGCCGCAGCCGGCAGAACCTTGGAGCAATCTGAGAGATGCAACTTCCTACCCACCAATGTAAGTCAAGTGCAGGGGAAGTTGGGTCACCCCAAAAAAGTATTACCTGCTGTCAAGGGATTGTTAGAAAAGTTGACCTAACAGAACTTGCTAACCAGGCTGTAATTTTCTGAATGCCCTCTGGATATGAAAATCCCCTTGATCAAAATTAGTGTTATTTTTGCCACTTTCCAGTCCTCAGATAATGGAGGTTCATCTGAGGGATAAATTACATATTTTTGTTAGAAGATCAGCAGTTGAGGTCTCTTGGGTGGATGCCATCCAGACCCCACAATTCCTTATCTTTTTTTATTTTATTAGGTCTATCTAGACCAGGGGTAGTCAACCTTTTTATACCTAATGCCCACTAATGCATCTTTTCTTGATAGTAAAATTTCTTTACTGCCCACTAGTCCTGCAGTAACATCTGGTGTAGAACCCCCTACCGCCCACCTGGAATCCTGAAATGCCCACTAGAGGGCGGTAGGGACCAGGTTGACTACCCTGATCTATAGTTTTCTAGACAGTATGTGGCATCTGCAACCTTCACACCAAGCAGGCAGGTTACCATGCACTCTGCATGCCAATGAGAAACCTACATATTTATGTCCTTATTGATTGACTCACCCCCTACAAGGATCCCTCTGGTTCCCCCCCCCCAAGAAATTGTTCCCTTTTAAGACAGCATCCCCCCCCCCCCGCCGAGTGATGCTTTGCTTCCCCAGGACGCCCCCCCCAATCCTCCATGAAACAAACTAGCTTTTAAATGGTTTTAAACTGACCTGAAAGCTGAAACTTGTGCCCCAGCAAAGGGAGGGCAACAGTCAGCTACTCAGAAGGCTTGTCTTAGAGGCTTGGTGGCCTTTGTTCAGCAGCACCACTTAAGGAAAAGACTATATCAGATCAGGCGGGGACAGGCTGCCGCCCTGGGTTTTCGTCCTTTGTTGGCATTCTCCAACAAAGCAGTTCACCAGAATTGCTTCCCTCCATGCATTAAGTCATGCAACACTTTGCTTCCTCTCTGCTCAGTTGGTGTTTGCTGACAGTCAAACATGAGAAGCTTTTTTCGCACTGTGTGTACTGAATTAGTTTATTTCTTTTATTTGCTTTGTCAAGGTGTCTGCAGGATCCGGAAGTGGGACAAATGCTGTCAGATATGTTTACTAACAAAAAGGAAAAGGTCTCTTTGAGTATTTCTGAGGATTGTCTGTACTTAAACATCTTCACCCCGGCTCGTTCTGACAAGAACAGCAAGTTACCAGTAAGTCATGTTCTTCTTCAGGGCTTTTCACTCCCTATTATGTGTCTTGGTCAAGCAGCCTGCCAAATGTAGTCCACATCTATATAAACATACAAAGCCTTAAACAGCTCAGAATCCAACTACTGAAGGAATCAGAGAATCTTAGAGTTGGAAGGGACCCAAGGGTCATCTAGTCCAACCCCCTGCAAGGCAAAAAAATCTCATCCATGACAGATGGCCATCCAACCTCTGCTTAAGAACCTCCAAGGAAGGAGAGTCGAAAACCTCCCAAGGGAGACTGTTCCACTGTTGAACAGCTCTTACGGTCAGAAAGCTTTACCATAAACTTTCCTTTCCTGCAATATTGGTTTGAGTCCTACCGTCCGGAGTACGAGAAAGGAAGCTTGCTCCCTCCTCCATGTGGCAGCCCTTCAGATATTTGAAGATGGCTATCATATCTCAGTCTCCTCTTTTCCAGGCTAAACATACAAGTGAAGCATGACATCAAACCCACTCTGAACATTTTATCTGCCTCTGGCAGGGCAGGTAACCCAGCAGGAGCCCCAAATTCTATCTTTTGCTTTCAGGTGATGGTCTGGATCCATGGAGGAGGATTACTGGTGGGTGCTGCATCCACATACGATGGGTCTGCGTTAGCGGCTTTTGAAAATGTGGTGGTGGTGGCGATTCAATACCGGCTGGGCATTCTTGGTTTCTATAGGTAAGATGTTTGTCCCAAGCTCCTTCAAGACTGTGCCTGAAACGTGAGTGGAGCAGAAGGAAAGGTCCCCACCTGGGTGTTCCTCTCGGGGATTGGATGGACAGTCCCACAGGCCACCCTTGCTGCTTTCCTCCCTTGTGGGGGACAGAATGGACTGCTTAGTGGCAACCAAAAGCTTTCCACGGCCAGTGCTGGAGTGCCACAGGGAAAACGGAGCCTGCCTTTCCCACTGCTGACAACACACTGGAGCCTCAAACTGGGAGCCCTCTCCCTGGGGACAGGGCAGGAGGTAGAGTGAGCCACACCACTAAGACCACATCGTGCATCATACCATCAAGTGACCACGGGTGGTGGCCCTTTGCAGGTGGTGGCCAGTAGGAGGCTGCTGGAGGCTACCAGGGCTGGGTGGAGGGGCACAAAGGAGCTTGGACTGTGCTTTTTTAGGATTACAGCTTTCGTGTCCCTGTTCTGCCGTCACAACAAGCTGTGAAGTAGAAGAGGCAATAGACCTCTGGCCTGAGGCTAAGTGGGGATTTGAACCTGGATTTCAAGCCCAGGTCTCTAAGACTGGCTGTCAGTGACTGGGCAAGTGGAACTTCTATTCAGATACTCACATCTTCCGCAGCACCCCTTCCTCCCCTCCAATGTGCCTGTGGTCAAATCTAGACACGTCCAGTGAGATATCATTGCTTCTGGAGAGGCTGCTTCATTTCAGGGTAACCAGATTAAAAGGAATTATTGCAGGGCATTTTCTCATTGCATGCCCATGGGTAGGTTTTGTATTGTGGCTGCTTTTCAAAAAGTTAATCAGGTTTGGCAGATCTTCTGTCTATGCACCATGGGGGAGGATGCTGTGCTGCATCTACACCCACCCACCCCTTTCAGGCTAAGATTGGATTGCATTGTTCCTTGTCATGCCTGTCCTACCTCCAAGACCTCTTAACAGCTGCATGCGGGCATAACATTTGAAACAGGGTCTCTGCAAGTAAAGATTCAATGCATATAAACACAAATTGCACTATGAATTTCTGGATGATATATGGGGTGTGGGTTGTGTTGCTCTGGCCCACGTGTGTTGCATTTGACATGCAACACAATACTGTCGTTGCATGCAAATGTTACAGCTGTCTACACATGTCCAGGATGACAGGCACGCTGTGTGGGGTGGAACATTACCTGAACTGGTTTAGTATTGGCAACAGATATTAGGACAGCCTTAGGACATTTGAAGGAATGAAAGTTTGTAGTTCAGCTAGGAGAATCTCTCCTTTTGATTTGCTTTTCAACAAAGTGAAAAGAAGGAATGTTGACTATTTCCTTTTGTAGATGTCTTTTTTTCTGAATCCCCAAATACCATCTGAGCCTATCATTTCTGTGCTTCTTTTTCATTCCAGTACTGGTGATGAGTTTGCACGTGGAAACTGGGGCCTCCTGGATCAAGTGGCAGCTCTCCAGTGGGTCCAAGAGAACATTGCAGCCTTTGGAGGAGATCCTGGATCAGTTACTATATTTGGAGAGTCTGCAGGTGGATTCAGTGTTTCTGCCCATGTAGGTTCATGGGGATCATAACATGTGCTATTTAATTTATGATTATTTATGATTCATTTGTTTATTTTTTGTTCATAGAATTTCCAGACCTTCTGTTGCAAGTGATTAGCTATAAAACTTAGCAAATATTACATTTGTTATATTGCTCCATAAACCTAAGATTACTAATGTGAAGAAACTATCCTGAAAACAACTCAAGAGAGTGTCTTAATTGAAACGTTGCATTAAAAAAAACTGGAATAGGAAAGCTTATAAAACAAAATGGGCAACTGATACTGAAGGCAATTTTTTTTTGCAAATTCATGTCACTCTGAAGCAGTTTAATTTGAGAATAAACTTATAGTTGATTTCTATTACTCAGATAGAAATTGGAAAAAAGCATATTTAACCTTCTAACAGTCAGTGGTTCTCTAACCAGCCCCGCCCCCAGGCTCTGAACAGGCAGCCCTGTTTAGGGAGGCTTTTAATGTTTAATAGACTATTGTATTTTAATATTCTGTTGGAAGCCGCCCAGAGTGGCTGGGGAAACCCAGCCAGATGGGCAGAGTATAAACAACAACAACAACAACAACAACAACAACAAATAGTGAAATGTGAGGTGGGGTTCAAGGCCTGGCCCTTCTTATGAGGCAAGCTGGTGACAGCTGTTTCATACCCTCCAATATTTCTCCAGTGAAAATAGGGATGCCCCATTCCATAAAGATAATCTTACTATGTAAACCTCACACATCTTCCTGGGTTGCCCCAACCACTCTGGGTAGCTTCCAACATGTATAAAAACACAATAAAACATTAAACATAAAAAACCCCTTCCCTTTACAGGATTGCCTTCAGATGGCTCAGGAGTCAAATAACTCCATACCCTCCAACATTTCTCCAATGAAAATTGGGACAGCCTAAGGAAAAGAGGGACATTCTGGGGTCAAATCAGAAACCGGGACGGCTTCTCTAAATCAGGGACGTCCCTGGAAAATAGGGACACTTGGAGGGTCTGCTGTTTGGGGTAACATTCAAAGGGCAACAAACGGTGTCACAGGCCAAGGAGGCTGTCTCTCTGGGGGAGACCACCCCTCCCTGCTTTAGTGGGGAACAATTGAACCTAGACAGGTTTGAAGTGTGTCAGAATTGCTAATCATCCACATTAAGGGTCAAAGTAGCTAATGCGCGGGTTTTCAAACTTCCTTTCGGCAGACCTTCAGAATATCGGAGTGGATTGCAGACCACTCACATAGTTAATGCAGGGCTCTAGACCAGTGTGTTGGGGCCCACTGTTGCTCCCCTTAACTGAGGGTGTGCCATAGTTCTGCCACCCTCACCTGTGCCTGCACTTTGGAGGGATGAGGCCCAGGGTGAAGGCGGCATTACAGATCTTCTCGCTGAGGAGACCCTGAGGAAGTCCAGCACCCCTCAGGAGGAATGTTTGGACCCTTTTGGAAATAGGAGTGATACGGCAAGGCCCTGACTGGGATGTCTGTTTTCCTGCTCCCCTTCTTAGGTCGTATCTCCTCTGTCAAAGGGTTTGTTCCACAAAGCCATCTCTGAAAGTGGCGTTTCTGTCATGGAGGCTCTCACAAAGGTTAATCCACAAAAGTTTGCAAAGGTCAGTGTGTGAAAATAGCCCTGGTAATATGGACGGAATTGGCAAGGGAGGGCAGCTAGAGTTGAGCGTGTGTGCTGGTCCAAGGAGCTGTGTTGCACTTTTTAAAACAAAAAAACCAAAACATGAAGTGGTCTGTTTCTTAGAGTGACATGCAACTGTCTCAGGGTTCTTACACCTGTCTCAGGATGTTGCCCCCCCCATGTGTTGCACACTTAGTTCCATGGCATTGAAGCATTCTCCTCTGCCCTCCTCTGCTCCTTTTGTTTACACCTCGCTGTGTCCACACAAGTATTAAAAATATTTGTGCTTCTCCTGATGGAGCAGAACGGCCTGTTCTTTCTGACGCTCAGCCAGGACTGGTTTCTTTCTCATGGTTGCAGAAAATTGCTGCGACTGCTGACTGTCCGACATCCAGCTCAGTTGAGATGATTCGTTGCCTCAAGGGAAAGACGGAGAACGAGATCCTACAGACGACTCTCAAGATGGTAAATGTGCTGCAATCTGATGCTGCCCTCTGCCTAGATAGGGAGATAAAAGTATTGATAGAGGTTAAGGAATCTCAGAGTGGAACTAGAGATGTTGTTAATAATAATAATAATGGCACAATTATTTTTACTCCTCCTATCCCTGTTCCATCACTGCATGAGAACTGAGTATGCTTAGTGGCCATGAAATGTTACCAGTTGGGAGGTGGGAAGCACTACAGGCAAGGGAGCAGGGAGAGAGTAGCATGCCCTGCGTGAGTGGAGCTCCTCACACCTTGGAGCCTGTCCAGCAGGCTGGCAGCACAAGCCCAGAAGAGAAGCTGCTCCTGCAAATGTCCCACTGGTTGTTTAATCCGCTTCCTTCCAAGGCAGTGTTCTTCTGGGGCTTTGCCCTCTTCTGCCCTGTGCACAGCTCTCATAGTTTTCCTGTGTGTAGGACAATTTCTCAGTGATTTATGTCTGCAGACCTTTAAATAGGAAAAAGAAGCACGTGACACCTGTCTTCTCCCCTTCCTGTAATTGCAGGATTTCACCACAATGCATCTTGGCTCAGAAGAAGAAGTGAGTAAATCAATGGGATGAGGATGGCCTGAGGGGAGGGAAGCAAGTGAAGAACGCTTAGCATGAGAACAGGCACCAACAGAAGCCGACTGGGGGCAGCTCTAAGCCTGCTTCTTTTCCAAACTGCAGGCAAGAGTTCTCTGCACCTCAGGATCCATAAATGGAATCTGGATGCACACTTTTATGTGGCTGGATGCCACCCACCCCCATCTGTGTAAAGATAAGAGTCATGTCCCTTCTGCATCTGCCCCCACCTACTATTGGCATTGGCTCTCAAGCTGAAAAAGACTCCCCAGCCCCATTTTATAAGATGTCCTGTAATCTTGTTGATGTTAAGTACCAGCATCCTAGTTCTTTTTTCTTTTTAATGGAACCAGACCTTTCTGTAATAATAATTATAATTTAATAACAATTTATTATTTATACGCCGCCCATCTGGCTGAGTTTCCCCAGCCACTTTACAGGCGTGGCCTAATTTAAAATGTTCCCTGGTGCCCCCAAAATGGAAACCACCCCTCCTGACATATCTGGCTCTCCTCTGTGCATTAATGATACCTCGGCTCCACCTGCCTAGCTGGCCCTGTGCATAGAACAGGGAGCGTTTCTGAGGAAGCAGCCTTGGGTTTGAACTTCCTACTTAGCAAGCTAAACTTTGCTCCCACACATGGCTACCTCTCCCTGTGTCATTGATGCCAAAGGGCACCACTGGGAATTGCGACTCTGGGATAGATAAGCTACAGTTCCCAGGGATCTTTGGGAACGGGGAAATGTGCTTCTAAGATACGGGTGTATGTATGCAGCCTGAGATAGTCATCTTGTGCCATTTGATGCTGCAAAACCTTCACTTCTTGCCACTGATGGAGAGGTAGTCTTCTGTGGAAGACAAAGCCTAGGACAGTAGCTCCTAGTCCAGCTCCAGTCTCACAGAACAGCCCATGGAGCCCCACCCACCTGGCTAAACAGAGCCAGCCTGGTCAACCAGGGCTGGCCCTTTTCTCATGTACTCTTCATGGCATTGACCCTTTGACCAGCAAGGGTGTGGGCCACAAACAGGCTTCACCACAAGAATGCCTCATGCCTTTCAGAGCAAGAGGAAGAGCAGAACATCGGACATATTTATGTTAGGCATAAATGAAAGTTCCAGCCCTGAAGACCGAAGCAAAAGCAAATAACTGATTTTTTTTTTATTCTCCCCTCCCTCCAGCACACTGTGTTCTACATTGCAAGTGTTGATGGTGTATTTCTTCCAAAACACCCCAAGGACCTCCTTGAAGAGAAAAGGATTAATAATGTTCCATTCATCATAGGCGTCAATAACCATGAAGCAGGATGGATTATTCCTAGTGTAAGACATTGTGTGTGTATTTTCATTCACCTTTCTGGAGCCCCCTAGTGCTCACATCTAGAACTAGGAGCTCTGCTTCTTCTCCTCTAGATGCTGCAGTTGCCGGATGCCACCAAGGGGCTTGACAGAGAGACGGTCACTCTTGTGCTGCGCAGCTCAGAGCAAATCTTGGTAAGGGGCTTTCTCAGACTGATTGACTTTCTAATGTCATTAGCTGTACTTCCCCAAGTGAATTGTTGCTTGGGGTGGCAAGGAGGGGCTTTTTGGAGATGCTTGATATCCACTGGCAGCTTTCTGGCCGCCTAAAGAACTCTTTTCAGCATCTTCATCAAGGGGATGGCAGGGAAGGGAAATTACAGGGTTCCCAGCAGAAGGGAATAATGTGGTTCAATGTTGCCTTTGTCCTTGATCATGGGGGAAGCTACTGTTCAATAACTCTTCCTGCCTTTATCTGCCCATTGCAGGGTGTCGCTCCGGAGCACGTTCCTATAGTTGCCAATGAATATCTGAAGGATATTAGTGACCCTGTACAGCTCAGGGACAAACTCCTCGAGCTGCTAGGAGATGTGGTATTTGTTGCTCCAGCCATCCTAACAGCGAAACTCCACAGAGGTCAGTTTGCTGTCAGAGTTGCTGCATCACAGGTGGCCTTGACTGGGCCAGTAGAAGTGAACTAGCTGCTCACTAGGAATGAGGCATAAATTGGGTTTCATTGGGATTTTAACATGAACCTCACCAATTCACACTTTCTGAAACAAAAGTGAAACATAGCTAGCCTTCAAAATTAGCATTTCTCCCAATTTTGTGATGCAATTTCCCCACCAAATAGTGTGTGCATCTGGGGAAAGTTTGAAGGAAAAAAATCCGTATATTAGTGAAAACTACACATAAAAATGCATTGTGTTAGGGAAAATTGCTTGTAAAAATTTGTTGTTAGGAGAAACTTGCACGAAAATGCTTGTGGGTCTTCATGAGGACTTCACACAAAAATTGCAAAAATGTGGAGCACCTTCCTCCTGAATTGATTCCCCCCTCCCTCCACCCAAGATGTCTCCACTCATGACAGCTGCAGATGCTCAGCCCAGGTTTGTTGGTGTGTGAAGCATTTATTTGCTTCCACCGCTGAGCTGCTGGCCTTCAGCATTAACTACCTGTGGCTCTCTCAGAATGGCCATGCAAGCATTTGGTTGGGGTAGGGGGATGGAGATTACTTTCTACCAGGAACTCTGGTTTTCAGTTTGAAGTCTGGGAAATAGTGGCTATGCTAGTTGAGAGAATATCCCCTGGAACCTCCACATGGAAAGAAGTCAAGAGTATGGGTGAGTCCCTCTGGTTTTGGAAACAATTAAAAACTCTTCAAAGCCTCTTACTCCTGAGAGATAAAGTGAAGTGAACACCTGCCCCACAAGCAGTGATCCCCCTTCAAACTGTCATCAACTCTCTGAAAAATGACTTCCGGTTCCAGTTCCAAAATCAAGAGTGGGCAATTAGAACTGGCTCACAGACTGAATCCAGAACTTCTCCCCCACAACAGACCATTCTGGACCTAAATGAAAAGGTTTTTGTAAATAAATAAATAAATTGAAGGTTTCCTCCTGTTTTCTTCCACCAGCTACTCACTCAACATGTTGCTTTATGTTTATTTTGGGTAATGTGCCAGAGAATGCCCCCTTCTAACAACATCTTTGGTTTTTTTTCAGATGCTGGCTACCCAGCCTATGTGTATGAATTTCAGCACCGTCCAAGTTCATCCTTGGGCTTTAAACCGGACTATGTTAAAGCGGACCATGGTGATGAAATTGGCTTTGTCTTGGGGAAGCCTTTCTTAGCAGGTGAGGTGCTTCGGCTCTCTAAAACTTTTTACATTTTATTTTTAGCAATTAATGATATTTTGGTTTCATCTGCAAACGATGGCCATGTAATCACATCTAAACAGGATGTTTAAACCTCAGGATTGCTGGTGGTCACAGAGGGGCTGTGGCTGGCTGCATTTTGAAGACTCTTAAATTGTTGTCCAAGGCAGATCCACATGCAATTTGTTAACAGCAGTCAGATTTTAAGGTTGTGAAGGTATGAGCCACTGTTGCCAATCCAACACTTCCCACCCCTCTCGCTTCTGGTCCTGGCATCCCAGCATTGATTGCATGAGTGACTCTCACTGAGCCTAAATGGCAAGAGGAGTGAAGTTATGGACGAAAGCTGCAGGAGTTCCATTTGCACCAGGCAGTGAAGCTCTTTTGAAGCATGTCTCCCTAATCTATAGGACTCCTTAGTGAGTATTCTTGTGACTCCAGCTGCAATCAAGCAGAACGAAAGTGACCTACACTATTGGCCAGAATTATGGAAACTTTTTGGAAAAAGTGTATTTCTGAGGTTTGATGGCTCATAACACCACTTTTTTTGAGTAATACCATAAAATTATATATCAATGGAAAGATAATGAAGAATGCAGCAAAGTTTGTTCAGTTATCTGTACTCTATCAAAAGTTATAGCCAAATAACCAGAAAAAGGAAGCACAACTTGCTTAGGTTGATATGCAGTAGCTTTCCTTAATTTGAATGTAGCCAATGAGCATGAGTGTTTAGAGAGCCAATCAGGTGTTATGAGCCATCAAACTTTGGAAATACACTTTTCCCAAAAGGTTTCCACAATTTTGGCCACTAGTGTATTAAGGGCTAGGTGACCTGTAGCAATGTATAGGAATTTTATATAACTCATTTTTTCTGTTGTCCCTCCATAAAGAGCCACTCTGTGTGTTATGAAGCTATTATTGTTACGCAAGAGAAACTGAATTATTTCTGTATACAGGCAGAGCGTAAGGAGGAAGGGCTCATAGCATTAACACTCTGCTTCCCCATTAGGTTTCCAAGAAGATCTCCAAAGCCTCGTCTTTGGTTTCACAGAGAGCAAGTAATCCTCCAGACCACCAGCCACCCAGTCCGATAACAATATTTTATATCGCTCCTTTGTTGTGATTTTTATTATTGTGATATTATTATTGTATTGCATTTTTGTATTTGATATACATAGAAAAGGTAAAAAAGGTAAAGGACTCCTGGATGGTTCAGTCCAGTCAAAGGCGATTATGGGGTGTGGCGCTCATCTCACTTTCAGGCCAAGGGAGCCGGCGTTGGTCCACAGCTTTCCGGGTCATGTGGCCAGCATGACTATACCGCTTCTGGGGCAGCGGAACACCATGGTTGTATCCAATGGGTGAAATTCAGCGAAGCTTTACTAAGAGTAGACCCACTGCAATTATTAATTTACTCTGAGTAAAAGTTGAAAACTATCCCATAATCTTTAAAAATGGCTTACATCTGTATTTTTGTCTCTTGTCTGCAGATGATGCAACAGAGGAAGAGAAAAGACTGAGCAAAACGGTTATGAAATATTGGGCTAATTTTGCTCGCAGTGGGTGAGTAAGAATAGAATAGAATAGAATAGAATAGAATAGAATAGAATAGAATAGAATAGAATAGAATGCTGATGTTGTGTTACTGTAGTATAGCCCTTTTTGAACCAGTGGGTGCATTTTGAATTTTGAGAGAATGTTATTGGCACAAGTCACAAAACGGCTGCCGTGAAGGTGTGGCATAACACAAATGGCAAAACACAAAATTAGACCACAGTCATGGCTCTTTTACTCTCTCTCACACGTACACTCCTCCAGGACAATCTATTGCTTAGCATGTGAACCCAGCTATATCCTGTTAGCTCTCATTGTGGAGATACAGCTGTTAAAGGCAGAATAACCCTGCTTTTTTCCTCCAGTGTCAATCCTACACTAAAGTCTAGGCTGCCATCAGATACCCATTTATCTGGCAGTAAGCTCCATTAAACACTTACTTTGAAGGAGGCATATAAACCCTTGTACTGTAAGTGAAAATACAGCAAATTCTTAATGAGGGCCTGGCCTCCAGCTCCTGCAGAACAGGAGACATACCTCAGCCTCTTTGAAAAATTTTCACCATTTGAATTTGCCATTCTGGGTGAGGAATTATTTAACATCCGGACACACTTACTGTGTAGTATTTGCAATAAAATAACTTGAAGGTAGGGCCGACCACAGAAAAAATGCATCCCGGTTGCTGGAGGAAAAGGAAATATAAACTACGGAGATTAGGACCATTAGAACCATTAGAAATACATAAGTGAAGAAATACACAAGTGAAGAAAGGCAAGCGGACATTAGCAGCTGTTTAGGACCCTGGGGATCCTTACTGCATGGAGGTCAGACATCTCATTTATCAATCATAGGTCTGACTTCACTTGGCAGATTGAAGATGCCATGCTGGCTCATTTTAGACAAATTACTTAAAAGGATGGCGGCACAGTTTGGTTGATAACTTTCTTTCTAGGAAGGTCAGAGACTACCTAAAAAATAAATAAATTGGAAGTTTGGAGTCGAGGGACTCCAACAAGAGTGTTTGCACATGAGGGCTGGCAGCCCCTGTCTTAGAAGATCACAGGATGAACATAAACCAATAGTGAGATGCAATTGCTTTGAAAGCTAATGCAATCTTAGGCTTCATTGACAGAATCATGTCCAGATTGTTGAAAACCATACAGAGTCAGTCTATCCTGCTTTAGCCAGGCAGCACCTGTAGTCTAGTGTCCAGCTCTGGGCGCTACATTTTAAGGACATTGGCCGGCTGGAGGTTTTGGGGGTGAGTGACCAGGGTGGTGAGATATATGTTCTATAGGCTTAAGGATTTGTCCATGAAGCAAAACCCCTGACCCACAATCAGCGCCATAAAACATAGATTTGCACAGCAATATAGGCAGGAGGGTGTAGTGGGAAGAGCAGGAGCCAGTTCAGTTGGCTTGTGTGCCTTGCGAGGAGGTCAGGGTCCTACCTCCAGTGAAATGACCCCAAATTGTCCCACCATCACCCACAAGAGTGAGTATATTTGGGAAAACAGGTCCTGATGGCCTCTTTTTATGTTTTCTAGGAACCCGAACGGTGCTGGCCTGGTGAACTGGCCCCGGTACGATGCGGCTGAACAATACTTGGAAATAGGCTTAAAGCAGAAGCCGGCAAAGAAGCTGAAGGAGCAAGCAGTTAACTTTTGGACCAAGATTTTACCTGAAAAAATAGCTGAAAGCCAAAGGCGAACCGAATTATAAACCCTTAACCAGGCTTAGGTTGCTCCAACACAGGAGATACTTTTTTGTTTCACTGGAAATGATTTCACAGAGAATTATTATCCACAGTTTGACATTTGGTCAGTTATTGTCCATTGCCCACCAATTTGTTGACGACTAACAATATAGATGGGGTTCTGATTACATTTGCAAGTTTCATAACTGAATGGCTTATTTTAAGCCCACAGGCCTGATTCAGCCTCCTCATTCTGCCCACAAGACCATTTTTACCCTCCTTCCCTACAGCTCCATTAAGCATGATATGTCAGGTGCAGGGCAGGTAAAAGCCTGGGAGGGGAGGAGGTTCCCCAGCACAGCTGATTGGTGGCGCCCACGATCAGCTGGTGTTTGGGTTTTGTTGAGCCTCTTGCAAAGCATTCCACAGAGTCAGCGTGTGGCAAGGGGCTTGCGAAGAAGGGCTCTTGCAAGAACTGTGAAGAGGTCCTCTATTCCCCTGGTATTGTCAGGTGACATCTGCCAAATGTGGCCTGCAAGGGGTGGGGGAGGTAACAATCCGGCCATGAATTATATGGGGGAAGGAGTGCTCTGTCCCATGAGCCTTTCCCAGCCCTACTTGGAGATTGCCAGGTATTGAACAAGGGATCTTCCTAGGTAGGAATTGCATGAATGGTTTTTAAAATTTAGACAGCAGATTTGCATTGATGTTGGGGAGAGGGAGTAGGGTGGAGAACAGAAGACTTTAATCTTTTGTGCCTTGCTTCAGTGCCTATCTTGACTGGGTCCCAAAGCGCCTGCTGTTTATTTAAAGGCTCCTTTCCCACACCTCCTGCTGCGGCTCAGTATTCAGCACATAGTCCCTTAGTGAAATGCAACACAATCAGGTCTCTCCCCAAAGCGTTTTCCAAAGACCTTCCATGCTGTTGTAAGAAGGCTTTTGAGCCCATTTGCACTCTCAGTCATCTCTCCTGAGCTGAAGGCCTGATGCACAACAAGAAGACAAGCAGCAGCACCAAGACCCATCAGACCTTTAGCTCAGGGAGATGACTGTTCAGAGTGCAAATGGGCTTTCAATGCATTAGAAATTGGAGATTTTCAGAAATCTGCACGGAAATCCCGCCTGGTCATCACTCTCCATCAGCTCCTGATACTGACTGTAATGTTAGAGGTACAGTGGCTGGTATGGGACCTCAGCACCAGGGCCGTCTTTAGCAGATGTGGTGCTGGGGTGCAAATATCTGCCCAGCGCCCCCAAATTACCAGAGATAGTGTTGGGGTGGCCATAGCTACGCACTTCCAGCCAGCCGGGGGGCCCACAACTCTCCCCCATGCTGCTGCGGGAGAGCAATCCCTGCAGAGGCTTGGGAGGGAAACTGCACACCCACCAGCCTTATGGTTGATGGGGCACAGCTGGCGGGCGTGCAGGGAAAGGGGAGGTCACCGGCAAAGCCGTGCAGCTCCCCCACGTGCTGGAATGTCCCTGAGAGGCTGGCGCCCTGGCATGACGCACCACTAAGCCCTATGGGAAAGACGGCTCTGCTCAGCTCTGCCTTGGGTGGGTGTGGCTGGGGGCGTAAACACTCCTCAGTAGCAGTCTGACTTCATCATCATCTTGTGGGGTCCAATTTTCCAGACAGCAAGGTTTGGCTTTTCCGTCTCCCTCTCCTCCCGCACAGAGTAAAGGAGGGGATTGCATCAGCGGCTCCACTGCCTGGAGTTTTTGCAGGGGACAGTTTGTATCCCCACTGCATGACAAGCTCTTCTGGTACCCAAGCTCTTCCTCTACAAATCACTCAGGCTTCGCACTTACTTGGGAGCAAGGCCTGTGGTGCTCAGTGGGACTACTCCCTGACCTGGCACAGTGGGGATGGAACCAGCTCTCTGCTCTCCCATGCCACATCACAACTCTGGTCTACTTGAAGTAATAACAAAGACGAGTGCCTCTGAGCATATGGAAAGTGTGCCCTGTGTCAGGGAGAATCACTGCCAGCCCACACACCTCTGGAATAAGCAGACAAGCAAGGAGGGGAGGTGAGCCAAGGGTTGTGGGAAATATTCGGAGGCACGAATGATTTTTTTCTTCTGTTCTTCCTGCCTCTGAAGTGTGAGGTGCACCACTTCATACTTGGCAGGCCCTGCTCCCATCAGAAAAGGATTTTGCTTGGAGCCGAACCATAGGCGCCGACTCCATGGGGCTTGAGGGGGCCCGAGCCCCCTCAAAAATTTGTTTGGGGGGGCTCCGCCCCCCCAATAATCTCCGGCGCCCCTCCAGCAGAGCGCCGGAGATTATTGAAGGCTTGTAAACCCTTCAATAGAGTCCCGAAACCCCTCAATGAAACATCAGGATTTCTCAAAGAACCATCGCTGACCAATGGGCATCGTCCAAGGTGAGAGGCAGCCAATCCGAAGTCAGGAAGCAGCAGCCCCGTGTCTGGAGCGCGCGATCCGCCAGGAGAGCGCAAGAAACCGAGAGCAGAAAGCGGGGAAGAAGCGCGCTACAAAATGTAGCAACAGCGGATACAATGTTTCCTCCTGTTTCCTTGTTTCTTGCAAGACAGAAACAGAGGGCGATCCAGGGCTCCCCTCCCTCCCTCCCTACCTCCCTAGCAGAAGGTCCTTGGAGCTGATTAATAGGCGCAGCACGCTCTCCCCTATTTGCTCACGAGGAGGCGGTGCCACTTTATTTGCATATTCATGAGCTTATTTATTATTCATGAGCTTTCCCGGGCCCCCCCAATATTTTTTATAAGTCCGCGTCCCTGAGCCGAACAAAAGCGGCTACACCAAATGTGGCAGACAATTCAAGCCAGTCTCCATTTCCCCATGGGAAATCTCAAGGACATGGGGTGCTTGCTAGCGGTGGCCCAAAGGTGAGGCTACCATAGATGCAGCTCCCACCTTTACCCTGTCAGCTACATTCCAGCCAGGCCGAAAATCACCCCCCCTCCCCACAGGTGGTTTCTTATCCCAGCTCAGGGAATTGGTCCAGCCAGGCAAAGACCCTCAAACAGAGTGTGGCCGAGGGTCGGGGAGTCAATACTGGGGCTTTGGGGGGGGGTCTCTGAAAACCTCTGCAGAATAGCTTGCCAACATCTCATCCATCAAGCAGCAGAGGGCAAGGCAGAGACACTTTGTTGAGGTTACTATTTTTAATTATTTATTAAAATTGTTTACTGAATTAATCCACAGACTTTAGGGCGTTCACAACATAAAAATGCAACATAAAAGCACAAAATATGGCAGAACAAACTGGTAGAATACACAGAGTTAGCAAATATGACTGTGAAGAGAAGAAACCAAGATGAGACACAGGTAAGAGACGAGTGGAAAAACTCTGGAGAATATTTAAAGAGATATAACACTCAAATTAACTTACAAGTAGGAATAATTGTATGAGCAGCAGTTAACAACAGTGAGAGAAACATATGGGAACAAATGGGGAACAAATGGAATAAAAGGATATGCAGCAAAATAAAGTTTAACTAGAATGCCATAGAGTGATGGACTGGGAAGTCCTAAGAGAAGTGACCTATAATGGAAAATACGATGTATATACAAAAAAAACTGGGAAATGTACAAATACCTATTTTTTTAAAAAAAGCACAAAATATATGAAAAGAACAAAAAAAGTAACAAACCAATAACACATAACTAAAATAATGAATAATGTTACTAATTAAGGCCTATAAACTCTCTTTTGAATGCAAAACACTGCAAATTTTGAATAAAACCTTTTTATTTCAAAATACAGTGGTACCTCGGGATGCGAACGAGATCCATTCAGGAGCCCCGTTCGCATCCCGAAGTGAACATAACCTGTGTCTGCGGGTCACGTTTCGGCGCTTCTGTGCATGCGGCGAAACCCAGAAGTAATGCGCTCTGTTATATCTGGGTTGCCGCGGAGCACAACCCGAAAATGCCTAACCCGAAGCTTATTGATCCCGAGGTATGACTGTAAAGCTAAAACAAGTATCCTAGAGGCATATACAAAGTTGTCCTGAGTAGCTTGCAAAAGCAGCACTTGCGGGCCTGCTCACAAAGTGATGCTGGGCTTGTGGGGCACCGTGAGTGTGCCCAGCTTTGCAGCAATGGGCAGGGGTCGCTCTGACAGCACACCCTGTCCCCACAGCCTTGCCCCCATGGTGCACCCACCCCAGGCACAGGCGGGGAATGCTCCACCACTGCTGGATATTCCTCTTCTGCAGCAATTCACAAGGCATTGCTGATCTCAAATGATGGGGGAGAGGTTGTGACGGACTCTCCTCTGTAACACTCCCACCACTCCTTGTCTATCTCCTACAAAAGGGGTAGCCAGGGGGAGGGGGAGTTAGGGACTCTAAGAAGGAGGGCAGCTGCCGCAAGGGAGGATGTCCGCCCCCTTCACCCAGCTGAGACACTTTTGAGTGGCAAGGGGTTCTATTCCACCCCAAGGGCCACATGCCCACATGGGAAACTTCTTGGGGCTGAGAGCTTTCAGAGGAGGAACTGGGACTGGAATACCCACCCTTATTTATTTGGCCTGCCAGGACACCCTCTCACACCCTCCCCCCAAAAGACTCCTCACCTTCAGCCTCTTGAGATTCCTTGAGATCTGCCCCATGAGGTCCATGATGTTCTGCATGCTTGGCCACTCCACCTCTGTTGAGACAGGGAACCCTCTGTATAAAAAGAGTCGGTCTTTGAGGTGCCACCAGGCTTTTTGCAGACAGGGAGCTGCTGCCCAGGGCGGTTCCTAGTGTTGCCTCTTTCAGTGCCCATGAGCTCCATGGGTGGTAGAGATGGCCCAAGCCAACTCTCTTCGCCGTGAGCAAAACAACCCCAATGAGTGAGGCGCTGATGCCCACCTTGGCCCTGTTTTCCGAGTCTAAATACCCATTGCAGAGCTGCTTAAACTCTACCGCAGGAAGGGAACCTCAGGGAGGTCAATCACCACCCAACCACCCCTCCCATCAACCAGGCACCCTTTCCCAGGCAAGGGGGCAGCAAGGAACCGTGGTGTTATGGCCCCCCTTCTTACTTTGGCCACGGGGTGGACAAGGAGGGTCTTGAGAGGAACAGCGGGGCTTAAGGGGGAGCTCTCCTTCCCAAGCAATTTAAGCCGCAGCCACTGCCCCTTTGGCTTCAGGAACACGACCAGGTCTTTGAGAAGCAGGACGTGAAGGCCTAAGAGACACACACACACAGAGAGAGGGGTTGTTGCTCACCTGCTCCACTTACCCCGAGGAGAATATCAGGGTGTCAGGCTGCAGAATCAGACCAAAGGCCCCACAGGTCAGAGGGACAAAGTATGCACGACCAAATCAGGCCCTTGCACCCATGTAGCCCATGTGCGTTTCAACTGCTAAGGCTCTACCTATTTTAGGGATCATGTTCTAAAACTGCTTGGTTCTTTTAATTTTTTTGAAAGATGTCTGAGGTCCCTTTGCTTGGTCTGTCTAGTTCAGCCTTGTCTCCTCTGGTCGGCAGCAGTGGCTCTCCAGTGCTTTTAGACTCAAGAGACCCACAGCCCACAATGAGAGGTCACTTGAAAGAAGGGCAAAAGGCAGAGGGGAGGCCTTACCTGGAATTCCACGGCCAGCGGGTGGCTGCTGTTCTGCAGAGACCTGGCATCCAGCCAATTCTGGTAGGTGCCTAGTTGATGTTGGTTCTCCGCCTGCCTCAGCCCGCTCTTCATGCTCTGGAGGATTTCCTCGCACTGGTTGTGCGTCAGGCAAAGGCGCTGGTGCTCCCAGGTCAACCCTGAGTGAAGGAGGCACAGAGAGAGAGGGTGAGAGAGACAGCGGGGCTGACAGGCTGCTGGCAAAGTTGGCTTTCTTTTATTAGTTTGAGACTCACAAGGTGATCACAGAACAACTAGGAACAAAGCAAACAAGTCTGAAAGGCAGATGAGCAGCAGCAGCCCATTTTTCTCCCAAAAATGCTATTTTTATTCCAAACAATCCCAATAGTTAATGACACACAATGCCTAAAAGACTGGTGAAAAGTCAGGTCTGTGCTAAAAGTCTCTGCTGTCTGGGGTTGATGGGAGGTGGGGAACAAATTCAAGATGCTGGAAATGCACCCAAGGAAGGGTGCAGGTGTGAGTGCCACTGAAATAAGGTGTGTATTTTAGGGCTGAGTGAAAAATGATCTCCCAGAATTCCCCATCCTATTTGTGGTTGGTGAAAATGGAGGTGGGGAGCATTCTCTTGAATATTTGGGATGGGGGAGATGGTAAATCTGCTGCAATTTGGATGGTGACAAAAAAGGAAACACAGGAAATTCTTGGGAAAACTCCCTGGGAAAATTGTTGGCTCATGTAACACCCAGCATGGGATTTAGAAAGCTCAAATAATCCAGGAGCATATTTAAAACCTGGGCATGCCTCTGCTCTAGCCCGTGACTTTACCTTCTGTGCAACCAATACCACACTGTGCAACAAGAGGGTAGAAAACCGTTCTCTGGACCGACAAGTAAGCCAAATAATTTTTTCCAAAGGAGCAAGACAGTTCCTGTGTCAAAGGATCAAATGAAGACAGTTATTCAAAGAAGAGGTTTCCAAAGTCATTGGATCAGATGAAGACAGTTATTCAAAGGAGAAAGAGGTTTCTCTGAAGATGTCCACAAAGTCAACTAATCTGAAGGCTTTTCAACTGATCCAACTGACAGGGCTTCCAACTGACACAGGGATCATTTCAAACAATTCAAATGGCCTCCCTGGAAACAAAACATTCCACGGCCAGTTGTGAGGTCAGAGCCTGGCCAAGGACTGGACCCAGTGGGCTCTGGGCTCCAGGCATGCTCTCTCTGCCAGGCCCATGTCACCACTTGGCAACTTCAGGCGGCTGCCAAGTCCCTGACCCACCCCTGCATTTACCCCAAAGCAGGAGGCTTAGGCAGCTGTCTCGGCTCCCCTTAGAGTTCCCCCAAATAGGTATTTAGGTATACCTTTCCCAAGAAACCAGAGGCCTTCCTCCTGGGCATGGTGGACCAGAAAGTGTTAAAGAAGGATAGAACTTTGTTTATGTATGCTACTACAGCGGCAAGAATTCTCATCGCAAAGCACTGGAAGACACCAGATTTACCCACGCTGGAAGAATGGCAGACGCAGTTGATGGACTACATGGAACTGGCTGAAATGACTGGCAGAATCCGTGATTTGGGAGAAGAAACAATGGAGGAGGACTGGAAAAAATTTAAGGACTATCTGCAAAAACATTATAAGTTGTATGAATGTTAAGAATGTGTACGATTAGGAAACTTTTGCTTCAGCAACTTGAATAGGTGAATTGGAAATTAAGTTATGAGAAAGATGAGGTAGACAACATGAAGTAACCATATTATGTTTATTTACAGGGTACAAATAACTGAGATACAGTATTCTAAATTTGGAAACATAGTATTTGAAAGATACAGTAAGATATGAAATAAGGTAACAAATTGCTGATGTTACAATTGCAAAGAACGCAGAATTCGGAAGATGTGGGGAAGTCCGATTGGAATTGTTAAAATATTTTGGAAAGTTGGAATTTATGTATACTTTTTTCTTCTTATTTTTACTTTCTACTTTTTATTCTGTAAATTTCTGAATATCTGAAAGAAAACTTAATAAAATATTTAAAAAAAAAGAAAAAAAGAGTTCCCCCAAATCCTCCCCACTTTGCACCCCTTTGGAGAAATGAAGGAAATCAGGCAGGACATGACTCTGATCCAGTTTCTGGCACCTCCTAAAACTCACCTATTTGCCCAGGAGTTGGATGGCTAGTGTTCCATTGTTTGGTCATTGTGTTTTATCGGTTCCAGTGGTTTGGGTGTTATTTTAAATGTTAGTGTTTGTGGGCTTCATTGGATTATGGAACTGTTATAGTAAAATCCTTGGGCTCACTTGGATTGCCAAACAAAGAAACAACACTGAAAAGGACATACCAAGAGCTCACTCCCTAATAGAAAACGCACAGAGAAACGCAAGAAAACTTGGATTCAATTATCTAAGGTGAGAAAACACTCATCTGATGTCCGTTTTTCACAAACAATTTGACTGGAAATAATAACTCTTGTAAATTCTTATTTCTAGATGCATGTCGAAAAAGAAACATAAAAGAATTAAATGATATAGACTTCCAACAGATTTATAATCCTCAAAAAACCGAGGTATGGAACCAAATATCATGATATGTGTTAATACACTTTAGTATGTATATACTTTATTATATTTATGATCTATGGTATTGAAGAACCTTGATCTATTTTGACATATTATTTGATATTACCAGCTGAAGAAGGCGTTTACTCCGAAACAGGGCCCTGTCCTGGTCACCACTCTGGTCACCACTACTGAGTCGTACATCTGATTCACACTCCGGATACTCCTTTTTGGCCCTATTTGATTCTTTATTCTTTATTTTGATTTATATAATATGGACTCTTTTTGACTGGCATTGAGACTTGTATAAAACAATTGTTGTGTACTGGTATTTTATGTACCTTTATACTATATCACTGCATATTTGAAACTACATTATTTCTGCACTTAAACGTTGTATCTAAATTTACTATTACCTTAAAACTATCGTACTTACACGTTGTGTTCAAATTTACTATTAGCTTCAAACTGTTATTCTTAGCAGAATATACACGTTTTTCTTTTCAACTCTCGAGTAGGAATTATTCCTTATATTGAAACTTGTGGCCAGAGCTCTTGGTATATCCTTTTCAGTGTATTTTCAACAAGAAACAAAGAAACAAGCCAGGAATATAAGAGCAAAATAGCAGCTGGTAGGTCTGATCTTTATTCAAAAGACTGTTGCAACAGGACTTCTACCCAACACATGGAAGAAGCAGGAAGTATTTACAAAATTGAATTGTGTTGGTTTGGGGGATGGTCTGGGGATGCAGTGTACGTTTAACTGGAAACCCCCCCCCCCACCTTAATAAAAATTCTGGTAACAGAACTACCTTCTCTCTCTGCCTGGATTCTCACCCACATTCTCCACCTCTAGGCATCTTTTTAAAAACATGTTTGTGCTCCTAGAAGCCTTTCTTGGTGTTTTACTGTTTTTTTACATGAAAACTCCATCTTTTGTCTGAGGAACAAAGTACAATTCCTCTCCAAATTATCCTCACAATAACCCTGTGAAGTAGGCTAAGCTGAGAGTCTGAAACCTGGTCCAGGGTCACCCAGTGAGCTTTATAGCCAAGAGGTGATTTGAACCCTGGACACTCGGGTCCTAGTCAGGTCTGGGCACCCTGGTATATTATCATTTTAACTGCCCTGTTTTGTCAGCTCTGTTTCCCCCCTGTATTTCAAAGCCCATCTAGTCCAGCCTCATGTTCTCATGGTAGTAACCCAGATGCCTCTTCTGGGAAGCCCACAAGCAGGACCAGAGCGCAGCAACAGCAGCAGGGCTTCCCCCACTTGGGAGTCCCAGCAACTGGTGTTTGGGGGCACTCCTCACTGCCTCCAATACTGGAAGTTGTAGGGGGCTGTTGCGGCTTTTAATGATGAAGCAAGCACACCTTGCGGAGGAATGACTTCCAGTGAAACTGGGTGAATTTAAATACCAAGCAGCCACTAGAGGGTGCAATGGACACACATTAGCTCCTGTTGCAACTGGGGGTGCAGTGGGGTGGTAGGGGGCGATGATGATGATGATGATGACGATGACGACGACGACGACGACGATGATGATGATGATGATGATGATAATAATAATAATAATTATTATTATTATTTATACCCCACCCATCTGGCTGAGTTTTCTCAGCCACTCTGGGCGGCTCCCAATCAAGTGTTAAAAACAATACAGCATTAAATATTAATGCTAGTTAACCTCAGTAATTTATTACATCGTGCCTTTATTTATTTATTTATTTATTTAGCATATTTTTACCCCACTCTTCAGCCAAAAAGGCTCCCAGATTGACTTACATGAAATCAGAACAAGACATATAGTCATTTACATAGACACTGTATATGGAAAATAAAAGTATTTGTAATGTTAGTTGGTCCTGATTACTTAGTCTGATGTAAAAAAAAAAGTCTTTGGACTAGGACCTGGCAGACCAAGATCCTTCAGCCCCCCTCCTTTAGCCACGCTGCAGCTCCTTGATCCAGCCCTTACATTGCATTGAATCCAACGCTAAGCATACACTGAGCTGACCCACTTAAATTATGGTTATGTCCCTTATTGTCAGTGAGTAGTCTGAGTAACAAGAGATGTGTACAACTAGCTGTATTGTAGCCTGCACTACCTTGCAGGGCTGTTGTGAGGATTCAACAGGGAGGTGGCCACGGGGGGGGGGGGGCAGTCGCAGTCCCATGGCCAGCCTTGTGAGCTCCCAGTTGGACAAAGGGCATTGAGGGGCAGAGACATTGTTGTTGCGCTTGTGGCAGTGGGAGGAAGGTGGGCGCCTTGCCTGAGAAAGCGTGACGTGCAAGGAGAGGCTATGACCCTTGAGTAAGCACGGTGGCGGCAGCACCTCAGGCAGGCGCCCACTCCTTCACTTGACCAGGGGTGCGCGGTGGGCACTTCCTCTGCCACCCAGCCGGCCAACTCCCAGTAGCCCCAACATCCACCAAGGCCAATAGTTAGTGAAGAAGTGAGTTGTGAAGCTGAAGATAGCTTCTTGAAAGTTTTCTATGTGCATAAAGAAAAACAAGAAAAACTTTTATTGCGGTTTCCAAGAACTACTGAATGAGTTTGGACACAAGCACCCATGTGAATAACCAGCTCTCTCCCTTTTGCTTTCGGGTCTTGTCTTTCTTGAAGCCTAGATGGGTTTTTGCCCTTCCACATTCCATAAGTTGCTGACAGCAGCAGCAGAGCGATTCTAACAACTCAGGCCTGAAGCAATATTCTGATTACCTTTTAGCATGCTGAGATCAGCAGGTTTCGTAGTCCAAATAAACTGGGTGTTCTTCTTAAACCAAGGCCCTTATTTCATTTGTGCACCTGGGATGTTGAGAGCATCCAGAAATGGCTGTTTCTCCAACAGGTGAGATCACATGTTTGAACCTCTGCACATTTTGCAAGGAAAGGCAACATGATAGATCAGGCATGACCAAAGTCCGTTTCGAAGGCCTAATCCGGCCCGCCGATCGGTTTAATCTGGCCCCTGTGGCAGTTTCTTTCCTTGGGTAAAATCCTAAAAGAAACCAACAACTTTGGTCGGCCCTTTGGTCAGCCCTCACGGCTCTTCACTTCATCAAATCTCAAATCTCTTTGAAAAAAGTTTGGACACCACTGTGATAGATGTTTATAACAGTATGTATGACAGAGTAGGGACGCGGGTGGCGCTGTAGGTTAAACCACAGAGCCTAGGGCTTGCCGATCAGAGGGTTGGCAGTTCAAATCTCCGCGATGGGGTGAGCTCCCGTTGTTCAGTCCCAGCTCCTGCCCACCTAGCAGTTCAAAAGCACGCCAAAGTGCAAGTAGATAAATAGGTACCGCTCCAGCAGGAAGGTTAACGGCATTTCCATGCGCTGCTCTGGTTCACCAGAAGCGGCTTAGTCATGCTGGCCACATGACCCAGAAGCTCCCTCGGCCAATAAAGCGAGATGAGCGCCGCAACCCCAGAGTCGTCCGCAACTGGACCTAACGGTCAGGGGTCCATTTACCTTTACCTTTATGACAGAGTAAAAGTGTCTGGATAAAAGTTTTTCTCCCTCATAATGCTGGAACTTGTGGACATTCAATGAAGCTGAAGGTTGGAAGATTCAGGACAAATAAAGTACTTTTTCATGCAGGGCATAGTTAAACTGTGGAACTGACTCTCACAGGAGGCAGTGATGGCCACCAACTTAGATCCCTTAAAAAGAGGATCAGACCCATTCACGGAGGAAAAGGCTATCAATGGTTACTAGTACCCACAATGGCTATGCTCTGCCTCCATGACTGGAATCAGTAACTCCTCTCATACCATTTACTGGAAACCACAGGAGGGGAGAGTGCTCATGTGCTCAAGTTCTGCTTGAGGGTTTCCCACAGGCATGAGAACATGACGCTGGACTGGATGGGCCATTGGCTTGATCCAGCAGGCTGTTCTTCTGTAAGAGCTTATCTTGCAAATGCTGGGGTCAGCTGCCACCTCTGCTTTCACCCCCTCCCTCCCCCTCTGGGCATGATGGACACCTATGGCAAAGGGTAAAAAGGCACCCCAACAGCATTTCATGTACAGAAGCCAATGAAGCACTGCATCCATTGCACCCAAGGGCAGTGGGCAAGCTTGGGAGCCACAGGGCAGGTTGTATGTCATACACAACTCTGTTCCCCATCATCCTGCCCCCTCTCCCCTCTCCCCGCCCCGCGTCTGCTGCCTCACTCTGCTTATTGGTAGGGCCAGGCCTGTGAGAAAGCATTTCATCTCCTTGGTGGATTATCCTTTGTTGTCATGGACAGGGGCTGGGACTTTTTGTCACAGCATCCCCAGTGGCAAGATGATGCTATTCATGTCCACTTCCATTGGAAGGATGCCTCCTCCCCACAATGCTCTATTGATGCACCTTAAGTAGTTCTTGCTGCTATTACATTTCTACCCCACCTTTCCTCCAAGGAGCTCAAGGAGACACACAACAGTTCCCTCCCTTCCATTTTATTCTCACAACCGTTCGGAGGAAAACAACAGCTACTTGGAGCCAGTGGGTGGCGACAGAAGGGCAGCCTATTCTTCCTCCTCATGGATTCTTTCTCTTTTAGCAACTAGTGTACTTTTGCTTTTTCCCTTCCTCCCTGCTACTCCAATTTTTTTTAGTTCAAGCCAGTTAGTATGAGTTACTTTGTGCTAGTGCCTCTGTATTAGCCAAGTGTGAAGCTTGTGCTCAGAATAGCTTTGTGTGCCGTGACTAATCAACCTTAAGTTTTCTTTGTCCTTTCAACCAGTAGCCTTATCAGACTATTTCTGTGTGCACTCTGCTGTAACATATTTGCCAAACTTTGACAACAATCACCTTGTGAGGTAGATTAGTTTAGGAGACAGTGCCTTGCCAGAAGTCAGCCAAGTGAGCTTCATGACTGAGCATGGATTTCAACTCCAGTCCTCAGGGTCCTAGTCCAACACTCCAACCACTGCACCATACTTTCAGTGATGCTGAATCCTATTATCAGTGGACCACCCAAAGCTTCATTTCTCCAGAAAGCAGTCATTGTTGCTGTTGTTGCAGAGAGCAAATCGTATCTGCAAGTCATCTGTCTTGTGACTGTGTGACCCATCCGCTTTTTGTCTCTTTTGGATGGGTTGCCTGCACTGCTGAAATGTGATTCGTTGTTTGATTGATCAATGGCTGTATATCAGTTCTGATATTCTGGCCATGTTTTATTCTTTTCGTTCATTAACCGCTTCCCGTGAAACATCCTGAAGTGATTTAACAATAAAAGCATCCAAAGTAAAACCATTTCAAAAGTCCGATACAGATTCAAACTGGGATAAAAAAAATCTCCACAGAAAAGGCTTGTCAAAAAGGGGATTTCATAAGCACTGAAAACAGATTAGTGATGCACACTTAGGAGTAAGCCCCATTGAAACAAGCAGCAAGTCTGCCAAACAAACCTGACCCAACAATGATTTCCTCTCACATACGTACCGGATTGGGTTATAAGCCACCTCCCTGGCTACCTTGGAGGAAGTGGGGGGCCCACACATGGGGAACAACAGGGAAAAGGCTACATTCTCCCACTCCCTCACAATATGGAGATCTCTGTTTCAGCGTTTGCCCCATGCCCTGTTTGTGAGCTCAGTTTCGGGCCTCCTGGGTCACACACCTGCAGCAGGTGCTTCTATCACTGTTATTCATGATTTATTCTAGAAAGCGCTAAAATATACTACGCACTACAAGGGAGTGAAATGAACAGGCTCTGACCTGCAAGCTGATGATCTAATCTTTTAATCTACCCAAGGCTGGTTTGCTGAGGACTCACCTTTTCCTAAGGGAAGCTGTCTCTCTGTCTGACTGTCTCCTTTTTCTCCAGCCAAACTGTCTACTAGCTCGCTTCCCAGTCCCCTCAGGCTTCTCCTGTGGGCCTCTAGCTCAGTTTTCAATCCTCTTTCTGAAACAGGTTTCCTAGCCTGTAGAGCCTTTGGCACAAACACAGACCCATCCCACATTCATCTGGTCCAGTTTCCACCTGTTCTCCTGAGAACAGGTGCCGACTTCCCCTTCTCAGGGTGAGATGAAACTCATTTGGTGCAGAAAGGATTCTCAGGTGTATCTCTATATAAGGTCACATCTGCCCCATCTATTTTGTTAGCATATACAGCAGCAAAAGTCAACTGCAGTTCACTGAATCCTTGGTTGCAACACACTTGCTCACACCTTTGTTCTCAGAAGGTAAGATTCAAGATGACCGCAGGCCTCAAGGTCCAGAGAAAGTGTGAGGAGGAGGAAGTGGCAAATAGGATATACAAGCTAAGATGCATCAGTCTAAACCTGAAAGGATAGAGGAAAGTCAGCAGAGATAAAAAGATACAAGACTAGCCTGGGAATCTGGAGGTCCCTTATCATCTAAGCTCCAAGCAAACCTTTCTCGGCAAGCTGAGTTGCACTCTAACTTCCAACACACACTTTAAACAGTCTTGCCTTCCCCCATAGACTCCTGAAAACTGTCATTGCTAAGGATGCTGAGAGTAGCTAGGTAAAGGTAAAGGTACCCCTGCCCGTACAGGCCAGTCTTGACAGACTCTAGGGTTGTGCGCTCATCTCACTCTAGAGGCCGGGAGCCAGCGCTGTCCGCAGACACTTCCGGGTCACGTGGCCAGCGTGACGAAGCTACTCTGGCAAGCCAGAGCCGCACACGGAAACGCCGTTTACCTTCCCGCCAGTAAGCGGTCCCTATTTATCTACTTGCACCCGGGGGTGCTTTCGAACTGCTAGGTTGGCAGGTGCTGGGACCGAGCAACGGGAGCGCACCCCGCCACAGGGATTCGAACCACCGACCTTTCGATCGGCAAGCCCTAGGCGCTGAGGCTTTTACCCACAGCGCCACCCGCGCTGAGAGTAGCTAGGAGGCACCTATTCCCTTCAGAGCTACCAGTCAGTGTTGGTAGACTAGAAGACATCTAAGGCCAAATCCTGTACCAGCAGCTGTGGCATAAGGCAGCCTGTGTTTCTCTCTGTTCAGTTTCTTACTCAACTTTAATGTTAATTTTTGTGTTCTGGAAACTAGCACCGAACTAAGAAGCATTGTGTGGATAGGGGTCTGCTAAGATACCAGAAGCAAGCAAGCAGAGACCTTTATACAAATGCTGTATCCAGCAAGGAACTTCTTTCCCAAAAGGCAAACTTGACCATGTTTCTCCTACTTGGATAATGAAATGTCTCAAGCACAATGACAAGGAAGGAGGAGCACCTTTGCTGTTCCAGTGAGAGGATGGGTGAATACATGCATGTTCTGCCCTGCAGGTGATTTTCTTATGATGGGGTCCTCCAAGCTTATATTTATTCCTAGTGTTGGGAATTTCACCTGCTCGATGGGCATATTGCAACTGTACACAAACTTGAAGTAGCCCAAAGGCTAAAAAAGCAGACAGTGGTCCTGCAGACCTAGGGAGTTTCAAAAGAAAGGAGTATTTCACCAGGAAAAACTATTCAGAGTAAATGGGAGAAAGGCACATCTACTATGCTTTTTTAAACTTCTATGGACCTCCTGGAGTCTTCTGGTCCTGCTTTGCTGGCAGTTAGGGAAAGCTCCATAATACAGTGGTACCTCGGGTTAAGTACTTAATTCATTCTGGAGGTCCGTACTTAACCTGAAACTGTTCTTAACCTGACGCACCACTTTAGCTAATAGGGCCTCCCGCTGCCGCCGGAGCATGATTTCTGTTCTTAACCTGAAGCACTATTTCTGGGTTAGCGGAGTCTGTAACCTGAAGCGTATGTAACCCGAGGTACCACTGTACTACTTTAGTCAGATATATAGAGATTTGGGGTTGTCAAAAGCCTACTTAGCACCATGGATAAAATGCACCCAATTTGGGGCATGTTTGTGGTGGTTTAACTACAAAAGGTTCATTTCAGTCATTTTCATGTTTGTCATCTGGTTTCAAACGATTGGAAAGTCTGCAGACTTGCGTTACAGGCTCCCATTAGCCTTTAAAAAGGCTATACAGACCACACCCAGCCAACACAGTTCAAAGTTGTCAAGTTTGAAATACTTTTATTTTTCTGAACACATTTTTCTTCCTTTTATCTGTATGAAAGAGCAACTACAAAATAGGAAAATTGTCTCCTTTTTTCAAACGGCATTTTTAGGTGCAGCAGCTGCATTTATCCGACAGTGGCTCTTTGCAGACACAATTCTGAGCACATTTGGCGCATCCAGCTGGGCAACAAGAGCAGCAGCCTGAAAGAGATGGGCAAAAAATGACATTGGATGTTTAGCGTGCCAAAGAGATTAATGACCTTTAGTAATTTAAGTGGCTGGCATTATAACAAATTAAGCGGGATAGTGAAATGTCTCAAGCACAATAAGGAAGAAGGAAAAGTGGTTAAGGTGCCATCAGCTTGTATAAGGGGTACAATTACTGCACAGCAAATACAGATACAAACGTAACTAGCCCAAAATCTGAAGTCACTTTTGGCAGATCAACAGCTTCAAAAAAAATATGAGAGGAAAACAAATTCTTCCAGCTTACTAAAGCTTTTATGCCTCCTTGCGTCAAGTAGTTTTCACCCACATATTGAATGTCAGCTAATAAGGGGAACTTTCTCTATTTCTTTTCCCCTGATGCTGGGCATTTAATAAGCCTGGCATGATTTACACTGGGTATGGGTGAGAGAAATACAAAAGTTCAAGTTTAGGAGGTTTCCCTAAATTCAAAATTAATACCAAGAGATGTTAACTTTTAATGAATTTGTTCAAGAATAGAACTTAACCTTGTGAAAGGACAAGCCTTGGAAAGGAGGCTTCTAAGGGAGAACATTATGTCCAATCCTATGTATATTTTGTCAGAATCAAGTCCCAAATAGTTCAGTGAGAATCACTCTCAAGTACACATGCTAGGACTGCATTGCAAGTTCCTGTGTGAGATCAGCAGCCAACACCATTCATTTAGAGCACATGGCTGTTCCCCAGTATCCTGGAAACTGTAGATTACCCTTCAGTGCTGTGGTTCCCAGCACCCTTAACAAACTACCATTCCCAGGATTCTTTGGGGGGGGGAGAAGCCATATGCTTTAAACATAGTGTGAATTTACCTGCAAAACTCTTAGTTTCTAGGTTTTAACCAGCTCCTTCTGATGCATGGAACTTTTATTGGGTTCACAAAGAGATACTCACTTTTTTTGCATGAAGTGCATTTGCAATTTTTGCATTTGCAGGAGCCGGCACAGGAACAAGAGCCACCTGGAAGGGGGAGAAATATACATACCACTGAGTTAAATTAAAATAAAACTCCACCCTTCGTCCCTTTCAACAGAAATATATGCTTGCACTGAAGCCACTGAAACCAATGGCTATAGGGTTGCATGCAGACAACTTCTTCTCGTTAATAAAAAATAGAAGCAATACAAGTTTGCCAAATTGCCACCTATGCCTATAGGATGGAAGAATAAAATTCAGAAGTAAATTGGAGGCAAAGCACCTAAGTTTAATGAGAATGCTTTGGGAGGGTTCCAGGACTCAGAAGCCAAAAAGGGTAAGTTCCCAGAGTTTATACTGTGGGCTTCTTTCTTAAGTGGGACTGCTTTGTGACGGGGAACAGTACCACTAGCTTGGATCAAGCACTAGAGCCAGTTCTAAAGTGTAGAAAGACTGATGTTCTGAGAATCTGAACAGAGATCACAGGTTCTTAAAATTAGTTAGTTACTAAGCATCCCACTATTTACCCAATTAATGAATGCATTGGGACAACTGTAAGCAAGAATCTCCAGGGTCACAGATTCCCAGAGAGTGCTGCAATACTTTTTTTTCATAGTAGTAACATTCAAGTGCAGAAGTGACTAGCTTTAGTGCATCAGAGTACTTTCAAGGTGATCAGCACTGCCAAAGCAGGCATCTGAAGAGCAAGGAAATCACATTTTTGCTCAATATGATTTTGTGAATGCTGTAAGGAGGCTGAACAGAGGAAGGACGGGTCTGCTCAAATACATCATCACACCTGGCATCAGTAAGCATGGCAATTGTAGGCCTGTAGATGTCAGTGGCTAAAACTGATTAAAGATAAAGGTAAAGGGACCCCTGACCATTGGGTCCAGTTGTGGCCGACTCTGGGGTTGCGGCACTCATCTCGCTTTATTGGCTGAGGGAGCCGGCGTACAGCTTCGTGGTCATGTGGCCAGCATGACTAAGCCGCTTCTGGCAAACCAGAGCAGCACACAGAAACGCCGTTTATCTTCCTGCCAAAGCGGTACCTATTTATCTACTTGCACTTTGACGTGCTTTCGAACTGCTAGGTGGGCAGGAGCAGGGACCGAGCTCACTCCGTTGCGGGGATCTGAACTCCCGACCTTCTGATCGGCAAGTCCTAGGCTCTGTGGTTTAACCTACAGCGCCACCCGCATCCTGTATCTTAAAAGGGATGTTGAAAGCAGGACTCCCAATGAAAATGGATGCTGCACCACAATCCTAAGCCAATTTACTTAGAAATAAATATTTGTGTAGTAAAGTGCTTGAGAATCACACCCTTTAAAAACATCCCCTGTGGTAACCCCCCCCACCATTCAAGCTATAGAAGCGTATAGGAAGCAACCCTTATTGCAGACTCCGCCTCCACCCACCCCCTGCTCTCTTTAGACGGCAATGAGTGTTAAGCCCAGCGCACTGCAGCATTTGGGATCCTTTGTGCTCATTCTGCAGAACTGGCCCAACAAAGGCCCATTTTCCCTAGCCGGGCAGCTTGTCCCTCTGCTTCAGCCTTCCGCCGCTCCGTACCCTCCAGATGCTGTTGGGACTGATTCCCATCAATCCCGGCCAACACAGCCCATCTGTCGGGGATTATGGGTGTTGTTGTCCAACACATCTGGAAGACAGAAGGCTGGGGGGAACCTGCTCTAAGTCACCTACCAGGCCCAGCAGCAGCTCTGCAGAGGTACAAACAAAAGTCTGAGACCAGGGATGGAACCTGGGACCGTCTGGGTGCAGAGCGCGCTCTTTGAGCCACCGATCCCTGGCTCTTTCTAAAGCAGTCGAGCAAGTGGAATGAAGACTCACCAGTGGCGCAAGCGCAGTCCTGAGGATCCATCGCAGTTGCAGGAGTGATCACAGATCGGAGGATTAAACGAGGCAAGAGGAGATGTGTGGCCTGAGGGCAGCCTCTGCCGGCATATTTATAAGCAGCCGGAAGGCAGGCGCGGCGAGTGCAAAGCGCCCGCCCCTTTCCTGCGCACGGACCGGCCCCGGGCAGCGGGCAGAGGTGGCGAGGGGTGCAAAAGCGAAACGCACGCAGCGCCGCGTGCAAAGGAAGGCGGCCCCCGCGCGGCCCCGTGCGCACATTTCGTAATCGGCGCCCTTGCCAAAGGTCCAGCCTCTCCTCCCCTCCGTTTATGGAGCTGCGTGCAAAAATTAGTCTCTCTTTCCCTGAAGCATTGCACGATCGAGCCGTCGGCTCCGCGTGCAAATATCGACCGCTTCCAGGCGGGGGAGGCGCATGAAAGATTTCGCAAGGAGGGGGAAAACTTGCAGTGAGAGGGAAATTCAGTGACGGGTCATTTTCTCTTCCCGTTGGAAGAGCGTGTCCATGTTTACTTGTGTGGATCTGAAATGGATTTCGTTATTTAAAGCATTAAAAAGAGATTGTGGTTGTTGTAAACAGAATCTGCCCTTTTTCCCTTATGGGGTATCCAAGAACATGGTCATCAACGCAAAAAGGAGCCCAGATAAGTGCAAGTGAGAAAACGGCCCCAGTTCTGAAGCTTTCAGTATTAAAAGACGCCGCGCAAAATGAAAAAAGCGATTGGAAGGGGGAAAGTAAGCTCTATTTCTTCGTTACCCTGTGCATTTAAAGTATAGTTGAGCTGCTTCATTTTATTTAGGGCATCCCTTCCCAGCAGGGGATTAATCTGAACTCAGGAGGGCTGGATCCTGAGACCTATTTACAATTATGGGACTCAGTGCTGAAGGAATAACAAGTAATGGCTTCTGAACACCGTAAAGAGTAGTTTCCACCTCATTATTTAGCTACACATCTGGGGATCAAAAAGGAAAGGGCGTTTGAATCCCACTTTTCATTTTCTTAAGCTGTTCAGCCATGAATCTTGTCATGAAGGGAGAGGGGAACGATTAATCATTAATATTATCTACACATAGTAAATTCCTAGCTTATACACATAGTAAATTCCTGCACTAAGCTATTGTGGTTAAACAGCTCAAGACTGCAGTCGCTTGCAGAATCTAAATCAGACAGGTCAAGAGGCCGTTTCCTGCCTAACCAGCTATCTGAAACTGCTGATGTTAGCCACAGGTCAGAAGGTCGTTTCCTGCCTAGCCAGAAACTGCTGTTAACTAAAAACCACTAGCAAGATGTTTCCTGCTTTGCTTCTGCTTTAAGTAATGCAAGATAAGAGATACGAAGGGAATGCTGAAGGAATCTTTAGCCTCAGTTGTCCATTTGTAAAATGGGGGTAATAACACCAGGAGATTACAGTTCCAGGTTGGTGGCTCTGTTTCTCCAGTTATGCCAAAACCAGAGTCCTCTGCCACCTTTAAGACACTGACCTCAAAAAGGTTGAGATTCCTGCATTATAACGGGGTTGAACTAGATGACCTTTGGTGTACCTTCCAACTCTGCAGGTCTGTGATTCTAGAAGGACATTGTAGAGCTAGAAAAGTTTCAAAAACAGGCAGTTTGCCTCCCGCAAGATATAGTGACATCCACCCACTTAGGTTTGAAGAAGGATTGGCCAAATTCATGGAGGGTAAGGCTGTGTGTGGCTGCTAGTGACACAGTGGCTGTGTTCTCCCTCCGCTGTTGGAGGTCCTGTTTGCAGACTTCTCAGAGGCATATAATTGGCCACTGTGAGATCAGGATGCTGAATTAGATAGGCCACTGGCCTGATCTTATGTTCTTATACATCTATGTTGTAAAATGCAAGGGTGTTTTTTTGCTTTTTTACAGGAGCATTCAACATTAGGCTTTCTCCTGCCCTGCAACAGCAGTTTCTGACTTTGGAAGGCATAATGGCCTTCAGGCACAACTTTCTAAATGGTACTGTGCATTATTTCATTTGCTTCCTAATTCAGCCCTGCTGCATTTGGGGGCTCATTCTTCTGAATGGGGGGCCCTGGACTACTGCCCCAAAGTCCTGCCTTGACAGCGCTACAGGTCACAGTAATAAATCTGATATCTTTGGGGTTGCTTGCTGTTGTGTGGGGTGAATCTAGTAATAATGTTAGAGCACTGTGTACGCACATCCACCCACACAGAGAACAAGAGCTGGAAATGACTGAGGTTTCTATTTTGGAGAAGAAACAGACTTCTGTCACTGAACTTTTTGAACAAAGCACACTGAGTCCTGTACACACGGTATGCCTTTCTTTGCATTTTCCTCTGCACCCCAGTCAAAGCAGGCGCTGCTCCTCTTGCTCAGTCTCCTGTGCTGTGTGCAAACAACACATGGCAATAAAAACATATCTTGTGCCATGTGCAAACTCCTTCCGGGGCCAGTGCAGCAGTTTTATCTGGGAACATGTTTAATGCTGACTCAAGGGTGTGTCAGCCATTGTGTGACCAAAGGGAAAGAGAAGTAAAAGTGAGGGGGGCAGTTCATGAGAAATATGATTGTGTTGCAAAGGTTTGTGCTGATGGGATTAAGCAAAAACTTACATAGCAAAGGTGATTTCCAAAATCCGCATTTTTATTAATTTTTCTTTCCTTTCATTCCTTTTTCATTATTAACGAACTGCATTTAAATCAGACAGTTTTGACATTCCATCTCCTGATGAAAATATTTCTTTTTTTGCCATTCTTAGACAATTTGATTTAGCGTGAGTCATTTGTTCTGTATTTTATTATTTTATACTTTAATGATGTTATTGTTCAGTGCCATCTCCCAATGTTATTCTCACAACAACTGTGGAAGCTAGGAGGGTAGGTAAGGTTAGTCTTAGAGATGGTGACTAGCTTAGGGTTGCCCAGTGAGCTTCACGGCTGAACAGGGATTGCAGGGTTTATGACACCAACCAAAGTACCACAAAACAGTAACAGTGAGCAAGCTTCTGTATTCTCTGGAACACTTCATGAGGCTATATGTTAAATGCAGCAGGGCTGAAAAAAAGCACACTCACTGATAGTGATGCCTGGAGTCTGCATTTAGTCATCATCTTAAGGTGGAACGTGGGAGAAGGGAGCAGACAGTGAAGTTAAACTGTCCTACCTGCCCTGAAGGGTTCATGTTGCATCACAAGGGGTTTCTGTTGAGTGATTTGAAAAAGAGAGAGAGAGAGAATTATCATTATGTCTTAATGATGATACACCACTGCAGTTCACACTTCAACACTGGTGTTGTCAATATGTGCCAGGTCTTGGGGGAGAGGGCACCATTGCCAAGATAGAACCAAGAAGATACAGTCAAGCTGCTTGAAAGGAGTTGCTCCAGCCTGAGGGATGAAATTATTTGTTTGTTTGTGTAGATGTGTGTGTGTGGGGGGGGTTCTTCCCCATCTTGCCACTGTGGAACCTTTTTTCCTCTTCTGGTGCCCTCCAGACTACATGTTCCACCAGCAACGGCTGGTTGGGTCTGGTGGGAGTTGCAATCCAAAACATCTGGAGGGCCAAACATCTGAAGAAGGCTGAAGTGGAAACTGATCTATTAGGGCAAACAGGGCTTTGCCCCTGCAGCCTCAAGCCTACCTGCCTGCCATCTTACAACCAGGCCAAGGGGTGGTCCTCTTGGCTCTTTGCTTCCTCCTTAGTCTCAGTTGTGTCTGAGTGAAACTTAGCAAGGAGGAAGATGAGGACAAAGCTAGAACTGGTTAGCTCTGCTTGTCAATGGTTGTGTACACACTATACAAACACATATTACCCCCTTCTCCTTACCTGTTAAGGGTGCTGGGAATTGTAAGCTACAGTTTCCAGGATCCACTGGGGGAAGCAAAGTGCATTACATGCCTGGTGTGTACACAGCATCTCCAGCTGCCGTTTGCTTCCCTGCCTTCTGCCCTACCACCCACAACGAGCACCAGTCTCCACTACATGTGGGTATAAGTGTGCATATTTGTGTAACATTTGCAAGGGTGAATCTCTCCTACAAATACCCACCCTCCCTTTTTCATTACTTCTCTGTGGTGATCCCTGATTTTGGAATGTTGTCCCTAAGGAGACACATCTGGCATCAGCTGAAGATTTTCTGAGTCTGGTCAACACTTCCCCATTTCTCCCAGGCATTTTAGATACAATTTGTAGTCAGAACTGTTTTTAGTCTTTAGTTTTAGGTTTTCAACTTGCCTTTTATTTGTTGATTCTTCTTTTTAAATGCATTTTTGCAACGTGGGGGGGTCTGCTTTCTCCATAATCTTATTTACCTTTATCATGTACCTTACTTTCCCTCGCTAAATTAAAAAGTCGCAAATGAGGCAATCTCTCCCCCCCCCCCGGAGAATTTATCCAGTCCCTTGGTCATGTTGGTTGCCTTTTTCTTAGCCTTGTCTATCTCTGCAATATCCTTTTCTAGGTGAGTTGGATCAAGCACGTTTTGGGTGGTCTGCCTTTCTGCCCCAATTGTAGCAACACTTTCTGGCAGAGAAATGTGGTGGCCTTATATGTTGACACAAATGTTCCAGCAAATGTTTTGTTTCCAAGGTGCTTGCTCTCAGGCCCCAACAAATGACCCTGCCAGTACCATTCATTCATTTTGTGAATGTTTACTCACAAATGCTGACTTTATTTTGCTCGGATGCTGGCAAGGTTTGTACTGTGTGTGTATTTAATTGCATAACTGGTAGCTGGAATTTATGTCTCCACTGCTCTAGAAAAGACACGGTGTTCCTGGAAGTAGTTCATTGATTTCCAAATGTTTTTGGTGATGGCTGTGAATAGGGAAACAAACCCCTTCCTCTCAAAGTGATGTTGTTGACTCACCAATGACAAGAAACCAGCCACCCAGTTTAGATTCTGTACATGTTATCTTTTGGTAAGCAGAGGAAAGAAACAGGAGTGAGGAGAGGAACTGAACTGCAAGGAGGGTGTATATTAGAGGGACATTCAGAATCAATGCCACAGGACATGCAAACATGGGGCATTCATTGAATCACACTGAATCCTGGGGGGGGGGAAAGTGTTCTCAGTCTAGGAGGTGGGGAAGCACCCTGCCCTGGGGGTTTCATTTTAGGGGTGCTCTTGGAGACTCAGGTGGCCTTGATGGCTAGGAGTGCCTTTTCTCAGCTCCGGCTGATTTGCCAGCAGAAACCCCTTTTGGAAAGAGGATCTGACCACTCTACTCCATGCTCTGGTAACTTCCATATTGGATTGTTGCAGTGCACACTACATGGGGCTGCCATTGAAGACAACTTGAAAAAGCTTTATTTGATCCAAAATGCAGCCAGATTTATGTCTGGGGTTCTATGTAGATCTCACATACACTCTGGTTTAAAACAGCTGGCATGGTTGCCAGTTCACTTCAGGGCCCACTTCAAGGTGGTCACATTAGTGTTTAAAGCCCTAAATGACTTAAGACCCAAATATCTTAAAGATTGCCTCCTTCCCTACAAACCCTCTCAGAGGTGTTTAGATCAGCAGAGGCTTGGCATGGTGGTGGCCTGAGAAGCAGCATTCTCCGTGACAGATTCTCCAGGACTTCAGACAGGAATTTTCCCCAGCCTTACCCTGGGATGCTGGGAATTGAACCTGAGGCTTGCACTGGCTTCCCATCTGCTACCTGGTCAAGTTGAAGGTTCTAGTGCACAAAGATCTGAATAACTTGGGCCCAGGGTAGCTTAAGGATCACATTTCCCCATACACCCCAAGTTGATCACTGAGATCATCAGGGAGCAGGGAATCCTTTTAGTGGCTCCGTCTCTGACTCATGTCAACAAATAGTTGTGCCTTCAGAGTCTGGGGCCAAACTCTATGGAACTCCCTCTGACAAGGAGTTAAGACAGGCACCATGCCTACTGAGTTTCAGGTAACTGCTTACCGGTAATTTCATTTCAGGAGGTCTTTGCACCCTGAATGCTTCTCATGTTTTGTGTTTTTGTTTTCTTGAGGTTTTAATTGGGGGGGTGTTGTGTTTTAAAATTTGTATATTGTTTATGTTAATGTTGAGACCTATGTGGTGAAAAATGGAATATAAAATTTCAATAAATAAATTCTACTTACAATACATCCGTTGAAATGAATGAACCTAGCTTAGTCATGTACACTTATTCCAGTGGCTCTACTCTTGAGTAAAACTTAGTTGGATACTACCTCATTTGAGTATAGGCTAACCCAGTCTCTTCGCCCTGTTGACACCAATTCCTTGGGGTGAAAGGGGAGCCACTGGCCTGTTAACCATCATTTCTTCTGCTCCACAGAATCCAATGACAACTGATAACTAAATTCCTTCCTTCCGACCTCTTTACTGATGTAATCCCTCAGTGCATTATTTTGTTCATGTTGAACTATGACATTAGAATGTGACCATGAGATAGAATATGGAAATTAGACAGATAACCTCCCAGATTCGGTGCTAACAATTGCTCCATTTATACATCCCTCCAGCAATGACTAGATTAGAAAGACCTGTGTAACTGGTGTTCCTTGTGTGGCTTCAGTGTTCATACACACAGTGGAACTGTGTGGGTTGGCTTCTGTGCCAGGAGAGCTGGATTAGGTGGTGCAGTTGGAATCTGCTTAATACAAGGATTCCCAGTGTGTGCCTGCCATAACCTAATATAGTGCTCACAAAAGGTCATAGTAAATATCCCCTCAAAATAAAATAATAAAAAGTTTTTAAAAATAATAATGCACAATGATCTCTCTGCTCAGGTCCTGTTTACGGTGGCTTAGCCTCTCCTACATTATTCACCCCCTGCCACCCAAATGCCTACATACATTGTATGGCAGGATTGGAGACCCACCCTCTTCTCTGTTCTGAACTTGGGAGAGGTGCAGAGAGCACCTTTTTTTAAAAAAAAGAAAACAATGATTCATTATGGCAGCAGGTGATACTTTCCCCCCACTGAGTGGGTGGCTGATGGGTTATGCACCCACACCATTTTGTGGTCTTGTCTCTTTTTCTTCCCTTTTGGATGTGGCAGCCATTTTGTGCTATGCCATGCCCTCGTGGCAGCCATTTTGAGACTGGTACCCACAGCTCAAAATTCCAACTGCACCCACTGGCCCCAAAACGTCTTTTAAGACCTAATCAATTCACCTTGTGATTAGATGTACATTGGCAAGGACTTCTAATGCCCAGTTGTTTAATAGCAAAATGATTCATCCTCTAAATTATATAGCTTAAATGAAGAAAGCTGCTGCAGGTGGAGCATAGATGTGTGGATTTTTGTGTGGAAGGACTAAAGAGTTCTGTTCAGTTTTAGTATTCAGAACAAATCCCTGGGCTCGGGAACCTTTAATTCTAAGTGAATGCTGTTTGCACCTGGCTGTGGTTGGTGGATCTTGGGGTTGTAGAAGATCTAGCAAGCACTAGCACTACAGACATATGCCTGTGAATGAGGTCATGGGTTTATCATAGCATCTTGTTTAATCCCCTCCAAATATGGAATCATTATGGACAGTAGCCTGCAACAGTGCAAAACTTCAGTAGTGGGAGAATGTGCCCATCCAGATGCTTGTTGAAGTACAAATCCCATCAGCCCTGAACATTAGCTATGGCACTTGGGGCTGATGGGAGTTGCCATATTTGAAGAGGGCAGCCAGCTCACACTCTGCATTTAAAGCGCATGGCTCCCCCTCACAGAACCGTAGGAACAGTCATTACCCTCAAAGGGCTACAATGCCCAATGGTCTCAGCTAGTGCTTTAAATGTATGGTGTGTGGATGTACTTAAACTTGGGTTAAGGAGAAGGAACAGAGAAGAGGTTCATATTTTCAAGATGTGCATCAACAGTTAGAGCATGGGTAGGCAAACTAAGGCCCAGGGGCCAGATCCGGCCCAATCACCTTCTAAATCCGGCCCGCAGACGGTCTGGGAATCAGCGCGTTTTTACATAAGTAGAATGTGTCCTTTTATTTAAAATACACCTCTGAGTTATTTGTGGGGCATAGGAATTTGTTCATCCCCCCAATAAAGTCCGGTCCCCCACAAGGTCTGAGGGACAGTGGACCAGCCCCCTGCTGAAAAAGTTTGCTGACCCCTGAGTTAGAGCCTGGGCAGCAGACCAAGCAGGCACACAGGTGAGCTGGGCAACCTCTTCTCAGTTATGTAGATTGTAGATATATGTGCTGCATTTCCATTTAAATCACAGCAATTACTTGTAACATTTCCACCCATATTAGCATATACAAACATTATGTAAATCTGTCTTCTGTCCTTTTTTACTGATGCTAACGTAAACTCCTTCCCTCTCATGGGATGGATGTGTTGCACAGTAATAGACTAGTTGGGAGACAGAAGAAATGTGTGTTGTGCATGATTTGTGTTGCGCATAACAAGCCTACTTTGTGCTTTGCCAGGAAAGCATGAAAAGCTGTTCAGAGAAGCATCTTCTAAACATTCTTCCCCAGACCAGCCTCCTCCGGGCAGTGTAGCTATCACCACACCACCAGCAACTTGGAATTCACCAGGAACAGATTCATGATTAAGGCTCCACAAAGTAGAGCTCAGAGGCCGTGCACATTTCCAATGTTTAAAGCAACCCCCCCCCCAACATCAAAAGAAACCTGGGAACAGTAATTTACTTTCACAGAACGATTGCCAGCAACCATAAAAAACTACAGTTCCCAAGGTTCTTTGGAGGGAAATGTGCTTTAAAGGTATTACGTGTACACAGTCTGAGTTTCAGGGCTCACTGCCTCTGTCCTCGAAGAAGGAAAGAACCACTACCAACAAAACATTCTCCAAATGTTTCTTATATACATACAGCTTTTATTATTTTCCACATAGCTTGTGTTACTTCCCACATAGCTTATTTTCACATCTAAAGGCTACAAAAATGCACAGGCAAATATATAAATGGACAATAAGGTTACATTCCTGCTGGCAATCAAATATACAGATCAGTGCTTGGAGAGCCAGAGAAGATTCACTTGCAGCAGCTGCATTTGGTGGAAGGGGGACCTTTGCAGATACATCCCTGGGCACACTTGCTGCAGCCCACCGGACAACAGGTACAGCAACCTAGAAACGGAAATGAAAATTTACCTTTGTGGTTTCAGCCAATGAGGATCTCTTAGCAGAGCTGGGGAGTGGACCCAGCAGGCAACAATGTTGCTGGGATCAGAATATGAGAGATGGATGAGGACAGCAATTATGATATATGTGCACATGCTTTAACCACACTAGCATCAGCAGCAAACCATTTCACTCCAAACAGTTTGCAATGCCATTTCAACAGGGATCAACTGAATGATGTTCTCTGCTTTATGTTCCATGAAGAAGATGTGCTCTTGCACAAGCAGGTAAAGGATGCTAGAATTTTCAGATTTGTGGCTGTAATGAGAGTCTGTTACTGAAAAACAAGGTCATTCTAAGGAGCCCTGGAAATGGTGGTGAAAGAGCTAAGGTGCCCTTTTTGAAGCGAGCATCCTTCACATTTGCTCCCAGGGCTATTGCATAGTCTCAGCTGCTACATCTGGCTCTTTTTTCTGGTGGAAATTCTACTCCAAGTCACTAAAAATAAACTCTGGGGTTTTATTGTATAGTTTTAATGATACTTTTGTACCCATTTTCAGCTGTGATATTTTTCTACCCTGCCCTGGAACCCTTCAGTCCAGGTGGACTTCAAGTACAAATAATATCATTTTTTTAAATGTACGTAATAAAAACTCACGTTATCTTCTGTTTTTAATTGCTGCTTTTAAATAGATTCATGCTATTTTATGTAAACCACTTGAGTTCTTAAGCACTATATAATAATTATTGCACAATAATAAAAAAAAACACCTGCAAACTGACCCATGGCTACCATACATAAAGTCGCAGTTACACTAGCCAACCAGTGCTTCATGCACACTTGGTAACAACTTGCTGAATGTCAGACATGCAGGGTTATGCCCACAAAATTCGCTCTCTAATACAGCATGTAAGTTAGGGCTAGTCCCATCCTACCTACTCTTGTCCCAAGTACTGTATCTACTAGAGTCTAATGCACCATCGAATCTAATGCGCACCTCAATTTTCAGAACCTTGAAACCAAAAAAAGTATTTGCTGGCAAATGTAAATGTGCCATCGAATCTAACGCACACCTTATTTTTCGCAATGTAATTTGGCCAAAAAAGGTGACCATTAGATTCAAGTAAATATGGTAATCTTTTCATGTGCTGCATCCGATTGTGGTTTTTGCCATTCCAGTACTAAAAAAGAAAAAAAAGGGCTGCTCCCAGGAACAAAATACATAGGAAAGGAAGGAACTGTTCATACTCACTCTTTCTGCATGACTTGCACTTGCAGTTTTTGCACTGACAGTTGTTGCCACAGGTGCATGAACCACCTAAAAGAGGAAGGGTGGAATCCCATTACAATTACAAACTTAGCATCTCCTGCGCACATTTACATTGACACTCAGTAAAGAAGCCTTCAGAGAAGCCTAGAAGAATTTAGGAGGCAATTAACTTTCTCTTTCCCCCAATAAACACCTCGAAAAAGGGGCAATATAGCGTTCTATAGGACTTAAATATTCCTCCAGAAACTTGAACACTTGACAACGATTTTATTGTAGCAGAGTGGAGATATAGCAGAAAGGAAGAAACAAAAGACCTCCGGTATAGGGGGGTATATAAATTAAATAAGTAAGAAATAATAATAAAAGGAGGAGGAGGAGGCGGCAGGGAAAAGACATACTCCCCCGCCGCCACGTTGGTACCCTCTCTCTCATGCCCTTCCAGATGCTTTGGACTTACAACCCCCATCGGCTCCTGATGGGAGTTGTAGTCTAAGAGGCGTGTGTGTGAGGGTGGTGGACAAGGCTGACCCAAACTCATCCTGGCAAAAGCGGACATCATCTTAGGTCAGTCTCCTCCCCTCGCCTGTAACACAACCGGCCTGATTCGCCCTCGAGTCAGAAAGAGGAAAGAGCGTCCCTCGTTGACAGGGACGCAGAGAATCCAAGTCAAAAACAGAGCGCTCCACGTGGCCCGAAGCAGCGCCTTGCCAAGCAGCAGAAGCTGGGGAAAGAGGGGGAGAGGCAGATCGGAAGGGAAAGCGGCTGGGATCCAGATGTAAGGAGAGAAGGATGAACAATAGAAAGAGGAAGGAAGGTTTCCTCACCACTAGAACAGGGACAGTCCTGAGAATCCATTTCTCCTGGGCTCGATCTCTCCAGCAGCTAAGACGACGTTCGGGTGATCGGTTAGCAGCTGAGCTCCGCAGTGCCGTCCGCGCCTCTTTTTATTTCCCGCCGGCACCGCGTGCAAAGCGGCCGGGCTCCGCCTCTGCCCGCGTCCCGTGCGCACGGCGCTCTCCCTGCGGCTCCGCCCCCCGCCAACAAACCGGCTGGTCGGGCGCTCGCCTGCGTGGCGGAGCGATGCGGGATGATCAGTGGGCTGGCGGGCGCGGACACGCCTCGCTTTGCGCACCGGAGGGTTCTCACGGCCGTGTGCAGCCCAGGTGGGAGGGGTGCGGCCATCCTCCAAAGCGGTGGGTGCTTGCAGAGAGCGGCTTGGGGGGGGGGTTGTCTTGGTGATGCGTGCAAAAGTTTCCCGGCATCAAAATGGCTCCCCCCCCATATAATTTGGATTTCCTTGGGGGGGGGTTAAAAAGCTGTTGTCACCGTGGTCTCTTCCAGAAGACCTTTCAATTGAGCATCCATCGTGATTTGTTTACCCAAAGTTTGGAGGACATCCAGTGCTTCCAGATTGTCAGCGAATGCAAAGTGTGCAATTGGACAATCTTGCGCAACAGACATACCCCCATTTCCCAGCCCCGCCGACTGTTAGCATAAAGAAAGTGATATATTCCGAACAAAAAGCTAAACTGATTGTAAAACAATGTTGTGACTGAGGAACTTAAGATAGAAAAAGGAACACGACAGGGGTGCCCGATTTCCCCATTACTTTTTATCTCAGCTCTGGAGGTGTTGCTGAATATGATAAGAAATGACCAGCAGGTCAAAGGAGTGCAGGTCGGAGCTAAACATTATAAGTTGAGAGCGTTGCAGATGACTTAGTATTGACTTTGCAAGAGCCAAACACTAGTACGAAAAAGGTTTTAGAAATAATACAACAGTTTGGCCAGGTAGCTGGATTTAAGCTGAATAAGCAAAAAACTAAAGTTTTAGGGAAAAACCTAACAGATATGGAAAAGGAGAAATTTCAAGAGGAGACAGGTTTGACAGTGGTCAAGAAGGTGAAACATACTTTAAAAACTAGGTCAGAGAGAGAGAGCTAAGTATAGAAGTAGAAGCCTTTACCACTTGCTCTAATTTGGACATAGTGCTTTAAACAACTTGTCTTCCCAAGCCACAGAGCAAATGAGTGGTCAAACCGGCACCTGTGATGTGTATTTTCTATTTCCCTAGCTGTTGCCTCCAGACCACTGTGCCTTGTAAAACCTAAATTAGGCGGAGTGCACGCCTTTCACTTTGTGGTGGCTCAGCTGGCAGGCTGTGGGTAAGACATCTGCATTTATTGCCAATCCCTGAAAATTGCAGATTAGTACTTGCACGCCTTATAATTTAGCACCTAGTGGGCAAGGAGATGTGAAACTCTTTTGCAAGCTGGAAGAATGATGAAAGTGCTTTTGTTTTCCTTACCCATGCAGGCCACCAAACGAAAAGAAAAATGAAGATGGGAGAAACTCCTTCACAGAAACTACAGGTTCAAGGCTACCATACGCCGTAAGGTAAAGGTAAAGGTACCCCTTCCCGTACGGGCCAGTCTTGCCAGACTCTGGGGTTGTGCGCCCATCTCACTCAAGAGGCCGGGGGCCAGCGCTGTCCGAAGACACTTCCGGGTCACGTGGCCAGCGTGACATCGCTGCTCTGGCGAGCCAGCGCCGCACACGGAAACGCCGTTTACCTTCCCACTAGAAAGCGGTCCCTATTTATCTACTTGCATCCGGGGGTGCTTTCAAACTGCTAGGTTGGCAGGCGCTGGGACCGAGTGACGGGAGCGCACCCCGCCGCGGGGATTCGAACCGCCGACCTTTCGATCGGCAAGCCCTAGGCACTGAGGCTTTTACCCACAGCGCCACCCACGTCCCTACCATATGCCGTAGTCAGACTCAAAATGCTGTAGCAGGAGTCTCAGGCAAGAGAAGAAGAGTTTGGATTTGATATCCCACTTTATCACTACCCGAAGGAGTCTCAAAGCGGCTAACATTCTCCTTTCCCTTCCTCCTGCACAACAAACACTCTGTGAGGTGAGTGGGGCTGAGAGACTTCAGAGAAGTGTCACTAGCCCAAGGTCACCCAGCAGCTGCATGTGGAGGAGCGGAGACGCGAACCCGGTTCCCCAGATTACGAGACTACAGTGGTACCTCACAAGACGAATGCCTCGCAAGACAAAAAACTCGCTAGACGAAAGGGTTTTTTGTTTTTTGAGCTGCTTCGCAAGACGATTTTCCCTATGGGCTTGCTTCGCAAGACAGAAACGTCTTGCAAGTTTGTTTCCTTTTTCTTAACACCGTTAATACAGTTGCGACTTGACTTCGAGGAGCAACTCATAGCACGCGGTGTGGTAGGCTTTTTTGAGGTTTTTAAAGCTTTTTGAGGTTTTTGAAGCTTTTCCAAAACTTTCCTGACACCGTGCTTCGCAAGACGAAAAAAATCGCAAGACGACAAAACTCACGGAAGGAATTAATTTCCTCTTGCGAGGCACCACTGTACCGCTCTTAATCACTACACCAGAGGCGGGAAATGCTTTCCAGCTCTGTTACTTGAGCATCCTTCCCCTACCTGGCACCTTCCAGATGTTTTGCACTACAACTCCCATCAGGCCTAGCCAACATGACAAATGGCTGGGGATGATGGGAGTTGCAGGCCCCAGGTTCCCCCTGCTGAGGCTAATGGGTGTTGTAATCAAAAGCATCTAGTGGACTCCCTGCTGGACAAGGCTGAGGCAAGGCTTTACGGTAGCTGAGTTTCCAGTTTCTTATCTGCTAGGGAGGGTGCCTCACAAAAAACATACAACACCTCCACCCAATGAACAATGGGAATACATACCCCTGATCCCTAGGTTGGGTGGCCCAGAAGATTAGATATTGTTGACTTCATCAGTGTGCTCTGGAAACTATCAGATTAGATATTGAAAACAATAGTCTGTGGGTGGGGACAATAGTCTGTGGATGGGGCTGTGTTCCATTCCTGTACCCTTCATCAGCTGATGCTCTCCAGAAGTTGCAGGACTACAGTTCCCATCAGCCCCAGCCATCATAGAGCGCTGGCTGGGGCTAATGGGAATTTCAGTCTAGTAACATCTGAAAGGTGCCAGCTTGGCCAATGCTTCATTACCATGTAGAAGATGAACATGAGACAAGTCAGGCTTAGATGCTGCTTGCTTCTGCACAGCAGGCTATTGTGGGCTTAGTGCTGTGCATGTGTGCAAGTTTGGTGCCACATCCACACAAGACATTATCCTCAAATGACATCCTGTATCACCCCACCATGATTTACCGTATTTTTCGCTCTATAACACGCACCTGACCATAACACGCACATCGTTTTTAGAGGAGGAAAACAAGGGGAAAACATTCTGAATGAAACAGTGGATGTATCATTTTTGTGCTTCGTGCTGTGGCCACAGACATGTGATCTGATGGTGAATTTGGGGTGACCCAATGCAAAAATCCTGAGAATCCCTGTGGATTCATGCTTTGTAACCACGTTTTTGCACCATTGCAGCCCCAGGCAACAGTGGGTGCGTGATTTTTGGGGGGCAGGCTGTAGCCATGGACATGCTATGTGATCTGATGGTGAATTTGGGGTGGCCCAATGCAAAGATCCTGAGGATCCATGTGGATCCATGCTTTTTAACCACATTTTTGCACCATTGCAGCCCCAGGCAACAGTGGGTGCGTGATTTTGGGGGGGGCAGGCTGTAGCCATGGACATGCTATGTGCTCTGATGGTGAATTTGGGCTGACCCAATGCAAAGATCCTGAGGATCCATGTGGATCCATGCTTTTTAACCACATTTTTGCACCATTGCAGCCCCAGGCAACAGTGGGTGCATGATTTTTGGGGGGCAGGCTGTAGCCATGGACATGCTATGTGCTCTGATGGTGAATTTGGGCTGACCCAATGCAAAGATCCTGAGGATCCATGTGGATCCATGCTTTGTAACCACATTTTAAGTGGGGAGGGAAGGAAAAACACAGAAGGGAAAAGGAGCACGAGAAGGGTGTGCAGAGAAGCAGCTGGCTAAGAATGCAGGAGAGGGGTATAACGGGAGGGAGGAAAGGAAGGCAAAAGTTTTCCCCCACTCACCCACCCAAGCCAGCCGGCTCGCGCGCTCTCTCTCTCTCCCTCCTGCATGTTTTCACGGAGAGGAATTAGAATGAAGGACGCTCTCTTTCCCCTCTTCTTGCCTGGAGGGGAGGGGCTTTCCCTGCTCTTTGTTCCGTTTGAGCAAACACAGCAACGAAACAGAGGAGGGTGGGCAGTAAGAGCCTGAGGCAGAATGCAGGAAAGCAGCCGCTTCCTCTTTTCAGGCTTCCCTTCTCCGAGAGGCGCGATTTGATTTTTGCCTGATTTTTTTTGCCTCCACTTGCCCCAGTCGGCTCCAGGGACCACACATTCGCTCAATAACACGCACAGACATTTCCCCTCCCTTTTTAGGAGAAAAAATCTGCGTGTTATAGAGGGAAAAATACGGTAATCCAGATTTACTATTTCTGCAGAACACTGCATACACTGTTAAGGGAAATTTTCTGTGAGATATTTCTCATATTATGAATAGCCAGTTTCCATGAATTTATCTGATCTCATGCCTACCTATATATATTATCTCTACAAACTAATAAACAAGCAGGCATCATTGGCACGTCCTCACTCCAATATCACCAATAAATTATTTTCTGATTGATGTTCCGATTTATATAACCAATCTCAGTTGCTGACTCATCTAGCCTGGGTACTGCCAGGAAAGGCAACACTGTTATGTAGGGCAATTAGCTTGTGGTAATTCAGTTTTTTTAACAGGGATGGATGAATCTGTAAATTTCTCACTTTCCCAGCCTTAAGTTCTGTTCTCTGCATTTCTGCGTAAGTTTGCATTTGTTAAAACTCTTCATGAAAACAAACCAGCATCTTGGTACACATTGTTCTTAATATGAACATTTTTGTATGCAATTTTGACTATTGCACAAATTTATGTGAGGAATTCTTTTTCTAATACATTTTTGTGTTATTTCCACTACTATATGCATTTATATGCACACTTCTCCCTGATGTATACACTTTTATATACATTTTTGGGGGATGCAAACTGGCTTCTCTTTCTCCCCCATTTCCCTTTCTCCTACTCTCCCATCCTTTCTTTCTGACACCCCTTCTCACTCTCTTTCTAACACATCTCCCTCTCTCCCTCATCTTTTCCACTCCATGAGCTGCCAGAAGACGGACAGATACCTCTTGCCAGGCCCGATTGCTTGCAGGGTGCTTCCCTTTTCTTTCTGCTTCAGCCAATCTGTCTTGGCTTTTCTCCATTTTCCCATGCCCTCCTTCTCTCCCTCCAGGCTCCCCGCTGCATGAAATTAGGCTGAAGACTGCATTTCCCACCTCAGTTTATGATCAGATTATGTATGTGCGCATTGCTTTGAACATTTGAAATCACAAACATCAAGTATTCTCTTTTTATTCTAGGCCTCCTGATGCTTGGTTGTCACTTTGGGGAGCTAACTGGGATTTCATGACAGCTCGCTTCTAGCCCCACTGGATTGGACAGACAGCCCTTCCTGGGACCCAGAGACATGCTCCCTTGAAGCCTGGCTCCTAGTGGATCCAGACATGTGCTCAGAGTCAGCCTCAAACCAAGGATTTCTTAGCTCTTCATTTGAGTATCGACTGCAAACCTGCGTCACCTTAGGTGCTGAGTGCTGACAGGCCTGGAGCTAAAGCAGAATCCCTACAAAAGAAGAGGACAGTATTAGTATCCTTGAGGGAAATCTGAAGCCTATATAAGTAATTTAAAACCACAACCCTGAAAGGGGCAATTCCCAAAGCCCATGAGGACTGAGCATTCTCAGTAGTCCCAGACAGTCAAAGGGAAAAGAAAAAAGGAGAACTCTTTTATTTATTACATTTATAACCCACCTTCTTCAAATAAGATCCAAACCAACACCAGCAAGTAGCCCCCTGGCCAGATTATTACTACCTGCTTAGTGCTGTTTACATCTGTAAAAGCAAGATTTGAGCTTGCTCCAAAGGTGTCATTACGCCCCAAGGTGGTGTGTATGCATGTCTGTGTGTGCCTTCGACACAATAGCCAGCATGAACAGATCACAACTGTTGATTATATCAATGTCAAAACCACACTGGGGTGGGAGGAGTCCCACATTCATGGTGATTCTTGGTCATGATGCTCTTGGGGCAGCTGTATGTGATCCTCCTCTCATTATTTTTTGTGCCTGTGACAGTTTTGGGGCAGTCATACTATTGCACTTACATTCAGTGCATAATGCCCTGTAGCTTCCTGCTGACATGCCATAATTTCTTAATTATTCCATAATTTCAGTAGTGTTTTTTTTCTTTTTTTGTCCTGCTTTTTAGTGCTGGAGCCTGCCTGGACAGCAATAATACATTCACAATGGGGAAGCAGAATGAATCTTCCATCAATAGATGGTTATTGTGTCAGGAACCTGTTGCCCAAAAAACGCCAGCATGGAGGGACCTGCAAGCACCCAGTATTGCTCAGAGGAGACAGGAGTGAGTGGTGCAGGTACATCACGTCAGAGACTGACATATGTGAGAGCCTAAGTGCCTCCACCCTTGAAATTAGGCATTTTGAAGAACTATGAAATTGGATATTTGGCACTCAAACATGCAGTTTCACTTAAAAAACAACAACTTGTCCCACCCCAAAACTTTAGGTGCCTATAGGCCTCCTATCGTCTCATAAGGCCAACAAACTGGGTTAGCTTTCCCTTTATTGAGCTCACACGAAGATGGATTTGGTGGGGCGATGCCCTCTGGCTATAATTCTAGTAGGAATTGGTATGTCTTTGAATGTGCCGCTGTGTGTTTGGGCCTGTCTGAAAGATGAAAGGAGTTTGTTTCCCTTTGATGTACATCGGTAACTTCTATAAATGTTAATAGAAGGTGCAACATGATCATAAGACATGGGGGGGGGGGAACCAACCGTTGTCTCCCTTCCAGCTTCTCTGAGTAATCTGGGAAGGAGGAACCTCAGAGCTAGGAAGGGCTTGAGTTGACAAAGTATAGCCAGAATTTACCTTGCTTCATCTTGTGACCACCATGTTCCCACTAATCCCCTGGCACTTCTGTTCTTGGCAGGCACAGATTCTGACAGGACGACCATCATCCTCCAGATAAGATCTAACAGGTTAATATCCAACAACATGGGGAAAGTGCCCTTCCCCCGACTTCCCAGTTCAGGCTGGGAAATGCAAAATGAATACCAGCATGTGCTTTTGAGTCAAAAATGTGTTGATGTGAGTTGGAGGGGTAGGCTGTATGCCTGAGCCCCCTGCTAATTCATGTAGCACGGATTCAATTTCTGGAATAGTCAGGCTAGCTTTCTGGTTAGGTAATGGTCTTCTAAGTACAGGCCATTAAGGTAACAAAGGAAGTAGCTCTGTGCTAGATACCAAATGGGTGGGCTGTAGGCTAGGATACAGAGCCATGCCTGATTTCTGTTGGAATCCAAGGCTGTGGCTATGAGAGAAGCCAGACCCTCTTGGGGTGTTACTGATGTGAGCCTCTCCATTGTAGGCTCAGGTGTAAATAAACCATATACTGTATCCTAAAGATGCCACAGTCTCCGTTGTCCCTCATTCCAAGGAAACTGAACCCTGGGCAAGCACCTGGAAGCCCTAAATCTTGCATGGCTTGGAGACTGGGGTGGCATGCAACAGTATTGCTATTCTTTGGTAGCCTGGCACTACCACTGGGCAAAGTGAAGCCACTCCCTCAGGCATGAGATGCTGAGGTGTGTCAGTGACATGGAGGACAGGGCTATGTGTGTCACTTGCCCTCTTCTACACTCCTTAAGCTAGCCTGCTGACCACTCCTGCTAGCTACGGCAGTCTTGTGATTTTTCAAATCATTTCCTTAGAGACCTTGCTGTCATTACTAGTAGCGTGAGTAAAAAGAAACCCATTAAACCTTCCTCTTGGCTGACGTTGGCCCTAAGCATCGTCAAGCCTTGGAGAAAGGTATTTAAGTTTTTGTTGCTTACTAATTTTCAGAATTAAAGGGAAGCTTTCAAGAAAGCCAGTGAAATGAATCTTCGTGATGCTAAGGAGATGCTTGTCTGGGCTTGTAACATCCAACCACTTCGGTGTTTCATATATATTGGCACCTGATTTACAAGATCTGCAGTAATCTCTTAATGCACTGATCATGAGAAAAGCTAGGTAAAGATTTTAAAAAAGAATGGAATTGTCACAAAACATTTACCTAGGGATAGCTGTTTAATGTATCTGTTTTTGCCTCACTTTCCCCCTTTAAATGGCTCTGGGTGTGTCAAGTTATCTCATTTTATCAGCACAACAACCCTCTGAGAAATGTTAAACTTGGAGAGATCAGTTTGACCTAGGTAACGTCTAGACAACCTATTTATTGAGCAACAATCCCCATTTAAGGGGAGACATTGCTGTGCCAAGCAATTGTTGTCCAACACTTTCCAGTGCATTTTCCTAAGAACATAAGAATCTGCTGGGTCAGACCAATGGTTCGTATAGTCCAGCATAGTGTTACTCACAGTGTCCAACAAGATGCCTGTGGGAAATTAGAAAGCAGGCACATTCTCCCCTCCTGTGGCTTCCCACAACTAGTATCCAGAACTATTTCGACCTCTGTGGAAGCAGAGCATAGCCATATCCTCCATTTGTCCAATCCTCTTGGCCAGGTTGATGGCCATCACTGCCTCCTGCAGGCACAAGTTCCGTAGTTTAGCTATTCACAGTTCCTATCACATTCCTTACTGTAAGACATTCATGGTTTTCGTTTTGGTTGGGGTGGGGTGGGGGAGCAGTGTTAGCGCTGGAATTTCACAGACATTTTCTGAGAAGTCTTCTTTTTCACACATCCTAGAAAAAAGGACGCGGGTGGCGCTGTGGGTTAAACCACAGAGCCTAGGACTTGCCGATCAAAAGGTCGGTGGTTCGAATCCCCGCGATGGGGTGAGCTCCCGTTGCTCGGTCCCTGCTCCTGCCAACCTAGCAGTTCAAAAGCACGTCAAAGTGCAAGTAGATAAATAGTAGATAAATAGGTACCGCTCCGGCGGGAAGGTAAATGGCATTTCCATGCGCTGCTCTGGTTCGCCAGAAGCGGCTTAGTCATGCTGGCCACATGACCCAGAAGCTGTACGCCGGCTCCGTCAGCCAATAAAGCAAGATGAGCGCCACAACCCCAGAGTCGGCCACGACTGGACCTAATGGTCAGGGGTCCCTTTACCTTTACCTAGAAAAAGAAGGCCACCTTGCACAATTTTAAGAACGTAAGAAGAGCTCTGCTGCATCGGGTCAATGGCCCATCTAGTCCACCCTCCTCACAGTGGCCAAAAAGATGCCTGTTGGAAACCCTCAAGCTTCTTGATGCCTGCTGCAACAACCTTTTGCTTACCTGTGTTTCTCGGCAACTAGCGTTCAGCGGCATGCTACCATCATTTTCTTCTAATAATGAGCATGGTTTTTTTTTTTAATGCATTAATCTTCCTTAAGCTTCTTGAGATTGGTTCTCTTTTTGTCATGCCATTGAATGCTTGCTATTTTCTCTGTGCATCATAATATTCTCTGCCACCATCCATCCATCCCTGCAGTGGCCACTATTCCTTGCCTCTCCCCCACAGTGCTAGATCTGGGGAATTGCAAAGGATTCAAAATGGTAGCCCTGCTGCAAAAAGAATTGCCGTTGTAGTAAAAAAACAGCAACCCCCAAACTAGTAAACTGTTGTCACTGCTAGTGGTGAGTCCCATCCTTGAGAAACTGTTGGAGATTATCCTACTCTCAAGAGAAGTTCAGTGAAATGGTCCCCACCCACCACACCGTTTCCCTGCCCACAAACTGGGAAGAACAGCACGGCTCACTCATTTGGACAACCACAGCACCATGCAAATTGCCAGGAGATGGGCAGAAAATTTTTTTTTGGGGTGAGCCAGATCAGGCCCCCAAACTGGAGGTTAGCTATCCCTAGAATGGAGATTTTCAAGAAGTCATTTATGCATTTATGCACAGGTAATAATTCAAAGGCAAAGACAAGAGAGCTTGTGCTGGATGCAAACGAGATGAAGAAGCAATGTTGTGATCTGAGAAGAGGCCACCTCATACAAGTGTGAGACGTGAGTGAGGTGCATTGGTAGCAGAGTATCAGGAAGATACTTGTTTTTCGGTTTCTGTGAGCTTTGGCCCTGTTTTACAATTTTATGAGTGTCACATTTCCTTCCATAGATTTCATTTATCTCACACTGTGTGCTTCAAATCTGAAAAACAGAATTCCCAGTTGCTACGTCTTGGGCTCATCTTTTTGCTATGCTGATGTCTGAGAAGCCTGTAGTAGTTTCTCGACTCTAGAAACTTGCCAATGTTTTTATGTGTGGACTGGCATTGTGCCCAGGCACTCTGTTACATAAGACTTCCCTCAATCACGTGAAGAGAAGTCCTAGTTACGGCTTGTCAGACCAAACTTGCATCTACCCACAACAAAACGCCACCACCAAACAGCATTATTAAAAGATATAAGAGGTGTCAAAATCAAGGTAGTTTGTGCTTATTTTTTTAAATTCCCATCCACCTTTATGTCAACATTGGCATCCTGATATTCTTAATTGGGCCAGGGGACTGAAGCCGAACCTATTACTCTGTTTCCGCTCACCCCATCTCCCCAACTTCTCTCTGAAAGCTTCCTTTGAGACCATACAATTGAAATTCTGAACAGTGAAGGTTCTGTTGATTCAAATCTTGCAGTACAATGCTGCACAGATTTTATTATTCTTGTCATGTGTTAAGCAAAACACAGCTCTCCCCTCATAACTTTCTGAATGAGGTTTTTTCTTTTCTGAAAGCCACTTCATCTTATTAGGCTTGTAACTGTTATGTCTTTCCAGTTCTCCTAATAACAAACAGTTGAATCCTGTGCATGTTTACTCAGCAGTTGATCTGACTGAGTTTGTAGGTGTAGAGTATGCAGACAGGCCCAACAAAGCTCTAGCTACAAGTTTTTCTGCTTGTGGAGAACATCTGAAGAAGTTAATGGGACGACACATGGTGCATTATCTAACAGGCATAACATTTTGCAGGGTTGTGTTCAATCAATCTTTGATTCCACCCCACCCACCCACCATGTCTCGGACCTTAAAGCATTATTGGATTTGAGAGAATGAGATTCCTACTGCCTAGTGCCCAAACTCACTTACCAGTTACAGCTCTGACTTCAGGATAATTCCATAGTGACCAATGTGACATTTGTAAGTTTCTTTACATATTTTGTGTTTTAGTTAGTATTATTTGAACTCCATTTAACACTGAACAATTTGTTTTTACTGGATTGATCTTCCCTACAAAGACAATCAAGAAATATACCACAGTAAGATGGAATACTTCCTCCCTGCAGTGTGTTTCAAAATATATGTCTAATGTAACAGTTTTGCAACCTCAAGAATTTGTAACTTGAATAAATGTTTTCTCTAAAAGTATAAATCATTTCCCTCATCTGTGGCCATAAGCAGCTTGTGTATCATGAGCAATTGTCAAACTTATGGTAATAAACTGGGGGGAAAGTTTCTGGCGGCAGGAGGAGCTGTGACCAATCTAACATGATCATTATAATACGTGTCAATTCATTGACAGACATGCACAAATAAATGCCTCCAAAGCAAGGTCCTGAGCATATTACACTTTACTATGCATTCATAAGTTGCAGATTGGCTTTAAGTTCATGCAGAAGGTTGTAATGCCCATGGGAATTTTTACTTAACTGTGGCAACACCCTAATGATTTATCATTTGCAGGGAAGACAAATGTCACAGAAGTCCTGCTTTAAAAAAAAAAAAAAGATTTCATACTATTGAATAAAATATTGCATCACCTGGCCAACATATTTTATTTTATGTTTCCCAGTCTCAAGCTCAACAATAATGAAGTTGCCAACTTACAATTGAACTTCAGTGGCTGCTTCTGCACTTTCTATCAGGATAATCACATTTCCCATAGGGACATTATTCCCTGTGTTTATGGTCTTTACTTTAAATTATGTTAGAATTCATTTAAACTTTCTGTTCAAAACTGCCTTCAACCTTTTACAAGGTTGTACTGTTCTCACACACTTTTCCAAACTGTGGCAGAGTTGAAGTTACTGATAATTAAACTAAGGAACATATCTAATTACTAAATATTTGAACACATAATTATATAATCTTTCTTCTGAAAGCAATAACATATCTCCATTCCTCTTGTCTGATTTTTCTTTCAGACTGTAAGCTTCTTGAGGGCAGACACCTGTCTCTTTCTGTGAAACTCTGTAATATGCCCTACATAGAGGCCTGGATAGCTTAGTTAATTAGAGCATTGTTTTGATAACACCAAGGTTGCAGGTTTGATCCCCATATGAGACAGCTGCATATTCCTGCATTGCAGAAGATTGGACTAGATGATCCTCAGAGTCCCTTCCAACTGCACTATTCTATGATGCTATGGTTGATGGCATGGTGCCAATAATTGGCTTTGGGGGCACACCTATGAAAAAATCCACCAGGATGAGCAACTTAGGATGCAGCAGATCTCTGTTGGCAGATAATAAAACTTCGGAAAATAATAATATAGCATTTGTTAACTATATAGGAAAATGAAAAATAAGTCTATAGGTTGACATTTTCTGAAAACATTGATAGGTGGAAGCAGCTGGGCTGTCTAATGTCACAGAAATTGCTGAGAAGGGTACCTGCACATTTTGCTTTGTAACTTCTTTCCTAGGAAGACTAGAGACTTACTTTTTTTTAAAAAAAATGAAAGGTTAAGAGTCTGAGACCCCTGCTGGGGGTGCCAATGAAGGCATGCGAATGGCAACCTCTGGTATAATTGATTATGATTATACCCTTCTACTCCTGTCCAATGACTACCCATGATGTTATTGGGGCAGTTATGCATGATCATGCTTTCAATACTATTTCTGCCTGCAAACATTTCAAGGTGGTCATACTGTTTCATTTGCAATAAGCACGTAACTGCCTGCCTGCTGAAACCCTGTAACTTTTCACAGCACAAATGTTCCTGCTTCTGTTGCACTATGGCTACAGGGGCGCTGCTTCTGATAGCAACAATGCATTAACATTGCAGAAGCATCACAGAACAACTAATATGATGGAATGACGGGTGGGCGGTGCAATATAGATCCACTCTAATGTGCTGCTTTTGTGTAAATGGCATGCTGCAGAATACAATCATTCTAGAGGTGCCCAAAGATGACGCAGTGCTCTCTTACAGAACTGTCCCCTGCACCATCTGGCATTGGCAAGAGTGGAACATGAATGCTGCAGTAGACGGATGGCAGATCCAATCAAGTATGCGCAGTAGGAGCATTCACCAGTGTTACGTCATATGATATGCATGCTCTCGGCATGCGTGTTCTGGATTTGCAACACGTCCCTTGAACATCTGGGGGAAAGAATAGTTCTGTAAACCTGACCAAATAGATTCATCACAAAAATGTACGCAAAAACAGCTTTGAAGTTGCTTTTTCCCCAGACTACTGAGTGGTTTTAAAATATGTTATTTGTTTTTATAGCTTCGTTAGCTTCGTTTGAAAATCTATTTTGTAAGGGAAACAGAATGCTAGTAAAAATGCGAAAAACATCAGTAAATTTCATTCTACGGAAGTAGGTAAGATATGGTTAGTTGTTTAGATATTGTGTCCTAATCCTGCCAGGGTGCCCTGAAGTGTATGGAGGGCTATCAGTCCTTTGCCTGAGTTAACTGTATAAAATTGCACTACCCTTCATTTATTTCAGAGGTTGCTAAAATGTGCTAATGTTTCTGGATTGCAACCAGTATTGGTGCACGTGGTGGGACAGAGCTGAACTCCTGACATCACCAGGACTGCTGTTTATATGGGTGGGGCAGGCTGCTGGGGTTGGGGGTCACATGGTTGCACTGGCACCAGCACTGGATTGGCAG